TGTAACCCCATTGTAACCCTTGTAACCCATTGTAACCCATTGTAACCCCTGTAACCCATTGTAACCCCTTGTAACCCCCTGTAACCCATTGTAACCCTTGTAACCCCTGTTTGTAACCCCTTGTAACCCCCCTTGTAACCCCCTGTAACCCCATTGTAACCCCTGTAACCCATTGTAACCCCTTGTAACCCTTGTAACCCATTGTAACCCATTGTAACCCCTTGTAACCCCTTGTAACCCCTTGTAACCCCCATTGTAACCCCTTGTAACCCATTGTAACCCATTGTAACCCCTTGTAACCCATTGTAACCCCTTGTAACCCCTGTAACCCATTTGTAACCCCTTGTTGTAACCCATTGTAACCCTTGTAACCCTTGTAACCCCTTGTAACCCATTGTAACCCATTGTAACCCCTTGTAACCCATTGTAACCCATTGTAACCCTTGTAACCCATTGTAACCCCTTGTAACCCATTTAACCCCCCTGTAACCCATTGTAACCCCCCTTGTAACCCCTTGTAACCCCCTTGTAACCCTTGTAACCCCATTGTAACCCATTGTAACCCCTTGTAACCCCTGTAACCCATTGTAACCCCTTGTAACCCCTGTAACCCATTGTAACCCTTGTAACCCTTGTAACCCCTTGTAACCATTGTAACCCATTGTAACCCCTTGTAACCCCCTGTAACCCATTTGTAACCCCTTGTAACCCATTGTAACCCATTGTAACCCCTGTAACCTTTTGTAAACCCTTGTAACCCATTGTAACCCCCTTTGTAACCCATTGTAACCCATTGTAAACCCCTTGTAACCCATTGTAACCCCTTGTAACCCTTGTAACCCATTGTAACCCTTTGTAACCCCTTGTAAACCCCTGTAACCCATTGTAACCCCTTGTAACCCATTGTAACCCATTGTAACCCTTGTAACCCCATTGTAACCCATTGTAACCCCTTGTAACCCCCATTGTAACCCCTTTGTAACCCATTGTAACCCCTTGTAACCCATTGTAACCCCTTTTGTTTTGTAACCCCTTGTAACCCATTGTAACCCATTGTAACCCCCCCATTGTAACCCCCCCTTGTAACCCATTGTAACCCCTTGTAACCCCTGTAACCCATTGTAACCCCTTGTAACCCCTTGTAACCCTTTTGTAACCCCTTTTGTAACCCCTTGTAACCCCTTGTAACCCATTGTAACCCATTGTAACCCCTTGTAACCCATTGTAACCCCTTGTAACCCATTGTAACCCCTTGTAACCCCTTGTACCCCATTGTAACCCATTGTAACCCCTTGTAACCCATTGTAAACCCCTTGTAACCCATTGTAACCCATTGTAACCCCTTGTAACCCATTGTAACCCATTGTAACCCTTGTAACCCTTGTAACCCATTGTAACCCCTTGTAACCCATTGTAACCCCTTGTAACCCCTTGTAACCCATTGTAACCCTTTGTAACCCCTTGTAACCCATTGTAACCCATTGTAACCCCTTGTAAACCCCTTGTAACCCCTTGTAACCCCATTGTAACCCCTTGTAACCCCTTGTAACCCATTGTAACCCATTGTAACCCCTGTAACCCATTGTAACCCCTTTGTAACCTTTGTAACCCATTGTAACCCCTTGTAACCCTTGTAACCTTTGTAACTTGTAACCCCTTGTAACCCCTTGTAACCCCTTGTAACCCCCTGTAACCCCCTGTAACCCCTTGTAACCCCTTGTAACCCCCTGTAACCCATTGTAACCCCTTGTAACCCCCTGTAACCCATTGTAACCCCTTGTAACCCCTTGTAACCCCCTGTAACCCATTGTAACCCCTTGTAACCCCCTGTAACCCATTGTAACCCCTTGTAACCCATTGTAACCCCTGGTAACCCCTTGTAACCCATTGTAACCCCTTGTAACCCCATTTGTAACCCATTGTAACCCATTGTAACCCCTTGTAACCCCATTGTAACCCATTGTAACCCCTTGTAACCCATTGTAACCCATTGTAACCCCTTGTAACCCTTGTAACCCCTTGTAACCCCTTTTTTGTAACCCATTGTAACCCCTTGTAACCTTGTAACCCATTGTAACCCATTGTAACCCATTGTAACCCTTTGTAACCCCTGTAACCCATTGTAACCCCTTGTAACCCCTTGTAACCCATTGTAACCCATTGTAACCCCTTGTAACCCATTGTAACCCATTGTAACCCCTTGTAACCCCTTGTAACCCATTGTAACCCATTGTAACCCTTGTAACCCATTGTAACCCCATTGTAACCCCTTGTAACCCCTTGTAACCCATTGTAACCCCATTGTAACCCTTTGTAACCCCTTTGTAACCCATTGTAACCCTTGTAACCCCTTTTAACCCTTGTAACCCCTTGTAACCCCTTGTAACCCATTGTAACCCATTGTAACCCTTGTAACCCTTGTAACCCCTGTAACCCATTGTAACCCATTGTAACCCCTTGTAACCCATTGTAACCCATTGTAACCCCTTGTAACCCCTGTAACCCATTGTAACCCCATTGTAACCCATTGTAACCCCTTGTAACCCATTGTAACCCCTTGTAACCCCTTGTAACCCATTGTAACCCTTGTAACCCCTTTGTAACCCCATTGTAACCCATTGTAACCCCTTGTAACCCCTTTTAAACCCATTGTAACCCCCTTTGTAACCCATTGTAACCCATTGTAACCCCTTGTAACCCCTGTAACCCATTGTAACCCCTTGTAACCCCTTGTAACCCATTGTAAACCCCTTGTAACCCCTTGTAACCCATTGTAACCCCTTGTAACCCCTTTGTAACCCATTGTAACCCCTTGTAACCCCTGTAACCCATTGTAACCCCTTGTAACCCCTTGTAACCCATTGTAACCCCTTGTAACCCATTGTAACCCATTGTAACCCCCCCTTGTAACCCCTTGTAACCCATTGTAACCCCTTGTAACCCATTGTAACCCATTGTAACCCCTTGTAACCCATTGTAACCCCTTGTAACCCATTGTAACCCATTGTAACCCATTGTAAACCCCTGTAACCCATGTAACCCCTTGTAACCCCTTTGTAACCCATTGTAACCCATTGTAACCCCTTGTAACCCCTTGTAACCCATTGTAACCCATTGTAACCCCTTGTAACCCATTGTAACCCCTTGTAACCCATTGTAACCCATTGTAACCCTTGTAACCCATTGTAACCCCTTGTAACCCATTTGTAACCCCTTTAACCCATTGTAACCCATTGTAACCCCTTGTAACCCCTTGTAACCCATTGTAACCCATTGTAACCCTTTGTAACCCATTGTAACCCATTGTAACCCCCCTTGTAACCATTGTAACCCATTGTAACCCCTTTGTAACCCCTTTTAACCCCCTGTAACCCATTGTAACCCTTGTAACCCCCCCATTGTAACCCCTTGTAACCCCTTGTAACCCATTGTAACCCATTGTAACCCCTTGTAACCCCCCCTTGTAACCCATTGTAACCCCATTGTAACCCCTTTGTAAACCATTGTAACCCATTGTAACCCCTTGTAACCCCCTTGTAACCCATTGTAACCCCTTAACCCATTGTAACCCCTTGTAACCCATTGTAACCCTTGTAACCCCCATTGTAACCCCTTGTAACCCATTGTAACCCCTTGTAACCCTTGTAACCCCTTGTAACCCCCTGTAACCCCTTGTAACCCCTTGTAACCCCCTGTAACCCATTGTAACCCCTTGTAACCCCTTGTAACCCCCTGTAACCCCTTGTAACCCCTTGTAACCCCCTGTAACCCATTGTAACCCCTTGTAACCCCCTGTAACCCATTGTAACCCCTTGTAACCCCTTGTAACCCCCTGTAACCCATTGTAACCCCTTGTAACCCCCTGTAACCCATTGTAACCCCTTGTAACCCCCTGTAACCCATTGTAACCCCTTGTAACCCCTTGTAACCCCCTGTAACCCATTGTAACCCCTTGTAACCCCCTGTAACCCATTGTAACCCCTTGTAACCCCCTGTAACCCCTTGTAACCCCTTGTAACCCCTTGTAACCCCTTGTAACCCCTTGTAACCCCTTGTAACCCATTAACCCCTTGTAACCCCTTGTAACCCCTTGTAACCCATTGTAACCCCTTGTAACCCCTTGTAACCCCTTGTAACCCCTTGTAACCCCTTGTAACCCCCTGTAACCCATTGTAACCCCTTGTAACCCCTTGTAACCCCCTGTAACCCATTGTAACCCCTTGTAACCCCTTGTAACCCCCTGTAACCCCTTGTAACCCCTGTAACCCATTGTAACCCCTTGTAACCCCCTGTAACCCCTTGTAACCCCTTGTAACCCCTTGTAACCCCCTGTAACCCATTGTAACCCCTTGTAACCCCTTGTAACCCCCTGTAACCCATTGTAACCCCTTGTAACCCCCTGTAACCCATTGTAACCCCTTGTAACCCCCCTTGTAACCCCCTGTAACCCATTGTAACCCATTGTAACCCATTGTAACCCTGTTTTGTAACCCCTTGTAACCCTTGTAACCCATTGTAACCCATTGTAACCCCTTGTAACCCCTTGTAACCCCCTGTAACCCATTGTAACCCCTTGTAACCCCCTGTAACCCATTGTAACCCCTTGTAACCCCTTGTAACCCCTTGTAACCCCCTGTAACCCATTGTAACCCCTTGTAACCCCATTGTAACCCCTTGTAACCCCTTGTAACCCCTTGTAACCCCTTGTAACCCCTTGTAACCCCTTGTAACCCCTTGTAACCCCTTGTAACCCCTTGTAACCCCTTGTAACCCCTTGTAACCCCCTGTAACCCCTTGTAACCCCTTGTAACCCCCTGTAACCCCTTGTAACCCCTTGTAACCCCTTGTAACCCATTGTAACCCCTTGTAACCCCTTGTAACCCCTGTAACCCATTGTAACCCCTTGTAACCCCCTGTAACCCATTGTAACCCCTTGTAACCCCCTGTAACCCATTGTAACCCCTTGTAACCCCCTGTAACCCCTTGTAACCCCTTGTAACCCCCTGTAACCCCTTGTAACCCCTTGTAACCCCTTGTGTAACCCATTGTAACCCTTTGTAACCCCTTTGTAACCCATTGTAACCCCTTGTAACCCCTTGTAACCCTTGTAACCCCTTGTAACCCTTTGTAACCCCTTGTAACCCCTTGTAACCCCTTGTAACCCCTTGTAACCCTTTGTAACCCTTGTAACCCCTGTAACCCCTTGTAACCCTTTGTAACCCCTTGTAACCCTTTGTAACCCTTTGTAACCCTTTGTAACCCCTTGTAACCCTTTGTAACCCCTTGTAACCCTTTGTAACCCTTTGTAACCCCTTGTAACCCTTTGTAACCCCTTGTAACCCCTTGTAACCCCTTGTAACCCCTTGTAACCCCTTGTAACCCTTTGTAACCCTTTGTAACCCCTTGTAACCCCTTGTAACCCTTTGTAACCCCTTGTAACCCTTTGTAACCCCTTGTAACCCCTTGTAACCCCTTGTAACCCCTTGTAACCCCTTTGTAACCCCTTGTAACCCCTTGTAACCCCTTGTAACCCCTTGTAACCCCTTGTAACCCTTTGTAACCCTTTGTAACCCCTTGTAACCCTTGTAACCCTTTGTAACCCCTTGTAACCCCTTGTAACCCCTTGTAACCCCTTGTAACCCCTTGTAACCTGTTGTAACTCCCTGTAACGCCTTTTAACCCTTTGTAACCCGTTGTAACCCCCTGTAACCCTTGTGACGGTTTGTAACCCCCTGTAACCTCTTGTTTCCCCTGGTAATCCCTTGTTACCTCTTGTAACCCGTAGTTACCTCCAGTAACCCCTTGTAACCTCTTGTAACCCTATGTAATCCCCTGTAACCCCTTGTAACCCCCTTTAATCCTTTGTAACCCTTTGTAACCCTTTGTAACCCCCTTTAACCCCTTGTTACCCCCTGTAACGCCCTGTAACCGCCTGTAATTCTCTGTAACCCCCTGTAACCCATTGTAACCCCTTGTAACCCCTTGTAACCCGCTGTAACCCCCTGTTACCCCTCGTAACCCCTAGTACCCCATGGGAACCCCCTGTAACTCCTGTAACCCCTTGTAACCCCCTGTAACCCCTTGGAACCCCTTGTAACCCCCTGTAACCCCTTGTAACCCCTGGTAATCCCCTGTTACCTCTTGTAACCCCTTGTAACCTCCGGTAACCCCTTGTAACGTCTTGTAACTCCTGTTACCCCTTTTAGCCCCCTGTAACCCCTTGTAACCTGTTGTAACCCTTGTGATCCTTTGTAACCTGCTGTAATTCCCTGTAACTCCTTGTAACCCCTTGTAACCTCTTGTAATCCTCTGTTACCTCTTGTTTCCCCTTGTAACCTCTGAGAACCCCTTGTAACCTCTTGTAACCCCCTGTAACTCCTCTTACCCCTTTTAGCCTCCTGTAACCCCCTGTAACCCCTTGTAACCTGTTGTAACCCCCTGTAACCCCTTGTAACCCCCTGTAACCCTTGTGATCCTTTGTAACCTGCTGTAATTCCCTGTAACCCCTTGTAACCCCTTGTAAACCTTTTTAACCCTTGTAATCCCTTGTAATTCCCTGTAACCCCCTGTAACCCCTTGTAACCCCGTGTAACCCCTTGTAACCCCGTGTAACCTTCTGTAACCCCCTGTAACCTCCTGCAACCCCTTGTAACCCTTTGTACCCCTCTGTAACCCCCTGTTACCCCTTGTAACCCCTCTACCCCCTGGTAACCCCCTGTATCCCCTGTAACCCCTTGTAACCCCCTGTAACCCCTTGTAACCCCTTGTAACCCCTTTGTAACCTGTTGTAACCCCCTGTAACCCCCTGTAACCGCTTGTAACCTCCTTTAACCCCTTGTAACCCCCTGTAAATCCCTGTAACCCCTTTTAACTCCTTCTAATCACCTGTAACCTCCTGTAACCCCTTGTAACCCCGTTTAACCCCTTGTAACCCCCTGATATTCCATGTAACCCCTGGTAACCCCCTGTAACCCCCTGTAACCCCTTGTAACCCCTTGTAACCCTCTGTAACCCCCTGTAACCCCAATTAAGCGGAAACCCCAATATTTCCCACTGGTAACCCCCTGTAACCCCTGTAACCCCTTCAAACCTTTTGTAACCCCCTGTAACCGCTTGTAACCTACTTTAGCCACTTTAACTTCTTGTAACCCCTTTTAACCCCTTGTAACCCCGTGTAACTTTTGTGACCGTTTCTAACCCCCTGTAACCTTTTGTAACCCCCTGCAATTCCCACTAACCCCTTGTTACCCCTTGTAACCCCCTGTAACCCCTTGTAACCTTTTGTAATCCCCTGTAACCCCTTGTAACCTCGTGTAACCCCTTGTAACCTCTTGTAACCCCCTGTAACCCCCTGTAACCGCTTCAAACCTCCTGTAACTCCCTTTAACCCTTTGTAACCCTTTGTAACCCCTTTGTAACCCTTTGTAACCCCTTGTAACCCTCTTTAACCCCTTGTTACGCCCTGTAACCCCTTGTTACCCCCTGTAATTCTTTGTAACCCCCTGTAACCCCTTTTAACCTCCTGTAACCCCCTGTAACCCATTGTAACCCGCTGTAACCCCCTGTTACCCCTTGTAACCCCCTGTACCCTTTGTAACCCCTTGTAACCCCCTGTAACCCCTTGTAACCCCTTAGAACCCTTTGTAACCCCCCTGTAACGCCCTGTAACCCCCTGTAATTCTCTGTAACCCCTTGTAACCCCTTGTAAACCCCTGTAACCGCTTGTAACCCCTTGTAACAACAACAACATAAGCTTTATTTGCATGACTATATTTATGTAGTTACAGTATTGCAAAAGCTTTAACATAAAAAAAAAACAAACAAACAAATCATAACAATGATAATGCAATGCAATGATTACTATAGTCAATCAAGTGTCATCAGCATGATTTGATAACAAATTATTACGTAAATTATTACATAATGAGACAAATTTCAACAAATGTGAATTTACGGAAAAATTCTGTGAATTCATCAATTTAATTATTAATTCTGTGTAAGATAGCTGATTAAAGTCGACAAAATTTTGTTGGATTTGATTGTAGAATTTCTCCCTTGGGATTGAGTATTTTGAACAATGGAAGAGAAAATGAAATTCGTCTTCAATTATACCAGAGTTACAAATAGGGCAGAATCTATCGTTGCGGGAAGTTTGATTTTATATTCTAATTCGCTACCCCGCTCAAACGAATATAAAACATTTGTCATGTAACAAGCAACCTCAATTGGGGTGTGTCAACACGAGCCGTGTGCGACCCTCTTTATTATGCCTTCATCAACAGAATGGATGGAAATAATACAACAACCAGAATGAAAACTCGGAAATGTAAAAAATTACAGCAAGAAGAACAACCCTACAAAATGATCTAAACTATGCTCGTATAACAATGATTCAGTAAACATAAAAACGTGCTAAACCTTTCATATAGCAGCATGCAAAAAACTACGTCTAAGAGAAACCCCTGGTCACTGGGTATTTAATTTTGACGGCGTAGGGACGGTCGTAAGACGCCAATGAATATAAATGAGAACAACTCGAATATATACAGCCTAGAGCTAATGAAGCAACAGAACAGCATACCATGTAACACCCCAAAGAAAAGGTTACATAACCCATGATAAATACATTTATATTCTAATTCGCTACCCCGCTCAAACGAATATAAAACATTTATCATGTAACAAGCAACCTCAATTGGGGTGTGTCAACACGAGCCGTGTGCGAACTAAAAGAACGGGAAATACGGAAAATTAAATACCCAGTGATAACGAAACCAACACCAATGAATGGACATTATCCTTAATGTAACCGTCTTTTGCCTTATCTGATTTCCAATGGCCGTGTCTTTTAAACAATCTGTCAGGCACTCGGGCATTAGCAGCAGCGGAGGCACCTCCAGCCCTAAGGCTATGGAGACCGTAGTCTTGCTTGGGAAGGCCGATGGAATCGAAAGCGCTTAGCACTATCTCCCGCGTATAAGACAAAGGAACGGACCCGCGCAATTTATAAGCTCCGGTACCGCGAAGGAAAACAAGAGGGCGAAAAATGAATTCTTCGCTGTCAGCTGAAAAAGAAGCGGCCACAAAATATCGTTGAACTAATAAATAAGGACATGTATGCTTGAAAGTTTTAGCGATAACAACCCAAGCCCCATCCCTGTAAACGTCAGTCTTACTTCAATGAACAAAGATTCCCATAAGGTGTCCCATTAGGTGTCCCCAATTAGTGCCAATAGGCACTAGAACGACAAGACACTTTAATAAAGGTTATGTATGTATGTGTATAAAAGAATCCTCAAACTGAAAATCACACCTGCGTAACTGAACCAACTCGTTAAAGCGAAAAAACCCTGCATAACCTAAAACGCAAAGGGTAAGCACTCGTAAATCAGACAAACTAGCTGAAGACGATCCATACTTAGCAAATAAAAGCTGAATAGCCTCGGGGGTCACAGGCTCTTTCTTTTTAACAGGGATACTGAGAAGCCTCTTAGCAGATTCTATTAAAGATAAAACTACACGAGGAATTACAGGGGTCGGGTAGACCTGCCAAATCATGCACCCACTTGAGCCCATAATGGACTTCATCAATAGTACTGCAAGAAGCAGATTCTTGAATCAAGCTCTGCAAGATAAGAAAAAACAATGAAACGTACACACTAGAAGCGGGAAATATTACAATTTCTTTAAACTGAGAAGCCCATTTTCTCCATGTATTGAAGCCCTTTTCGTACTTCCTCGCGGTACTGTCGGCTTTGGATTTAAGAAGAACTGCGGGGAGATCTTGAACCAGTTCCCGGCGCGGAGTCGCCTGTCTTCAACCTGTTGAAAATTAGGCTGCAAGGCATCTTTGAGAACTTCTACGAGGATAAGAACAAAAACATATGGCAAAATTCTTCAATACACGCACTGGGAGTCAATACAGCAATAAAAAATGGGCGCTTGGTAATGCCGCTGACCGGATGCAAAACTATTTAAGGCCATATGGGCCAACTCAAAAACGAAGGTAAACAAGCCACTCGGCGAGCTAGTTTCATGCGAAACGAGAACAAATGAACTGACAAGCGGAATAAAAAACACGTGGGCCAACCTAAAGCCACTCGGCTTGCAAAAAACTAAGGCCCCTTAGCGCCAATTCTGACTGCCAGGACCGCGCTGTTAAACCTGTCTGAACCAATGAGTGAATCTTTGTAACACCCGAGGGCAAAAATCCCTGACGGGTAGGGAAAATGAATGTACTCAAGGACGTACGGTTGGAATTGAATTGCATTTGCGAACAAGAAAGGCCCAAACTCATTAGACGGCCAATAAGGGACGACTAAAGTACGAACCGCACCGCATACCGCACCGCATACAAGGAGATGCTGAACCACCCTAGTAATGCAGTGGACGGGAGGGACTAGCCAATTATTCTCTCCATTCCTTGAGATTGAAAATGTGTCAACAGCTTCAGTGCCGGGTACGCGAAACCTAGAATTGAATCTGGGAAGATGGGCGTCGGCAGCATTCGCAAACCTGTCGACTGTGTGTGGGCCCCAAAGGCGGTCCAAGTGGGCGAAGAACTCGGGGGTTGTATACCAGTCATCGAAGTCTACAATGTAGCTAATCGCATCAGCACAAGCATTAAGTTCCCTGGGAACCCACTGGGGAATAAGTGTAATACTGTAAGTTCGACAAAAATAGAAAATATCAAGCTCAATAGAATGCAATTCTGCACTAGGACTCCCTATCTCCACAATACGAACGGCCCCTTGGCTGTCAGAATGCCACTTTACACACTTACCCCGAACCGAGGCTTTGAACGCACCTAAGGCAAATTGTATAGCCTTAAGTTCTCCCCAGGTAGAGCTCTTAGCTGCTTCGCAAGCAGTCCACATACGATGGGACACCTCATTAGTGCCCACAACAAAAGCCCCGCAGGCGACGTTGCTAGCGTCCGAATAGCTAAACAAAAGGGGAGCATTATAAGGCAAAATAGCTCTCATATTAAGACTAACGATATTGTTTTTCCAGAAAAATATTTCAGAGAGGCAATCATTATGAAGCCCGATATTAAAATGGGAAGCCCAACTACGGCGGGATTCTATGACCTTGTAAAGAAAACGGGTTTTGAGACGAGTCAGGTTACCCAAAACTGGCGACAAGGACATAACATGACCTGCGATAACGGCACAATCCCGAGCCGTAACATAAGGTGCGGATAGAAGAAATTTGTCAATCAGAGCGATAAATTTGCAAATACGTCTATCGATAATAGAAATGGTACCGATAACTAAGTCCCAGTTTAAACCCAACCAAACAAGCACCTGAGTGGGGTTTTATAGTGATTTGGCGGGGGTTGGCAACAAACCCCGCACTGCTTAAGGACGATTGCACAAACAATGAATTTTCCTTGGCCATAGGCAGTGAATTCCCTTTTCCGCACCCATCGTCGAGGAACACAACTATTTTAATCCCGTTAGACCTCCAAAACTTAACGAGTGGTCTGAGACACTTGGTGAAGACGTATGGGGCTGAGCTTAGACCGAACGGAAGTGATGCAAAACAAAAATACCGAACGGTACCAGAAAAAACCCAGGAGAAACCCAGAAAAGTTTGGTGATCCGGAAAAATATCGATATGGTGATATCCAGACTTGAGATCGAAACTGAAAAGGTAATCGCCCTTATTAACATATGATAATGAAACTCTCCAATCTTCACACCTAAACTTCTGTTTCCAAATGAAATGATTGACATGACGTAAGTCCAGAATAAGCCTCTTCTTGCCTGAAGACTGTATCGAGACAGAGAGCAGATTAACGACATGTGGAATAAAGGGCACCTCAACGACGGCATGAGTGTGGACTAATTCAGCGATAGCCGACTCCACGAAAGACTCATTATTAAGAGCTGACTGATTGTTAGAAAAACGCGCCTGACAAGGTGTGCTAATGAATGGGATCCGATAACCGAATTTAATAGTGTCGATAACAAAACTATTGGCACCAATAGTGTGCCAATAACTTAAACAGGACCTAAGTCTACCCTTAAGTACTGGCAATGCAGAATTCTGTTCAAATTCAAATAGATTGCGATCATAATCGAAATCGACTAATGAACTAGAGTCTCTTTCCCTGAAATACTCCAAATAGGAAGGATACATGTCTAATAAATTGAGTAAAGCTAATATCTAACCTTGGAAAACAAGTTTTCAATTCTGTGGTCCTATTTACCTCCAATGCCCGAAAGACCAGAAGAACTAGGAAAGGAGGGCCCCGAGCTTGAAGATCTGGCTTGAGGATTAACTTGACACTGAGACCTCCAATGACCTTGCTAGCCGTAGGCGAAACAAATATCACTTGGTCTCGGTTTGCTGAAAGCGCCAAAAGTACGAGAAATAGGTCTGGAGGATGATGAATGTTGGCCAGCAAACGCGGTGGTTGCGGTAGATGATTGGAGTTGTGAATAACCTTGCTTGGATGGCTTCGCTTTCTGTTGGCGTTGGTTGCGTTTACGAAGGGCCCTCTGTTCGGCACGGCGGATACGCTTTTCGTCCTCTGACCCGCTAGCCAGCTCGTCAGATAAATACTCGTTCACTAAATCCCAACCGGCGGCGGACTTGTCTGCCAGTCTGATAAGTTTGTTGCGCTTCTCGATGTCAGAGTCTAGTTCTTCCAGGTGAGTTTTAACAAGGTCTAATTTTCTCTTCCCGAGAGCAACTGACGCCGACTTCACCTTCTCTGCAAGGTCGGAGTTGAATTGAAACTGTTTCTTCATGATTACCTTCGAATCTAAACTTGATCTTGGATTCTTCTTTGAACTTTTTGGCCACAGAATCGGTATTACTGCACGACTCGTCTTGAATACCGCGCTTCAAGGCGCCCAACTTCTTGTCGAAATAATCCCTGAACAGAGAGAACGCGGACGCTATATCACTGGATTCTGAAGACTGGATTGGTACTGAAGCTTCGAGAGATTGAGACAAAGGTTTTTTAGGAAGCGAAGGCAGCAAAACGTCGCTGCTAGGAAAATCTGTGTTCGCTGGAGTAACGTCTTCGACATTAGACATAATTTTGAGGGCGTAGGGACGGTCGTAAGACGCGAATGAATATAAATGAGAACAACTCGAATATATATAGCCTACCGCTAATGAAGCAACAGAACAGCATACCATGTAACACCCCAAAGAAAAGGTTACATAACCCATGATAAATACATATAACTTATACGAATTTTCACTAAATCTTTCCTATTAGCAGAATTTCTAATTAAGTCTAGATAACTTGAAATTTTATGATCATGTTTAAATAAGCTGTAAAATTGTAGTTTCTTAGAATGATGGATTGTATGTTGCCAACAGGCAATATATTTTTGTTTTATTACATCTATATAGTGTTTGATCTTAGCTTCACTTAAATTATTAGGATCAAAATCAGGGAGGTCATAATATTCAGATATTTTCATAAGATTATGGTAAAAGCTATTTTTACCATTACAGTGAAGTTCTAGCGAAGTACGAAAGGCTTGTTTAACAATAGTATCCTCGTTTTTACGCAGAAGATACAATATGTATTAAAGGATGTTTTATAAATATTAATAATTAAGGGAAACCGTCCTAATTTACTTCTACTTGCAACATTTGAAGCTTTATTGCTTATTTCTAGGTAACGCTTGCAAAATTTCAAGTGGGTTTTTTCAATTGGGGTATTGTCCCAAGCTTTAAAATCATGTTTTACATATACACCCCAAATTTCGCTATTATATGATAATATTGGGGAAATCATCGTTACAAATATTTTGCAAGCAAGAGAAGGTTTTAATTTGCTAAAGTTTGTGTGTTTTCTTAAACTAAAAAGAGCATGCAGAACCTTCTCTTTCAAGTGGTCGAGTGAGATATTAAAATTACCGGTTGAGGAGACACGGGTTCCTAAATACGTATATTCATGGACAATATCAATGGTTTCTTTACCTATATGGAATTCTAGATTGGAGTTTTTCTTCGCTCGTTTTTGAAAGACCACAACTTTGGTCTTTTTGGAATTGCAAAAAGAGGATAATGTGTTGAGACAGTTCTGTAATCCTATTTTAGATCGTGATATAATAATTAAATCATCAGAATATAAAAAAGAATTTAATTTGGTACCGTTTGCAAGGATGATAGGGTCTGATAAAGTATTTTGAAATGCGGACGGTAAGTCATTCACGTATAAATTGAAAGGTAAGGGGCTTAACCCCTTGTAACCTCTTCTAACCACCTGTAACCCCCGGTAACCCATTGTAACCTCCTATAACCCCTTGTAACCCTCTGTAACCCTAACCTAACCCTATAACCCCCTGTACCCCCTGGTAACCCCCTGTAACCCCTGTAACCCCCTGTAACTCCTTGTAACGCCTTTTAACCCCTTGTAACCCGTTGTAACCCCCTGTAACCCCTACTAACCCCTGGTAATCCCCTGTTACCTCTTATAACCCCTTTTAAGCCCCTGCAACCCACTGTAACCCCTTGTAACCCCCTCTAATTTCCTGTAACCCCTTGTAACCCCTTGTAAACCCCTGTAACCCCTTGTTACCCCTTGTAACCCCTCGTAAACCCCTTGTTACCTCTTGTAACCCCCTGTAACTCATTGTAACCCCTTGTAACTCATTGTAACCCTCTGTAGCCCCCTGTCACCGCTTGTAACCCCCTGTACCCCCTGGTAACCCCCTGTAACCCCTTGTAACTCCCTGTAACGCCTTTTAACCCCTTGTAACCCGTTGTAACCCCCTGTAACCCTTGTGACAGTTTAAAACCCCCTGTAACCCCTTGTTTCCCCTGGTAATCCCCTGTTACCTCTTGTAACCCCTTGTAACCTCTTGTAACCCTTTGTAATCTCCTGTAACCCCTTGTAACCTCTTGCCACCCCTTGTAACCCGTTCTAACCTCTTGTATCCTCCTGTAACCCCTTGTAACCGCTTGTAACCTCCTGTAACCCCCTTTAACCCTTTGTAACCCTTTGTAACCCCTTGAAACCCCCTTAAGCCCCTTGTTACCCAATGTAACCCCTTTTAACCCCCTGCAATTCTCTGTAACCCCCTGTAACCCCTTGTAACCCCCTGTAACCCATTGTAACCCCTTGTAACCCCTTGTAACCCGCTGTAACCCCCTGTTACCCCTTGTAACCCCCTGTACTCCCTGGTAACCCCTTGTAACCCTTTGTAACCCCCTGTTACCCCTTGTAACCCAATGTACCCCCTGGGAATCCCGTGTAACCCCTTGTAACCCCCTGTAACCCCTTGTAAACCCCGGTAACTCCTTGCAACCCCTGATAATCCCCTTTTACCTCTTGTAACCCCTTGTAACCTCCGGTAACCCCTTGTAACCTCTTATAACCCCCTGTAACCCCCTTTACCCCTCTTAGCCCTCTGTAACCCCTTGTAACCCCCCTGTAACCCCTTGTAACCCCTGTAACCCATTGTAACCCCCTGTAACCCCTTTCCCTGTAACCCCTTGTAACCCCTTGAAAACCCCAGGTAACCCCTTGCAACCGCTGATAACCCCCTGTACCCCCTGGGAATCCCGTGTAACCCCTTGTAACCCCCTGTAATCCCCTGTAACCCCTTGTAACCTCCTGTAATTCCCTGTAACCCCTTGTAACCCCTTGTAAACCCAGGTAACTCCTTGCAACCGCTGATAATCCCCTTTTACCTCTTGTAACCCCCTGTAACCCCCTTTACCCCTTTTAGCCATCTGTAACTCCCTGTAACCCCTTGTAACCTGTTGTAACCCCATGTAACCCCATGTAACCCCATGTAACCCCTTGCAACATACTGTAACCCTTGTGATCCTTTGTAACCTCATGTAATTCCCTGTAACCTCTTGTAACTGTTGCAACCCCCTGTAACCCCTTGTAACCCCCTGTAATTCCCAGTAACCCCTTTGTAACCCCTTGTTACCCCTTGTAACCCCTGGTAATCCCCTGTTACCTCTTGTAACCCCTTGTAACCTCTTGTAACCCCCTGTAACCCCCGTAACCCATTGTAACCCCTTGTAACCCTCTCTAACCCCCTGTTACCGCTTGTAACCCCCTGTACCCCCTGGTAACCCCCTGTATCCCCTGTAACCCCTTGTAACTCCCTGTAACGCCTTTTAACCCCTTGTAACCCGTTGTAATCCCCTGTAACCTTTGTGACAGTTTGTAACCCCCTGTAACCCCTTGTTTCCCCCGGTAATCCCCTGTAACCTCTTGTAACCCCTTGTAACCTCTTGTAACCCTTTGTAATCCCCTGTAACCCCTTGTAACCTCTTGTAACCCCTTGTAACCCGTTGTAACCTCTTGTATCCTCCTGTAACCCCCTGTTACCGCTTGTAACCTCCTGTAACCCCCTTTAACCCTTTGTAACCCTTTGTAACCCTTTGTAACCCCTTTTAACCCCCTTTAACCCCTTGTTAACCCCTGTAATCCCTTTTAACTCCCTGTAATTCTCTGTAACCCCCTGTAACCCCTTGTAACCTCTTGTAACCCCCTGTAACCCATTGTAACCCCTTGTAACCCGCTGTAACACCCTGTTACCCCTTGTAACCCCCTGTACCCCCTTGTAACCCCTTGTAACCCCCTGTAACCCCCTGTAACCCCTTGTAACCCCCTGTAACCCCCTGGAAACCCTTGTAACCCCCTGTAACCCCCTGTAACCCCTTGTAACCCCCTGTAATTCCCTGTAACCCCTTGTAACCCCTTGTAAACCCCTGTAACCCCTTATAACCCCTGGTAATCCCCTGTTACCTCTTGTAGCCCCTTGTAACCTCCGGTAACCCCTTGTAACCTCTTGTAACCCCCTGTAACCCTCGTTACCCCTTTCAGCCCCCTGTAACCCCCTGTAACCCTTTGTAACCTGTTGTAGCCCCCTGTAACCCCTTGTAACCCCCTGTAACCCTTGTGATCCTTTGTAACCTCCTGTAATTCCCTGTAACCAATTGTAATCCCTTGTAAACCTTTTTAACCATTGTAATCCCTTGTAATTCCCTGTAGCCCCCTGTAACCCCTTGTAACCCCGTGTAACCCCTTGTAACCTCCTGTAACCCCTGGTAACCCCTTGTACCCTCTGTAACCCCCTGTCACCCCTTGTAACCCCTCTACTCCCTGGTAATCCCCTGTATCCCCTGTAACCCCTTGTAACCCCCTGTAACCCCTTTGTAACCTGTTGTAACCCCCTGTAACCCCTGTAACCGCTTGTAAGTTCCTTTAACCCCTTGTAACTCCCTGTATTTCCCTGTAACCTCTTTTAACCCCTTCTAATCCCCTGTAACCCCTTGTAACCCCCTGTAACCCCTTGTAACCTGTTTTAGCCCCCTTTAGCCGCTTGTAACTTCCTGTAACCCACTTTAACTTCTTGTAATCCCTTTTAACCCCGTTTAACCCCGTGTAACTTTTGTGACCCTTTCTAACCCTCTGTACTCCCTGGTAACCCCCTGTAACCCCTGTAACTCCTTTTAACTTTTTGTAACCCCTTGTAACCTCTTGTAACCCCCTGTAACTCCTTGTAATTCCCTGTAACCCCTTGTAACCCCCTGTAACCCCTTGTAATCCCCTGTAACCCCTTGTAACCTGTTTTAACCCCTTGTACCCTCTGTAGCCCCTTGTAACCCCTCTACCCCCCTGATAAACCCCTTTACTTTAATCCCTTGTAACCCCTTTAACCCCTTGTAACCCCTTTTAACCTGTTGTGTAACTTTTGTAACCCTTTTCTAACCCCTCCTGGGACCCCTGTTTAACCCTGTGTAACCCCTTTAATCCCTGGGACCTAATAACCCCTTTAATTAACCCTTGTAACCCCTTGTAACCCCCTGTAACCCCTTGTAATCCCCTGTAACCCCTTGCAACCTCGTGTAACCCCCTTTAACCCTTTGTAACCCTTTGTAACCCCTTATAACCCCCGTTAACCCCTTGTAACCCCCTTTAACCCCTTGTTGCCCCCTGTAACCCCTTGTAACCCCCTGTAATTCCCTGTAACCCCCTGTAACCCCTTTTAACCCCCTGTAACCCCTTGTAACCTCTTGTAACCCCCTGTAACCCATTGTAACCCCTTGTTATCCCTTGTAACCCCTTGTAACCCGCTGTAACCCCCCGTTACCTCTTGTAACCCCCTGTACTCCCTGGTAACCCCCTGTAACCCCTGTAACCCCGTGTAACTGCCTGTAACCCCTTTTAACTTCTTGGAACCCCTTGTAACCCCTTGTAACCCCATGTAATCCCGTGAAACCCCCTGTAACCCCAAATGCCCGCAAACCCCAATATTACACAGTTCGGTTCATTTGTAAATTGACAGCTCGTCAAAATAGAATTATAACGAATAGACTACCCCTGGATTGCCAGTTTTTTAAAATTACTTTGTTCTCTAATAAAACACGCTCCAGGCTATTGCAAGAACTGTAATAAAAACAGATTTACGATAAAAGAAAGTTAAAACTCTGAACGATTGCAGCGGAATTTTCTTGTTTTTTATTGTGTGGCCTTATCTCATCTGAAACCTTATCGAAACGTCAAAAATGATTTGTCCGGAACAATTCACTCCTCGGCTATAGGTTTTGTAGAGCGGCTGCTCTTCAACCAGTGTCGAAACGTTCTCTACAATACATGCCGCTAAATTTGCAAGAAACAAAATGAATCTTTTCATTTCAAAAAGCTGACAAATCGCTTGTCCATGGCGGCTTTAGCTAGTGTCCAGTACCGATGTTCTGATTTACGTTGCTGTTATCTCCAACAAACAGTCCATTTTTTCCAGTGAGATTCGCACGCCGTCACCCGCCCAATCTCCAATTATACTTTGAAGACTCTGATCTCATAAACCTTCGCACAAGCACGATTCAAATAAATGTCCAAAGCATTTGTAATGTGCGACCACAAATCAGGTGAGACCAGATCTGTGACGCACGTATAAAGCAAAGCATACCTGGTTTGACTGATGTTTCGAGTGCTAGGTAATCAACACTACCCGCACAGCACCAATCAGGGCGAACGCGGTTTTCCAAAATCATGGGGTTTTGCAGGAAAGCGTTTCCTTCTTACCCCTCCCCCTCTCCCGTCATTCTTTTTTTTTTCGCTCTTGTCCCAACGTTCTCGACGAACTCGCGAGGAAACGCTTGCTACGCAGCTTACGTCATGTTTTCAACTGAACACGCTTTCAAACGTAGAAAAACAAACGGTCAGGTGTTCAGAGAAGCCTTTCTTCTTAGTCAATCCATCCCATCACTTTTGCATGTCTTCACCGTGGTTAGGATGTCGACATAGTGCTTGATGGCTTGCCTAATTTTGCTTTTCTTTCCTTCTTTGCTGATGGGGTCTTTGTAGGAGGTGCAAAATAGTTTTCGAAAGCATCTCATTTCTTTGGTATGTATGTTTTTTGGAATGTCCCCTGTTAGGGTCCATGTTTCACAGGCGTACAAAAACGTCCAAAAACCCAGGAAGCGCAGCAGTGTTATCTTCGAGTTAGACGAGATGTTTCAACTGCTCTAGGTGGTCTACAATTTTGACAGTGTTGTTGTTGTCTGTGTAATTCTGGACAGTATGTACTTCAGGCTTGGATTTCTGTAAGACCTGTGACAATTACCATCACGTATACTTACACAATGTAAAACTCTGCTAATGCCACTGGAGTCTGCAGTGATTACCATGCCATAGGCTACTGAGGTCTTTTCCAGGTAATCCGCCAGAATGGCTGACGGATTCCTCTCCTTTTCCTGCCAAGCCATTAAGGTTAATGGGCAAAACTTAAGTTGGTGATTGTCCTGCCTATGATGCTGACTGTTCTTCTATGTCTCATCTTCCATCGTTGAGTCAAAATTCTGTCGACGAAGATGTTAAAGAGAGACTTTGTAAGAACAAACAGCGTTGTCTGACCGGTCTCCTTTGCTGCCATCAAGGTAAATCGCAGTCAGGTAGCCTTCATGTAGACTTTGTCTTCGACTCTTTGACTCGGATAAGGTTGGGCTTCTTGCAATACCTGTCAAACGCCTTTGTACAATCCACATAGCGGTCCACATAACGGTCTTTTTGATTTTGTAGGAACCTATCACATAGTAACCTGAAGTTGAAGATTTGTCCCGTTCAGCACCCTACTCTGAAACCTGTCCATTCAATAGCTATGTTTTTTCTCGTCTGTCTGCTTATAGTCAGGTCTCTTAGGGTCAGGATTGTTACAGAGTTGACAAAAGCACCAAACTTTGCACAGCGATAGCTTATTGCAGTACCATGAATATTAGAGGGGGTGCCCAATGCAAATATGCCACTGAAGCGTGCTAAACAGGATTTAATTATTGTAAATTTCACCTGCTGGGGTCCCTGTGGTGTTTTGATTGAAAATTGTTATTTAATACCTTAAATCACTCTGAATTCTATTCTCAGGTTGTAAACAACAATTTCACTCGAACATGTGGCATTCCCATCCATTTTTGCTTATTGATTGTATAATTAAGTTGATTATTACTGTGCCCTTAAAGCAAGTCCACAGTCCGCCCACATTTTCATAAGTCATTTCTAAGATGGCCTCGTCTTTGCTTCATAACTTGCAAGTACTCAGCTTCTGGGGTCTCTTCTCCTTTTCTAATGTATTTCAATTAGAGGAGGCCTTATTGTGTGGCTTAAGCCTTATTTATCAAGTATTACTTGTCATTACATGTCACTTTAAGCTGAAGAAGGCAAACAAAATTTCAGAAAAAAGAAATTGTCAAAGAGTCTGTTGTATCACATATTATCAGGGATTTATGACAGCTATTCATGAAGAGCAAATAACGAAATGACAGAACCCAAAATACTTCTTTCCTAGGGAGGTAATTAATTTTTCAGCTTAACATAGGCCTGGATGCCTTTCAGTCTCTCTTTATCCAGTTATCTGCTGGACGCAAGTGCATGTTTTGACAGAGAAGCAAGCACCGTGGCACAAGTCATATCATTTACAATTTCCACAGTTTGTCTAAGCTTTACAAAGCAAAAACAAGCAAAAAAGAATCTGGTCTTATAAACGAAAAAAAGAAACAAGCTAGCCCAAGCTTCAAAAAACAGCACAGTTTATCATGAAGCCTCTACATTTGGCACTGAAGCACTCATGTCCAAAAATAATAACAGCTTATCAAGTCGTAAAAGTGAGACTCAAGTGGTACAAGATTGACTCAAATGATAAATGGTGAATAGTTTAACTGCTGAAACTGTAGAAAGGGGACCGGGCTAACTTTTAGGGCCTGTTTACATGGAGGAAGGGGACCCCAGGTAGGAATGGTAACCCACTTAGGTGGGGTAACCCGCCTGTCCATATAATCTCTCATTTTAATTTGATCACGTTTACATGAAAGGTGGGGTCACCCTTCAAGGTGGGTAGCCCGGTCTGCCACACCAGGTAACCCTCTCAGCTGAGGTCAAATTTTGCCATGTCAACGTTTCAAGGTGAGGAAACCCAGGCTAGTCGGGGTCAGATTTGAGATACATCAAATTCGCGCAAAATTCACTTTGGCGCTGGGTGGCTTCACATTATTATTAAAGGTAACAATAGAAAGCCACAGCACTGAAGGTTGCAGCAAGAGCAGCAATTGAGCGTAGACGTGGTTTGCCAGCATTTTTCTTGTTTACATGGTTAGCGACCATTCATATAATCTGCACCCCAGGATGGCGGGGTTGTAAGATTGCATGTAAAGGAGAGTTATTTTTTTACCCCACCTAAGCAGGTTACCTCACCTACCTGGGGTCCCCCACCTTTATGTTAACAGGCCCTAAGTCTCAGGAACCGTGAAACTGGTAATCAACGGTATACCTAACACGGGACTACCTATGATACTACCGGCCATCTTCAAGAACGTCAGCATAGCAGCCAAAGAAGCCATTATATCGGTGTAAAACGAATATAAGATTGCGATTCTGTGTTCGTTTTTGTCACCATCTCTAAATATCAATCATGTTCAAAACACCCCTACTAACAAAATATTTCGTAAAGCTCTTTAGAATGATATTCAGCAATAAAAACAAGGTGTGACCAGGAGCCGATTTCTAGGCTCCTGGTGTGGCAACAAAGGCATAAGTGAATGCAAAGTTTTCCAGTATGTAATCTGTCAAAAATCTGTTTGAGTGGTCAAAGTTGGGACTGATGGGCTTCTTTATCATGACTCCATTATTATAAGGGACCAGGCCATAATTATTGTTGACCCCTGCTTTTTTGGTATTTTATGTAATTTTCCACAGCATTATTTTGTGAAAAGTTGGTAACTGAATTGCTCTTGAGGAATTCATGATCGTAAGATTTCGTAACCACGCGGTATTCGCCTAATTGCATCAAACGGATTACATTCATTTTCATAAATGATGCATCATTGGTTGGCTAAAAGAGGCCTTGTTTCTGTAAATTTCAGCTCTTCTGAAGTTAGTTTGTTTGTAAATTGTAACGCACGCGACAACCTTCCTTTTTTTTGAAAGATCGTATAGACCTACCATTAACACTCTGGTCCAAGGGCTCTGAAGTGCTTGAGCCGCTTACAGGTGTATAGGCATGCGGGGACCTCATACACTTCTTTTTAAATGCAAATGTGCAAAAAATAAAGAGTGTTAAAAATTCCTGGAGAGGCATGTTTTACAACCTCGTCCCCAGGGCTTAATAAAAAGGTAGAAAAAGGTAAAGCGACCATATTTTGAGTCAATAAATCGTGACAGTAATAATAAGTGATAAACTTGAGGTCGACGGTGCGCTCCTTTTACCCCCCTCTCTCCATTAATTCTCCGTTTTAAGGGTATTTAAAGCTAGTCAAAGCTACACAGAAAGGAGAGAAGCTGAAATAAGGAGGTGTTGACACCGGGCTCGAACTCGGGACCTCTCGCCCCGAAGGCTGCGCACTAACCAACTGTGCCACCCTTGCTCCTCCTTTTCCCCCTGAGGACGAGGTTGACATGTTTTAATCATTATCTCAAGGACAGGGTTACCAACGAAGCAAATTATAATCTAATCTTAGCTGCACAATTACAAAGAGGGCGCGTTGTCAGTTACGGTTCGTGAGGTCGTTCATGTGGCATGTCAAACTTTAACGATTCTATCGTTTAGGATGTGATACATTTGAGTTTTATGTTATTGTATGACATCTTTGAAAGCTGGCTTTGTGATCTGTTTAAATTGATATGTAATGATATTATCACTGGCAAGTCTTAGCAGTGACACTGATAGCCGCACAGTCCGCACAGTGAACATGGCCACACTTACCGTGTGGAGACTGGGCACTAGTCAGTATTATGTACATGTAAAACTATTTTGAATAGTGTAACAACAACTAAACATTACCAAATTAAAAACTTAAAAATTTTCAACAAGTGTTTTTTAGCCAAATCAAACAAAAAGAGTACTCACCACAGGGCACCCAATCTGCTATTATAGGTGAAAGTTAACCCCCCCTTTTATCTGTAATTAGGACCATTTGTAACGGGCACCCCCTCCAGTATTAATCGGTAGGTGCTAAGGAAGCTCTGTGCCAAATTTGACACTTTTGTCACGTCTGTAACGATCCGGCCTATATTTTGCACTAAGAGACCTGACTATTAGGGATTCAGTCTTTTTAACAATCTCTTGGACATGACTTTGCTTAAATGGCACATCAACCTGATTGTGAGGAAGTTCTTGCACTGTTGAAGGTTCCTTTTCTTGGGAAGGGTTTGTGACCAGCGATTGTGTCCATGATGTGGCCCATTCTCCTGTCTGCCAGAACTTGTTACAGATTGATTTGGGGGCCGTTATCATGGTTTCTCCTCCTGCTTAGAACAGCTCCTCTTGAATATTGTCTACTCCTACTGTGTCTTTAGCAATTTTACATCTGCTTGTACTTGATTGCTCACGCAAAATTGCACAGTTTTCGGTGTTGTTCCTGGTGAGACACCCAGTACATCCTGGTAACCTGTGTGGCTGTACACATAGGTACATGAACCCCGTCACGTGCCTTTTTTGAACGTAACAAGTTTTGTCTCGTAATCTTGAACCCCTCCATGTAGATGGTGTGATCTGGAACCCTTAAGGGGATCCCTGTCCCGAACAATGTAACCAATTCTGCTGTCCATATCAGAGGAAGTCTTTATAAGGAAGCCATAAGTCAATTTGTGTCAAACGTATGATGGGTTTTCTATGCTGATAAAGGGTAATTTTCAAGACTGACAATTTGAAAAGTAATCAGCTTGCTGATTTGAGAAGGAAAATTAGACCTCAACCTAAAACAAGCTAAATGTGAATATCTCTTTCAGGATCATATTTTGGTGATGGAATATTCGCAAGAGCAACTGAACTACTTTAGACTCTGCTACGTGGCATTTAATGTAGTTCCAGTAGGACTGAGGCAGATTTTCAAAAAAGAATGGGATGTTCGGTACAAGACAACTCCACTTGGAGAATGGAAAGATACAGCAAAAAATGGTTGGGATTTTTACGACAACGAATCCGCAGCAAGCCAAAGAAAAAATTCTCGATGTCTAGCCACAATACAGAATGGTAACAGGGCAAATTGGGACTGTGCCTGTTTGTTTTTTTGCCATTCTGTACTCAGACAGTATTGGCACCAGCTTAAGTCCAGCTGTCTACAATGAGATCGATGATGTTCGTCAGGTGCGAAACGAGATCGCCCATATCACTGAGGCTACACTGACAGATGCCAACTTCCAAGCTTCCGTAGATAGAGTGTTGAATGCTTTTACATCCCTTGGTCTTCCTTTAGCTGAAGTCCAAGAAATAAAGAACCAGTTAACCTTTCCAACGAAGGAGCTGGAAAAAATTAAGAAGCAAGCTAGTGATCTTCAAGCTGAGTTAGATCAGACAAAATCTGACTTAAACCAAACAAAAAGCACACTTCAGAGTACAAAAGCTGATCTGGTTTCTGCAAAAGAAGAGAACAAGGCTCTTACGCAGGAAATAAGTAAGAAACTTAAGCCATTTTGCTTTCTGACAAGTACCCCATCACACGATACTATCAGCCGTCCCACTACGTTAATAGAATCACCAACAAGATGCAGGAACTTTACAACGGTTCCAACGGAGCAATCTGTACAGTGTATTTGTCTGGAAATCCAGGGTGTGGGAAGAGCCAACTTGCCAGGGAAATTGGAAAGTAGTTCTTTTCTGAAAGATTCGACGTTAAAGATTGAACACAGAAAGTATTGAGACACTTGCAGACTCTTACCTTACCCTCGGAAGACACTTAAAGATAACAGAATATGCCTTGACAAGCTTAGAATCTTTAAAAAGTGAGAGCCCTTTTGATGCAATTCAACAGCTTCATCGACTGATTAATCCCAAGGTTAGCAAGTTTACGAAATGGCTGATTATTGCAGACAATGTGTTTGACTTACGCTCAGTCCGCTCCTGCCTCAAACGGGAAGCAAGGAATGGGGCCATGCCAAGTGTTGATTACTACTCAGGATAGCGCTAAATTTCCGCAAAACACTCCTCATACGTATCATGAATCGTTAAGTAAAGGAATGAGGCGGGACGAGGCAGAATAATCGCAGAGGAAAGTATCACAAGTTTCAGAGCAGGTAGAAAATGTCGCTGAACCTCTTGATTTTCAGCCACTGGCCTTAGCTGCTGCTGCTTATTACGTGAAAACTGTTAAGGCCAGTGGGTCATGGAATTATGATTGGAAATCATACCTCCATGACATATCAACATAAAGCCAACAAAAAGAGATTTAAACTGTCCTTGCGAATGAGAGTCCAGCCTATGGTAAAACAACAATGGCTGCCGTAGAAATGGCTATTCAAAAAGCTGTTGATTCTGACGAAGTTCTTCTCCAGACATTCTCTTTTCTTGCGCTGTGCGCTCACGGTGACCTCCCACTCGAAACTGTTTTGAAGTTCGTAAAATTCCAAGTAAAAAACTAACCGGAGGAATTAATAAAGGCGAAGATTGTAAGGTCTTCTTTAATTCCTGTTCATGTCGAGGAAGGGGATGAACGCATTTACTTGCGCTTGCATAAAACTGTGCATGAAGCTTTGAAACGAGGAGAAATGTTTCACCTCAAATCAGGGGAGAATGACCACAGCATGGCTGAAGCGGTTAAGTTTTTCAAGTCACAACTTGATGGAAATGAGGAGAACTATGCGTTTTTAAAGATATTGAGGCCCCACTGTGAATCTTTACTTAAGCACATGGTGTCAGGGTTTAGGTCGGATCAAAGCTCTTTCATAGAAAGGTTCATCCCCTTTGTAGGTTTGGATATAGTTAATGATTGGCTATTTAACCTTGCCAGTATCTATCGAAAGCATTCTTATTTCTTCTTTGCGAAAGATGTGGTCGATTTCGCAAGCAACCTACTGGAGAACATAAACGAAACTATTTCAGGTGCGTTCATGAAAGCGAGGATTTTCGACATTAGTGGTATAGTGTACAGAGACATTGGGGAATACAATCAAGCTAAAGAACTTCACATAAAAGCTCTGATGATCAACCAAAAGACATTCAGTGAAGACCCTGCCTTTGACAATGACAATCTGGCTTCAGTGTGTAACAGTCTGGGAGAATACGATCAAGCCAAAGAATTTCACGAAAAAGCACTGACGATTTACAAAAAGATTTTCGGTGAAGATCATGGCTCTGTAGCGACAAGTTATAACAACCTTGCATTAGTTTACGAAGGCCTTGGAGAATACAATCAAGCCAAAGACTTTCATGAAAAAGCGCTGATGATCTTGAAAAGGATTTCTGGTGAAGACCATGCTTCTGTAGCAACAAGTTATGGCATCCTAGCATCAGTGTGCAACTGTATGGGAGAATACAATCAAGCCAAAGAACTTCACGAAAAAGCACTTACGATTTGCCAAAAAAATTTCGGTGAAGATCATACCGATGTGGCAACAGGTTATAACAACCTTGCATTAGTGCACGAAAACCTGGGAGAATACAATCAAGCCAAAGATCTTCACGAAAACGCGCTGATGATCCGGAAAAAGACTTTTGGTGAAGATCATGCCTATGTAGCAACATGTTATAGCAACCTGGCATCAGTGTACAACAGCCCGGGAAAATGCAATACAGCTAAAGAATTTTTGGAAAAAGCCCTGATGATTCGCAAAAGGATTTTTGGTGAAGATCATGTCTCTGTAGCAACAACATATAACAACCTGGCATTAGTGTACGAACGCCTGGGAGAATACAATCAAGCTAGAGAACTTCTCGAAAAAGTGTTAATGATTTACGAAAAGATTTTCCGTGAAGACCATGCTTTTGTCGCAACAGGTTGTGACAATTTGGCATCAGTGTACAACAGCCTTGGAGAATATAATAGAGCCAAGGAGCTTCACGATAAAGCACTGATGACTCGCAAAAAGATTTTCGGTGAGGTTCATGCCGATGTAGCAACAAGTTATAACAACTTGGCATTAGTGTTTGAAAGCCTTGGAGATTACACTCAAGCCAAAGAACTACACAAGAAAGCGCTGGTGATCTGGCAAACTATTTTTGGGGGTGATGACCATTCATCTGTAGCAACAAGTTATGGCAACCTGGCGTCAGTGCACAACAGCCTGGGAGAACATAATCGAGCCAAAGAACTTTACGAAAAAGCACTGACGATTTACAAAAAGATTTTCAGTGAAGATCATGCCTCTGTAGCAACAACTTATAACAACTTGGCATTAGTGTACAACAACCTAGAAGTATATAATCAAGCCAAAGAGTTTCTCGAAAAAGCGTTGGTGATCTGGCAGAACATTTTCGGTGAAGTTCATGCCTCCGTAGCAACATGTTACGACAACATGGCATTAGTGTACGACAGCCTGGGAAAATACAGTCAAGCCAGAGAACTTCACGAAAAGACGCTGATCTGGAAAAAGATTTTCGGTGAAGATCATGCCTCTGTAGCAACAAGTTATAACAACTTGGCATTGGTGTACGAAAGCCTAGGAGAGTACAGTCAGGCCAAGGAACTTAACGAAAAAGCGATGATGAGGTACAAAAAAGTTTTTGGTGACGATCATCCTTATGTAGCAACAAGTTATGACAACCTTGCTTCAGTGTACAACAACCTAGGAAACCAAACTAAAGCCAAAGAATTTCGCGAAAAAGCACTGATGATTCGCAAAAAAGATTGTCGATGAAGATCATGCCGATGTAAAGACAATACAAGTTAAAACAACTTGGCATCAGTAAATGACAACCCGGGAAACTACCACAAGCCAAAGACCTCGAAGAAAAAACTTGAAAATAAAGAAACAAATTTCGGCGTGGATCACTTCCAACAACGAGACATTAATTAAGGATCGTCACTAGAGAGCACGTTGTTTGATCCTATGAATGACTGCGCGGAGAGGATGGCCGCTGCAACTGTCAAGTGTAACGGAACAAACTTTGTAAACGCGTCAAAACTGCAAGACCTGGTTTTTGTTATGCCTGGAAATAAAGTGTTTACGGGGAAAAGGGGTAAAACAGCGACGTCATCAAGGAATTTTTTCAAGTAAAGGGCCAGACGTCTACCCTTCAGATAAAAATGCTTTCACGAAATAAAATTATTATTTTTTTGCTAGATTTCAGCTATACGCATGGGCGTATGTGCCTGTATGGGAGCTCCAAAGCTACAAATGACTAGAGTCTCTCCGATGGAGATTCGGGACACAGAAGCGTAATCAGATTGACGTATAATAAGAACACTTAGGCGAACTGATAAACTTTAAGATAAGGTTGATTCCAGTTTGAACGTATTCGAATTTCAGCTGACTTTATCATGTGACTTTTTTTTGGAGGATTCGATAAAGAACTCGAGAATCGGGGAGTTTGACTGTGGTACTTGGATTTGATATTAAGTCGTTAAGTTAGATTTTGGAATGAAAAGATAATTTACACCCCTAAGCGAGACGACGAGCATCCCCACCCCTTTCATATGCCGAGTCCCCCCCCCCGGGCTCACATCAGACGCGCAGAGCGGCTACACTATCGAGTATTGAACATGACTGACGCGAGCAACACTGTGGCAGCCGGGTCGAAATATGCTCTTCCGTACGGTGTGTCGAAATATTAGAATTATTCACCGTACACTTTGAACGGCCGAGTGTGGAGTGTACGCATTAGTGAAGTAGTCATTAGTTTTTGTTTATTTTAAGTGACGTCAAATGAGAAGCTATGAGAGGCATGACAAAGGTGACAGCGACACTCTTAGAAAAGAATATCGTTTTCTTTGTCATATTTATTACCGGTGGTACCTTTTTTGAACTTTTTGGTTTCGTGTGTTCGTATTAACGAGGAGATGTTGTAAAGAAATAATACTCTGTCCGTTGCCACATTAGCCTGTTAGAGTGGGAGTGCTTTTTTCGCGGCGGAGCCGCTGGAAGAGTGGGTACAAGTCATTTTGAAATCCCGGCTGGCACAATTCTTGGGTGTTTTGAAAAGTCCGCAACCTGGCTTACGGGAGTTTCTAATTGGCTGAGAAGCGATAAAACGCCAATCAAATGATAATGGATATCTCTCAAGTATCTCTACTATCTCCCAAGGGAAAGTTAGCACGTTCATGTGGAAATGAAATAAAGTCTAACGTGCAACATGCAGTCGTATTTGGTTACCCTTGGCCTGGCTCGTTCGCAGGTCAGTTTCGTATTACACCACTCTTCCTGATTGGGTAATCAAATGTTTCCAACCAAGGTGACGAAAAGTGGGCGGCATTCAAAACTTATAAGAAATGTGGCAGATGGGATTTTCCGTCGCTTCGCGTGGCGGCTCCCCCGCCAAGAAAGTACCCCGGGCACAAGAATCCCGCCATCTTCGCAGGCTATGGCCACATAGGCGTAGCCTGTTTCGGGCGTACAGATCGCGGGGACGACTCGAAGAGATGTGAGCAGGAAAAACAGCCGGGGGGGGAGGGGACTATCTCAACGCCGGGAATAGGCTAACATTGACGGGATAGTGTTGTACTGTACTAGTACTAGTGTTGTACTGGCAACCTCGATGCCAATAAAACATGGATCATAACAAGTTTTCATCTTTCTATAGTACAGCTGTGGTAACCTTTTCCCTTTATTTTTCTTAATGCCGACGTAGTAAATGCTCAAAGTGGAAAGTATACTCCTTAAAAAAATCCAGTCGAGCCACTTAAAAGACCCACATTTCTAATCGGCTGCGTGTGTCCCTGAGCTGTGCCCCTCCTCTATTAACCACCTTCAGGTCAAAGTTCAACGCTTTATGGTTGAACAGGTCAGTCGGTCAGCGGAGCAATGCAGTGGAAATTATCTAATTTTGTTAACATCTGCAAGGACCACACTTACGTTTACGGACGAAGCCACTCTGGATATTGTTGACAAAAATATCAATTAACCATTATTCACGTGTGGAAAAAGGGCAAAATGCGCAACACTTAGTGCATTTACGAACGGTATTTGGTGAATTTGGCCTTTGAGGCGAATCTTTTCTTATAGCTGGTTACATAGCTAGTAGAGGAAAACAATGGTGCTGTAGGTTATGTTGGAAGCTCCCTGATCCCTCACAATCCCTTGTTTTTTGGTTAACAAATTGTGACTGAATAAATTAATGCAATGTCACTATTGGTCAGTAAGTTCTAAATGATAGGAATACTATTGAACGTTGTGCACGGTTAGGTCCCAAAAAATTCTCACAAAAACATATAACAACGGGTTTCCCAACCATTCCACTTTAATTAACTACGCTGGTTATTACTCATAACTGTCATTTATAGCATGCTTCCCATTTTCTAATCTAGTTATAAAAGGGTCATTTCCGAATATTGAAAGGACATAAAACAATAAGTTTTTCCGAAAATTTAAGTCCAAACTCCCAAATATTCTTTCAAATATATGATGTTAATAACTTGAAAATTTTACCTAAAATTGACAGTTCTGCCACCCAGAAATGTGGTACTTTTACATGGCTAATATTTCCTCAACTTATTCAAGCAAAAAGCTAAATATTACGCAGGCTGCAAGGCTTTTAATTATTATCGTTGTTTTAATTTATCTTGATGGTAATGAAGCAAAATGTAAACAAAGATATCCGCGTAGATCCTCCTATCGAATCAGCGCGAATCAAGTTAACAACCAAAAACAACAAGGAAGCAAAATGATTCAAAACATCTCAGCTATGACAATATTGATAGCTGAAACAACCACGATACTTTATCAACAATTGGTTAACTGACTTATATTTATATAAACTTAATTAAAAACACTATTCCATGTCTTTCAAAAAGTTTTTGTAAGATTAAAACAAGATAAACCTTACACGCATACCAGAAAAAAAACACCTTAAAAGAGTTTTTGTTCCAAAGATTTATTTATTGTTATTAGTTCGAAAATAACTTTTAAAGGAAATCACCCAGACGACAGGGCTAACAACTTCGCCTAATTCAACATGTAGATCTTAGAGTTAAGGATACTAAATTACACTTAAAATAATACTGAATAGGGGAAAAAAGTTTTCTTATCCTGTGATAAATACTTTAGTGGTAACTAAAAACGCCTTTTTATAAAATGATTACTGATATGCAATACTGAATTTACCAATAACACTACTCCAGTTCTCGAGGTTATTTAAGTTTACCCTTTTTTCAGTACAAATGCAACAATCCAACGGTTTCATTGGAACTGGTCAGTCATGTGGTAAAAAGAGAATGCCATGCTGAAGATCAAGAAATGCACCTGGACAAGACAAACAACAGCCTGAGAAAACGGTGGACATTTAGCGACGCCACCGGCACCACTGGTTTCCCGACGATTCCGCGACGAAATGACGTCTGAGAAACGAGCGCCCCCGGCCAGCTCTGGGTAGTGCTTTTGATTGGTCGCGTCGCGTGGGAAATTTGCCTCAACCAATCAGAAGTACTATCCAGATCTGGGTGGTGATCAGTACGTCATCAGTACGGAATTTCTGTGCTCATTTCTCACACGTCATTTCGCGGGAAACCACAAGTTGGCGTCGCAAAATGTTGGCTGTTTTCTTACGCTAGACAAACAAAGGAAGCTATCAAATTAAATGATGTGAGCCCTTTGTTTGTGTGTCCAAGTGTGCTTCTCGCTCTCCATCGCGGCGTTTTCGTTCCAAGTGACTGACGGTAACTAGTCAAGTCGCCCAAAAGCCATCTCCCTTTAAGTTATGTGCCCGAAACTAGGGTAATGTCGCCGAAAATTCAAAGCTATTTCTCACGAAATTTATCTGAAGTAATACACAGATAAACAGAGTGGAATAAAGCTGTGCGTGCAATATACCTCGTTCTTTAAGTTATGATAAGACGAAACAAGCGTGATAAATGTGCAATCAGGTTCAGTTTGACTTGACTGTAAATTTTGGGCGGCATAACTTCGGCCGAGATAGCTTTCAGAAGACTTGACCATAAACCTGACTGACCAGCTGCAAAGGACCCAGTGCCAAGTTCCTTGTCTCTCACACAATCTCTCCTTACTTACAAAAATTGTGTGACAAGCCCAAAGACCCATGACACAGGAGGCCGAACAACTTGCAGATTTTGTACAAAAATAATTCAATTTAAGATAGTTTTTGCCGAGTGCTTATTTGCGAGCATACTAGCAATATTACGCTTTGAAAATTGATGGCTACCGAATCATTTCACACTCTAAAATAAAGATTTCCACAATATAGTCATCCTAGTTCAAATAACTGTGTCACAAAATTGAGCAGCAGGATTTCTTGGCCGGTTTACTGTTTCTTCTTTGCTGTTCTTCCAGCTGCACGTAAAATTTTCTGAAAAAGATTTAAAACACTCAATGATCACCTCTTTGCTTGACTTCATAACAGAGTAACCAGCATGGGAAAATCTCGAGTTAGTTGCAGTTAGCATTTTTTCAAAACATTATTTTATACTTATCACAGGGTAGCAAAGGAGGCGAGAGTGCTTATCATGCATCACGCTGACTTATTTTACTGAGGGCCATTACGCATCATGGGAATAAAAAGTTAGCCATCATGCATCATGAATATTAGGTGCAATTGCAGTCAGTTACAGGGGCGGATCCAGGATTTTTTTTAGGAGGGGGTGCACTCGTCTCTTGCTCTACTTCGACACCAATAAACCACATAGTTTTTGTTTTTTGGCAGAATACCAGTTGTATTAGAAAACCGCAGGTCATCCCAGGGGGAGGGGGTACGCACCCCCTGCACCCTTCTCCTAGATCCGCCCCTGAGTTAACATGGCAGGATGTTTACAGAGGACAGGTATACACAATTTTCCAAATCCTTCCTGCTACCCCATCCCTATGCACATGTGCACTGTGTGTACAGGTAGCTTTGCCCCTGCAGTGTTGTTGAAACATTGAAGGTCATAATAAGATTTTGACAAGAAATAATAGGAAAAAGAAAACGAAAAAGAAAAAGGATCAGAACATTATGTCATGACCATCTTGTTTTAACATCTGTGCTTCTAGTTTCAAATAATATACACCAATCCTGGAGTCATGTGTTGTGTGTTGTGAAAATGGTAAATCATGCACTATGCTGCTATGCCCAATCACTACTCACAGGGCTAACTTGGGCCCCCATCATGTATCATGCTGATAATTTGGGACCCACCATGCATCACCGAAAACCCCTTTGCCACCCTGTTAACAGCTTAGTCAAAGTTCATCCACGCTGAGTGTAATTTTACCATGGACACACATGAATAACAACTCATCATGGTCGGGTAGGTAAGGGGTGCTTCCCATTTACACAAACCACCCGGGTGGAATCTTGTGCACAAACATAGAACTATAAAATTTGACGTGGTGGGAGAAGGACCAGCTACGAAGTATATCCAAATCAGCTGAAAAGGCTAAAAAGAGTGGAAAAATTACATTGCCCCAAATCACAGCCCATATTTCCTAGAAAGATTCCCAAATGGAGTGACGTACGACACCATTTGATTTTCCAACCAGAAATTGTGGTTTTCCCATGAAACTATCACAGCATCATTACAGTTTTGACAACCCTTTGCACTAAACGAACGGCATTACCTGATAGCTCTTACGAGGTCGTGGAATGCCTGATCAACATTGGTTTTCTGTTTTGCACTAGTCTCAATGTACTGAATCTGTTGAAAACAAAAAGAATTTGATCACCCTACTGCTTGCACGTCATGTCAAGGAATGGCAAGCAGCGTACTAAGTTTGGAATAAAGGAATACAATTAGGAATTATTAATGTTTAAAGGCTTGTTTGTAGTGGAAAGTGAACTTAGCTTATCTAGTTAGTTTACAGGCACTCCACACAAAATACAACATAACAGGAATAAAAACCTAAAATGACAGGAGGCAACCAGCTGGCTATTTACAACTGAGGCAGAGGATTTGAGCTCGGGACCAGGAACAAATCCAGCAATTTGCCAGAGTGGGACTCGAACCCACGACTGACAGATTGTGACCTGACGCGCTGACCACTTGGCCACACTGTCTCCTTGATTGCAGTTTTGCAGACAGCAAATGCACATAAGGATGTGAGACGATTTAAAGGAGTAATCAGGAATGGCAAAGCCAGAGGGGTTGAGAGTGGGTGGGGCTGGTACAGCTGGTACAGCTGACAATACACAAATTAAGAAGCCGAAAAAGCACAGAAAAGCTCAAAATTCAGTTTGGAGTAGATTCGGTGAACCATTAGGGAGACCAGGAAATTGGTGCTGAATACGGGAGACTCCCACGTAATCCGAAAGAGTTGGCATCATAAAGCAATTTTCTATTTTTTTTTTACCCCCAAGTGCATGGCTATAGTATACTGAATGGGTCTTCTGTCTGTAAAACACTAAAAATGATTATTTTCAGCCCAATAACTGTGGCAGTTTATCTTTGATGAAGTATTGTTTGATTACTTGCCTTGAGTTCGGCTGCCAGTTCTTGTCCCTCTGATGTTGAAACCTTAACAAAGTAAACACGAAAATTTTAACTGAAAGAGATCATATCCTTCAAGAGGCGGCAGATGTCGCCAAGTGGTTAAGAAATCAAACTCTGGATCTAAAGGCCAGGGGTTCAAGCCTTGCCTGTCACATTGCTACCTTAGACAAGGAACTTTACTCCACTTTGTCTCTTCACGCAGGTGTATAAATGGGTACCAGTTACTTACTGCTGAGGGGGGGTAACCCTGCAATAGACTAGCATCCCATCCAGGGAGGGGTTGCAATACTCTTAGGCATTCTTCATGCTAAGGAAACTGGAATAAGCTCTGGCTGTTTGGGTGTTTGTCTTGTGTGTCCCTTTACATCCGTTAAGATCACCCATGCAGAACATTGATGCAGTTAAAATATGGATATGAACACCCATTCTTAATACGTTATAACAGGCAATTCCTGTACAATTTTCAAACCATATCAAGGCAGAAAGAAAAATGGTGTTAAATGAAATTTTCATTATAATCTAAGGTTTGACAAAGAAGCTTTTCCACCAGATTCCCCAAATCAACTTATTGTTCTCTCTGGTTGTAGATCAGATTTGTTTTCAACCAATATCAATGGAAATAGTTTTGACTATCATTAGCTTATCCAGATTCCCTGAATCAACTTACTGTTCTCTCTGGTTCTAGATCAGATTTGTTTCCGACCAATATCATGGGGAACTCTGACCTGTAATCATAACAAAGATAACATTTTAATCAAAAACCAACTTATTGCAAGGGACAGATCTCATATTGACTGTTACACACAAATTTAGCTTGACTGACAGGACATGAAGCCACTTGCTTTGCACTCTATTTCTCTACTTCACAGTTAAGTGTACTATCTCAGAAAAATAGTCACCAGGCAGAGTTTTTTTTAATAAGGGTGACAAAACAAGGATGAGCCTCATTAACTCGCTCCCCCCTTGTCTAATGTCAGAACACTTTTAGGTTAAGAGTAATTATGTTAACCCTAGCCATATAGTTGCATATACTACTATGAAGAAGATTACAGTGGAACCCAGGTCTACAGACACCTGCACAGGGCTCGAAATTAAAAAAAATGTCTGGTCGCAAATTTGCGACTAGTTACGAAAATTTGGTCGCAACTTTGAAAATGTTAGTCGCGAAATTAATTGAGGCCATTTAATCAAGAAATAAGTAGGCTTTTAAATGATTAACGCTTTAATTTTCATTCTTTCAACAGCTTTCATGTCATTTCGAGACTTAATAGTACAGAACGTTTAGCGTCTTGGACAACACCAGTTCATCTAAACGATCAAGTTGAACCTGCGTTAAGGCACATAAATTAGTGTCTGTTATTTTAGTCAAAGCGATAGATTTCCAAATCATGAACAGATATTACAGCAGGAAACTGCAGTTCTTAAATGCCTCCAATCTCTGCAAAATAGCAATAACATTTGTACTGGGCGGACATCCGACATGGTTATAGGTTACGTTACGTAACTAAATTCCTTTAGTTTTACCTTTTGCAGGTTTTCCACCGATGACAAAACAAGTAACGAATTCTTTTATATATTAAGCTTTACATCTGAAGTATCAGGGGTATTACTACAGTGATTATTCAAAGAACCCTGAAGGACTGAATCATTCAATACGACGATACGTGCCATGCGGACATTCCGCCATCTTTGTTTGCTAAACCTCGTTTTCATGTATACGCAGATTCATCTCGAGGAAGATTACTGTATCTTGGTTTTGCCGGCTGCTGATTGATTAAACGTGAGAATTCCTCTTGTTTTCTTGAGTATATAACTTTAGCTCGGTCGATTTCTTCGTTTAAAATGTGACCTTTGAAACAATTTAAGTCGCTTTCATCCGACATAATTGACTCACTAAAGAAGAACACATGTGTACTGTGAGGGCCGTAACGCGGGTCATGAACGCAGGAAAAGTCCTCAGCATGCTGGCGGGACTGTCAGCGGCAAATCAAAACGAAATATAAGCCTGCAATGTACATGTTTACAGAACCCGCTGAAAATGGCGTGCTGTCGAAGGAATATCGTTGCGTGTATGCATTCCAGGTAAATTACGGTAAACCTTTAGATTGTAACAAAATTATAAGACGCTACTTCAATGAATCTTTTTATTTCTAAATTTATTTAAGCAAAAATTCAAGTGCTAGTCCTTTTATTTCGTATCAGTTAAGGCAAAACCTAGTCGCAAATTTGCGACTACTCTCGTTTTTCTAGTTGCAAATAAGAAAAATTGAGTCGCAAATGCGACCGTATCGGTCGCAATTTCGAGCCCTGCTGCATACCGCAAACAGTTTTGTTTGTCCCAACAAAAAACTCATATATTTTCTCTCAAAGTAACCACTAATTAATATGGACAATGGACATTTATTTTCTGTGTCACAAACTTCCATATGTCATTAACCCCACTTTATGAATATTACTTCATGCTATGAATATCCTATCAATGAAAAACCTAATAGAAACAGGGAACGACCTTTCAAAGGGTCTGTCTATAATATCCAGTCCACCTGTCTGAGTTGCAAACTTAACTAGCAGCATTAGTACAAAAAAAATCAGATTCCATTGTCGTGTTTTAAGAACATTTAAAACTAGAGGTAATTTTAGACCAAGATTATTATAAATGATAGTGAGGTTTCTTTAGGAAGAACTTCTCACAGGCACAGTTAAGAAATTAAACAAAGTTTTCTTCTAAAAATGTCTGCTTTAGTCCTTCTTTTGACAAAACATGTGTCCAAGATGTTTTTTGTGGGGGCCGGGTCAGATCAGCCAAATAATACGGACACTATAACAGGTCCCGTGGTGTCCATATTAACTAAGTGCAGCCACTACACACTACCAGTTTTTGCAATTTCATGGCAAATTTTCATTTCCAGTAAGATTATTATGATACTGTTAGATTGGAAAATCAGCTGAAGAGTGCACAACCATAATTATGACACAACTCAGCGACAGCTAGCTTAAAATTACTTGCTCTAGCCTTCTCAAGAAACATCACCATATGTTATGCTAAAAGTGTATGAAGGCTATTTTTTTTTACACACCTATCTTTTACTCGTAATATTTGGGGATGAAATGTGCGCTTGATTTCTTCAAAGCTGTGAATAAGAGAAGAAATATTTGAGTGTTATCAACTATAATTAGCATTATTTTCAACAAATTGTTTGCCAGGGATGTGCATGGACAAAGCTATTTTTCAATCATGTGCACATGATGCAGTTCAAGGTACAACAGTACAAACCTGGAACGATCTAAGAGAGAGAAAACTAATAAAAATCCCTCGCCATTTCTCATGTATTGTTCTCTCATTGCACTGAATTCCTGAAAATGAAATAAAGAAGCCGATGTTAATAAACTGTCGATCTACCCAGTTGAGTAGCAGGATTAATCTACCAACAGAATAAAATAATATCTAAATATAGACTGTTGACCTTTCAAATATAATAACATTATTCTATTTTGTTACGTAGCAAAGTAAAAAAGAGAAGTTGACAACACTGCTTTGCTTAGTGGAGGTTGCAAGGCTGTGATCTAAGAAAAATTACCAATGCTCTGAACTTAGCTTGGGAAAACCAGGGTGCCCAACTTTTGATTTCTCCACAAAAACTGAGATGTCCTGGTCGCCCATGAGCAAAAGCAAGGCATCAGGTGCTCCCGGGTGCTCCTAGAACACAGCTGCCTTGGGTTGGGTGCTTTTCATGGTATGTCCAGGGGGCTTGCACTCTGGCAGAGCCAGCCCGTACATAGAGTTATACCCCCATAGCTGGTAAATCCATGCCCCCCAGTCATGACCGCCACCACCAGCAGAAAAATAAAGGTAAAAACATGATTTCAGGTTAAATGAAGCCCAGGAGCTTTCACAAATTAAGTGTCAAGCACTGCAGAAGGACAGCTTATTTTTGTAGTGTACACGTAGAGAATGCATGAGCATTCAAGCCATAAGGCTTCTACTTAAGCTTACCTCTTGACCAGCTGTATCAAGAACTGTAAAAAAAAGAAAAACAAATATTAAATTGCAAATTTAACCAGCGTAAAAATTTTTCCAATAAAATGGGTGTTCAAAAATTTAAATTATTGAGAACAGTTAGAATTACTTGTGGTCAAAGATAGTACAAATTTCCACATTGTTCTCTATACATTTCCACTATTTCAGCATCAGAATCATAAAGACAAATGTTGACAGTCTGTACTTCATGTGAGACTTCAAAGAATGTCCTAAGCTACACCCATGCTTTAACGGTACCTAACAGCCCACGTTTATAATTCCCCAGGGGGTACTTTGGACGACAGAAGGATTTTTGGGGGCTTGAAATTTTCGTTTCCGGGATTCTTTTGGGTGGGAAAATTTGACAAGTATTTTTTTGGGTGACTTGATTTACAGGAGTGTAAGTAGGAACTTTTTGGGGTATTCAAAACAATATGAAGATTGGTGGTTGTGCCTGTGAATCCCAGCCGCAAATACAAACATTCAGTTTCCAATTTATTTTTTGTGTTATGCCCTTTAATGCTCTCTGGGAAATTTTAAGGCTCGGAAATTTGGCATGGGATTTTTTGGGGGTTAATTTTTGGTCCAGGGATTTTTTTGGGTTTTGACGGAAGCGCTGGGGATTATTTTCGGTTTTGATTTTTACCCCCACTCGATCATCCCTGTCACATGAAAGCCGGAGTACCCTACCTGGGTAAAATTCTAACATGTTTCTGAGGCTTTATGGTTATTTTTCCATATTGAATGGAGTTGCGAGAAATTAAAATGGAGTCATGAAAAATTTGCAATTTTGTCTCCGACGCCTCGGCGCGATGTAAGAATTTATTCTAACATATTGAATGTGGGCTATATATCTATTGAGGGGGTGGAGGTGGGTGAATGGGTAATATTGATGTTTTTGGGGGGGGGGGGGCAAAATGTGAAAGAGAAGAGATTGCTATATATCGAGTCTCCAGATTGTAAATCTCCACATATGTTTTCATCTCTACATATATAATATATAATATACCACCAAGTTTTTCCAAATTAGGTGGTGAATTTTACTACACTGATCATAGATGCATGCTTAGATGGTTCATATTTTCTCATATAAGTCGCAATGATTGATCTATCCACTTAATTTGACACATGCCATGCTGTCACCTGAGGTTCTTACATGATGCTAATAGTCTAAGCTTAGCTATGTTTGAGATTGCCAAACGAGATACTAAGAGCCTCTAATGTAAGTTCTGGCTTTAATTTTAACTATTCACTAAGCTTTAAAAAGAATGTAAATTTTACTGAAAGGAAAAATACTAAAAGCATTAAACAAAACAAAAAATATATATGAAACAGGACCCACACATGAAAGTGAGAGCTAGAAATTAAAGTGCATTACCTTGCTAAGAATAATGTCACTCACGATCAGTTGAAAATAGTTATGGGCAGGAAATTTTCACAAGATCAATATCTAAAGTAATTATCCCACCGTATAATTGCCTTGGACAGTCTTGAATCATAAATGTTTATACCCTTTTCATGAAAAAATACTTTCTGTACTCTAAATATAAAGGATGAAGCATGCCCAGTCCTCATGGCTAAAGGCAGAAGGGCGCTAGAAACAGGTATCAATTGAAAAAGAAGAACTTGGAATAGAACATTTTTTCATCATTTCTTCATGCACATTAGCTGAAAACGAGAAATTTAGAAATTTAGTCAAAGAAACGTGCACTCCCCATTTCAGCTAAATTCTGAAACGTACGTAAGGCTTATTATCTTGGTGTCTTTCTGCCTATGGGCACAAGTGAAAGTTTGTTTTACAACAATATAATAATTAGAACATCAAATTTATTGTGCTTTCAGGGTTTACAATAATTAATATTCTTTTGTGCCAAAGAAAACGATTTACGTAAAGTGACTGAACCCCCTAAAACGGACGACCAACAGTTATACAAATCAGTTGCCATTTTCAACCCTGGCTATTATGGGAAACAAGTATGAACGACATGCAGAGAAAATGATGCACTTAAAACAATTACGATCGTAGTTTCATAAATGAATGAGTCGAGAAACGCCGTGACATCCCAACCTGATCATGCAGATTGAAAATTTTCAACAGCATCGATTTTAACTTGTTACGTTTCTTCGACAAGTCGACGGTCATGATTTGCGGTTTATGCAAGTTTTCACAAAGTATACAATAAAGTTTTAATTTCTCATTAAAAAGATATTGTTGTGGTCTGAGAACATCACTTCACAGCAGAAATATTTGCTGTTACTTCCAAATAAAGAATGTGTCAAGACATGGCTTTTGTCTTGAGCAAATACATATCCAAGTCGAATTCATTCACCGGCTAAAAACATCATTTAAATACTTATGTATCAGCGTGCCCAGCCGAAAATAAATCTGATATAAGTACTAAATTTTGGTGCACGACCTTGTCCTAAAAAATGTGGAAAATGAATATCTGAGATATTCGACTTTGAAATCTATGATCATCAGGGAGCTTTTATAAATAGATCACTTGGGCAAAACACAAGAAGTCCCATTCGGCACTCCCCGATCTGCCCCTAAGTTTTGTTCTTGTATTTTTACACTTTAAGCTACGGGCCAGGCATCAATAACAACATCACCAAGTCACTTACTGTCTAGGTGGGCGACTTTCTCGTCGATCACACACTGTTTACGGTAGCTGTCTTCGATGGTAGGGTCATAGTCACTGACAAAATGCGACTGAATAAACTGGATCGTCAAAGCAGATTTTCCAACACCACCACCGCCGACAACAACTAACTTGTACTGCTTGTCGGCGTCCCCACCTTTAGCCATACCTATCGGTCAACGAAAGCAATGTGGATAACAACAGTAATAACAGAAAGCAACCCTGTTTCGAGGCGAATCTTCGATCGTCGGTGCAGTAAACTGGGCGGAGTGTATGTAATTCCTTTTCATACCAGTGGGTCCCAGTTCCTCCGGCCGGGACGGAAGGTTGGGGCGTTTTTTCGACGAAATCCGATCGTGAAATGTAAAATTTTCAGCGACAGCGAAAAGAAAAGTAAGTCATTTTTTTTCGAGATCATAACATTTCACTTTTCTTTACATTTTTTAAATATTGAAATTAGAATATGGTTGCCCAAAAGAAAGCGGTCTCTATGACGCAGGATTCTTGTATCGACTAATTTATTTATTTTTTGCCAATCGGCTCCTGAATGAATGTGTTGCTATTTTTAAATACTTTTAATTGGTATTTTTGTCCTTTCATACACATAAAACAGCGTTTGCTTTCAATGAAACCAGTTCCAATTACGTGCGCTCTAAAAAAAGGCATTTCTAAAATTAAAATTCTAACTGTCATAAACTACCGGAAAATTTATTTTGTTTTCTAATGGACAAAAAGAACAAAATTAAAATATTTATGTCATTTATCTTCAGAGTGACGTTGATTAATAATTTATCAGTTAGAAATGAGTAACATTTTTAAACATAACCGTGAAAACAACTAACCCCTTGGTCACACTAAATCACTTTGAAGCATGCTTGCTTGTGACGTCAGACAAGCAAACCTAAGCACGTGCTAGAGATTCGAGCTGAGCGGGATCTGGTCACATTGAAAGAACAACAGCTTCCTTATTTACGTAACACGCGTTTCGATATGGACAAATTTTCAATGCCCCTGTTTTCTTTACTTTTTTTCGCACTTAACGCGCAATGCTAAGTTTGGTCGGTCACATCTGAAACGAGTTAGGAATACGCGATCTATGCTAGATTCAAACAAAAATTGACCAAGTAAGCACGATTCTAGCGCGAGTGTGACCCTCACCGAGGTGTGAATAATTTAATATACCGCTATCCTTTCAAAAAAGAATATTCTGAAAATATCTTAAGACAGAAAAGTTGGTGATATTATGAAACGGGAAAAAGAAAAAGGGAAAAAAATATTTGATACTCGTACCGGTCAAGGTATCCACTTCGCTCCCAGGTGAAAGAACTTAATTACTAGGGTTGACAAGTGACGACAGTTTCCCGCCAATATTCAATAAGTCACGTGCATCGAAAGCTTCTAATTGGTTGGCTCAAACGTTTCATACCGTTGTAAATTTTACAACTCCTGTTCGTTCGTCCATCTAGCTGGGGCTTAGATTTAGTGGCATTTTTGCTTAGTTTTTACGAATTGTAGACCGAAATAGTTCTTATAACGTACTTAGACCTTTCTACAAGAGCTTTGCTCGATGGCTTTCATAAAATCGCGGTTAGGAAAGCTTCCATTCGTTTTAGAAGAAGAAACCGACCTTGGCATGGACACATCTTCAACGTTTAACAGCAAAGAGAATGATAGCCTTGTGGAACCAATGTCGCCTGAATTCGCAGATGAAGGCTGGGACCCTGGGTTTTCGAGTCCTTTTAGAGATTTAATGTCGGATGAATCACCAGTTAAAAGTGACATTCCTACCACTCCGCCTCTATCGCCACCTTCGCTCGGAGCGCTTCGTCTGTTCGATTCTCCACAAACGCCGAAGAGTCTCCTTGAGCGCTCGTCTGCTGTGAACCGCACGATAGATTTTAAGAGACCTGTGTCAAGATTACGCCGAGGTTTACTTAAAGGTCGTGGATTTGAAAGCGAGCCCCGCACAGGGCCACGATCTCGACAAGTCACCGCAAATGTAAACCCGTTCACTCCTGAAGCTTCTTCAATTGGAGCAAAGAGAACGCGAAATGAAGATAGAAGGTGGGCATTTTCTTTGTGGAGTCTTGTGTTTGTCAGCTCTTTAATCCTAGCTTCAACCTTTATTTTTCAAACAAATTGACGTCTTACTATGCTGCATTCTATTTTCGTGCTGCCTCCACATTTATTATGCATGCAGCAACTTTACACGAAATAGATCGGGAGTCGAAACAAGTATGCATCATGAATATATGGAGCGGAGCGATTGCAGAATACCCGGCCCACTAGGCTGTACGGAAATCTTACCAAAAACCTTCCTTGGATCTTGAAAGATTTTTGCGGTTTAAAAAAAATCTGTAAATTCCGTTAAAACAGCGTGCTTTCTTTTAACTGTTGTTTCTTTTATTTGCAAGAATCATCAATTATTGTGGAGGCAAATAAATGGTAGATAGATAGATAGATACATGATTTTCACAGGTTCCTGCTGTATGCAGGACTGTTTGCAGTTGTACCTCTACTAGTCTTTTAAGACGTTATCAACAGAGAAGGGTGTACTGAACAATTTATTAATTGTCAACAAAATTGTTGTAAATTTTGAATTATTAATATCTTGATTTTTACAGAAATGGTTCCATTCTAGAAGATGATGATGAAAACGATGGGATGGAGGATGAAATCTTTGGAAATCCAGCCAAGGTGACCTTACAGTTCTAAGTAGTTGTTAAGTACATTATAATGTCCAGAGCAGAAACAAACCTAAGGTAACAGGAGCTACATAGTTTTCAAGGTGCGGCCATGCACTAATTAAATTAATCTGATTATTGGGATTGCACAAACAGCTATTGGTGCAAAATTCAAACAGCTGTCACAGAATGTCTGGGTTAAGCATCTACTGTAAATCAGAAATATCATAAAAACTTTCTTTATTTCAGTAGAAGATTTGCTTTATACAGGAGGTTAAAAAATCTTATGTCGAGGAAAATGTTGCGCAGAGACTGATGTTTTCTGAACAATGGAGTGTGTTTTTCTTCCTTGTTTCGACACTTTGGAAACTTATTGACAACGTGAATCCATATGGACTTCATGAGGCTGCATAAATCTGAAACATCTGAAGACTGTGAAACCTTAGACTTGAAGCCAACAAAGCCAGCCTGGAATGTGAGTATTTTTTATTATTGTACGGATGAATTTACCCACGATGAGTTAAACTGAAGAGTATGATGACCAAGACCATCTTTTTTTGTTTCTGTTTGTAGAAATGTTTGTAGAAATTGCACCAGCTGGAAATGAATGGCAAGAACAAGTTTTCATACAACAAACATTGTCACAATGTTTTGTTTAATAATAATCATGTTAGTCTTGAAACTGGAAATTGCAACTTGGTAACTGCAGAAGTCTGTGAGTATGCCCTTGCAGCTGGCAGGAAGGACTTTATTGGAATATCTCCAGTTGTCTCCGATTTGTCGCTGCATCAAGGGAGTGCGTCAGTTTAATATTCTTATGCCTTTGGAAAGTCCCGTTCAGTAGTCCGGGTCATCCTCCAACAAAATCATTAGTTATGACAAGCAAGTAGTGGCCCTAGGCAAGCAAAATGCCATAGCTGCTTGCCCAAAGGAAAAGTTGGAATTCAAGCTCCTTAATAAGATTTATACTTAAAAGAGGAAAATGGCAGATAAAAGCATCAACTAAAGAAAATATGCCATCATCAAAATTTTAATTTATTGAAGAAAATTATTTACGGGATATGTAGTTGTTTTTCATTACCATCATCTTGAATAAATTATTCAATATAAACAGGGAGAAAATGTTGGTAAGAGCCTTGCATGAATGCTTTTTCTGAAAACAAAACTGTTCTGAAGCTTGAAGCAAACATTTTTTTCTTCTAAAATGAATGCTCCTAAGATAGATGGAAAAAAAAAACAAAAAACATGGCCTGATTCAAACTTACATACTCACTTAGATTCTTGGTGCCTTGCAGCATAGTTCTTTGATGATGCTGCTGCTGCACTGAGTTTGGCTCTGCCACTCTGGGCTAGTGTTCTTACTGCCTCAGTCCAACTGGTTCCCTGCTTTTAAATAGACTTGTGTAGTGTCCAGCCTCCAGCTGTTCTTATGCCGCCCCTCTTCCTTCAACGTCTCTGGGGTTTCTAGGTCAAAGCCTGGTGTGATGCTTGAAGTCGGTTTCCTAATGGTGTGGCCTATCAATCCCCATTTATACTGCTCAGGATCTTTTCTAAATGTTCTAAAAACTGATGAAAGAAAAATTATCTTTGGATGAAATAGACAGGCCCACTCCTTTTGTTCAGGTCAACATTTTGTCAAACCAAATTGAAAAATTCTATACTTGTCAGTGACTGTGGGGCAAAAACCAGGCTATCACAGCTCCAGTTCAATGGACATGAGTCAAGTCAGTAATATCAAAATGGCTTTTGGTAATACAGTAAAATTAACATTGTCATATCATTGATAACCAAAGCAATGTCTGAACACTAATAATAAATTATTGGTATTATAAGCTTCATCTTGTCTTAAGGGTTTGCAACAAAGATATTATTTTGTGGTACACTTGTCTGGTTTGATGCACATCTTCAGCTAGATCAATGGCTTCTTGAACAGCTACATTTTCTCCTTCTTGATCATTCAGTTCATCATTATTGCCACTGCCAGTTGTAGCGGCATGTTTAAGAACAGCCAGCAAACTAGAGTTCAGCGTCTGACTTCCACTTAAGTGTTGTCAAGGCTAAATATTTAGAAAAATAACCAAAATTAAAAGCAATGAAAACACCAGCATTGTTCATAGTTCATTGTGAAAAGGTCAAAGAAGAATGGAACTTTGTTATTCCAGCTCCTATATTGGTTAAATTGATGGGTTGTGGCTGATAATAGAATCTGATAAACCGCATATGTTTAACATCTGAGTGGCAGCTTATATGATGTGGATGGTGGTACAATGGCTGGATTAAAGTAGAGAGTGTCGCTAAAGTGACACTGCCAGGCGAGGTGTGTTCATTAACACCTGTGGAGAACAGAGAGGCAGGCAGGTGTCCCTGTGGCTGCTTAATGTCTGATGCCAGTCTTTGGTTTTCCTCTCTTCACTTTTGGTAGTGTCTGTTCCCCAGAGTAAATTAATTAATGAATTGATTAATTTTTCCCACATGCTTAGCCCTCTGTCTTCTTTCCCTTAATGCAGTGACGCAGACTTAAGTATCAGCATGGATTCCTTCATTTGCTTGTCGGCTGTAAACTCTATAACATCTTTATGTTTAAGTGTGACTTTTTCTGCGGCCTGCTGGATAAAGTGATCCTGTATGGTTCCTCTGGGATATTTTGCTGTGTATAACTCTTCCGTAGTAGTTTAACCAGTAGCTTCAGCATTGGGCTCTGTCAATCAGCTAGGCTTGATTGGTTACCCAATCTCCCGAGCTGAAGGCCCATTTTAAAAGTGATGACAGTTAAAAACTAAGAAGGATGAAATCTCAAAGCAAGTTATGCAGAACCAATGTCACATATAACTATTTAAATAAGGTGATAAAAATGCCAAGCTAATTAAAATAGAAGACAAAGTAATAATATTATGTATATTAAAAATTGTTTACTTAAAAATATACACAAATAAATTAGTTGATTAATTACAGAAATATTGAAGAGGGTTATTACAAAGTTGAGCTTTTATGAATGTCTGCAAAAAGATGTATTTGTCAATGCCTTCTTTACAAATGATGGCAGGTGGTTCAAAATACGAGAGATACAAATAATTTACATAATATGATAACAAACTACGAAGGAACTTGCTATTGGAAGTGACCTGAAAGCTCCATGTTGGGAGATATTTTTAATAATTAATGTTTGAACTTTTTTGTGCACCCTTGTTTTGTCTACTGTTAACTTGAGGCTCTTGAAATTCTTCATGGACTATTGTGATAACAAAGGAAAATGTTAGATGTGTGAGACATGGCTACTCCAACAATAATATAAATCATTCTTAAATATTACTTTCATACTTAGCCATTTGGGTAAAAATTGGCTACTGCTATATGTAAGAGGAAAACAAAGCTAAAGTTGAATGTTTGATAACTGAAAGCTCCTATTCCTACTTATTTTTGATCTTTAGCAAACATAACACAAATATCTACCTGAAAACAAGTACAATCAAAAGCCAGGGAGTTGGTTTTGCAGCCATGAAAAATGTGACATCCATTTCACTCTGGCTGAACCAAGAGTATAACTTTATCCTCACACAATGGATCCTTGCCTGCTTAGCAGGCGCTTGGAAATAATATTTGAGAAAGAACGGGGTGCATGATGGATACTTTCAGGTGCCTGCTAGGCAGGCTATACAGATCCGAAACTTCGTTGACTTTTTTGGATTCTCTGACTTTGGCTATGCTTAGATATGCCACTCTTAATTTCAGTACAAACACTCATCTCTTATTGCAAGGAGAGTGTCTTATCTCTCAACAGTTTTACCAAACATGGTCTGTTGTGTTGCTGATGTTGTTTTGTGACCGTTTTTGTCTTCTCTCCTTTCAGTGAGAGAGCTGCAGCATATTTAAGGTCATTGAGCAATGCTTGCATCTGTCACAAAACCAAGGAATTAGTTTTGCAGTGATGAAAAATGTGACATCCATTTCACTCTGGCTGAACCAAGAGTATAACTTTATCCTCACACAATGGATCCTTGCCTGCTTGGTAGGCGCTTGAAAATAATATGTGAGAAAGAACGGGGTGCATGATGGAAACATGGGCGATGTAGACACACGAGAGGGGAGAGAGCTCCCTCTGCCCTTGTGTGTCTCCCTTGCATCCCTGTTCTTTCTGGCACCCATTAATAATTTCAGGCGCCTGCTACCTACAGGTTACACAGATCCAAAACTTCATTGACCTTGTTGGATTCTTTGACTTAAGCTATGTTCAGATATGCCTCTCTTAATTTCAGTAAGACAAACACTTAGCTCCTTATGGCAAGGAGAGTGTCTTATGTCTCAACAGTTTTACCAAACATGGTCTTGTGTGTTATTGATGTTGTTTTGTGACCGTTTTTGTCTCTCCTTTCAGTGAGAGAGCTGCAGCATATTTAAGGTGATTGAGCAAGGCTTGCATCTGTCACAAAGCCAAGGAATTAGTTTTGCAGTGATGAAAAATGTGACAATCCATTTCACTCTGGCTGAACCAAGAGTATAACTTTATCCTGACACAATGGATCCTTGCCTGCTTAGCAGGGGCTTGGAAATAATATGTGAGAAAGAACAGGGTGCATGATAGAAACATGCGCAATGGAGACACGCGATGGGGGAGGGAACTCCCTCTGCCCTTGTGTGTCTCCCTTGCACCCCCATTCTTTCTGGCGCCCATTAATAATTTCAGGCGCCTGCTACCTAGGTTACACAGATCCGAAACTTCATTGACCTTGTTGAATTCTTTGACTTGGGCTATGTTCAGATATGCCTCTCTTAATTTCAGTAAGACAAACACTTAGCTCCTTATGGCAAGGAGAGTGTCTTATCTCTCACAGTTTTACCAAACATAGTCTTGTGTGTTATTGATGTTGTTTTGTGACCGTTTTTGTCTCTCCTTTCAGTGAGAGAGCTGCAGCATATTTAAGGTCATTGAGCAAGGCTTGCATCTGTCACAAAGCCAAGGAATTAGTTTTGCAGTGATGAAAAATGTGACATCCATTTCACTGTGGCTGAACCAAGAGTATAACTTTATCCTGACACAATGGATCCTTGCCTGCTTAGCAGGGGCTTGGAAATAATATGTGAGAAAGAACGGGGTGTATGATGGAAACATGCGTGATGTAGACACACGAGAGGGGAGAGAGCTCCCTCTGCCCTTGTGTGTCTCCCTTGCACCCCCTGTTCTTTCCAGATGGCGCCCATTAATACTTTCCAGTGCCTGCTACACAGGCTATACAGATCTGAAACTTCATTGACCTTTTTGGATTCTTTGACTTGGACTATGCTCAGATATGCCTCTCTTAATTTCAGTAAGACAAACACTAAGCTCTTATGGCAAGGAGAGTGTCTCATCTCTCAACAGTTTTATCAAACATGTCTTTTGTGTTATTGATGTTGCTTTGGACCGTTTTTGTCTCTCTTCTCAGTGAGATAGCTGCACCAAATTTAAGGTCATTGAGCAAGGCTTGCATCTGTCACAAAACCATCACAAAGATTGCAAGGCTCTGCCAAAAAATAATGTTTCTGTCAGACTGGAAACTTTTAGGAAGATAACTGATGACTGCTTAATATTTGAGAGTGGAGACCTAGCTTGCTCACATTGATTCTTGCATACAGTTTCAAGGACTGTAAAGCACTTATGTGTTTTTGTCATATTGCTTCATTACTTTTGTGTGTTGTGTTTCTCAAGTGATGGGGAAATCTATCTAGCGGCATCATCATTAGTTTTCTCTAGAAAGGGGTTTGAAAAAGGGTCTTCTAGTTTGAAAAAAAAGAAACCTTAATCATTATTAATAATAATATTATACAAGCATATAAATACAAAGTAAAAGAAGAAATATGTTCCAAGGTCTGCTTTTAATTAAAAAAGAGGAAGAACCTGTCTTTAATTGTGTTACATAGGTTATGATAATTATTTTAATAATAGTAATTATGATGATGATGATGGTGATAATAATAATAATTTAGAGCATAATACAACAGCTTACTACATGTGCAATAAAACAGTGAAACAATGATAACTTACCCTAAAAAACAATAATAGAGTTCACCACTTCTTGGAAGGAGACGCTTTAGCTAAGCTTGTGAAATGAATGTCTTGTATCAGTGTCTGAAATCGTGACCAGCTTGTTGCCAATTTGCCTAGAAATTCAGAGCTGGTGACCAAAAATTCAAGGCTAGTTTCTAGTAGGTAACTAAAAAAGTCTGCAGCAGCAGTTCTATAATTTGAGGATTTTCCGTTTTTTTCAAAGTTGACTTATGTTTTATCCTGCCAACATCACACGACAGTTATCTGAGTGTTTTAAAATGTCTCGTCTTCAGAACAGTTGAATGGCTGTTTTATTGGCCATCATCATGCATATCTGTTTATACTGTTAAAGAAAGGGAAAAATTTCTGGCGACGAAATTATGCCATCTGGTCTGTATCAAAAAGTTAATTTTGGACCTTGTGTATGTGTATATTAAGATGTGCAGCACCGGTGCCCATCCTGGTGCCCATCATAATCAATCAATTATCGCTTATGAGAAATATCCAATCAATTATTGCAAAAAACAAACAAACAAAGGATCATAAAAATATTCAAACTTATACATACTAGTTAGTTATTTGCCAGCAGATTACTAAAATGTTAGTTGTGCGCGCAATGCATGATTTCCGTATGTAATTCAATGCTGAACTGTGTCTCATGAAACTGTGTGTCTCAGTAACTGTTATCAGCATCAGCCATGAGTTTGCTGAAAACATTTACCTCAAATTTAATAATGAGGATTATTCCAGATATCACTAATACCTCATCCTCTGATTTTTTGTGGCTGGGCAACATATTCCATGCAAATCTGTTGCCTTTGTTTTAATTGCTTCTACTCATCTAGAGTGCCTCTTATTTTAAATAACTTAGCCAGACTTTTTGTGGCTCCTATATGGATAGTTCTTGTTTTTTTACTTTTTTTTTTCTCTTACAGAGACTTGCACTACGTGAGAGTAATATCTCTCGTTACAATGCTGAATTTGTTGAAATCAGCACAATAGGATCTGGCCAGTTTGGTTCTGTTCATAAATGTGTCAATAGATTAGGTAAGTGTTTCCTCGTTTGGTGTATACTATCTAGAGTTATGGTACAGTTCCTCTCTTGATCTTCTTGGTGGTAACTCTCTTAAACCTTTAAGTGCCAACAGTGACCAAGATCAATTTTCTCCTAGCAATATCCATACACTGTCAACAGATAAGTTATGAGAATTAATAAAGTGATCACCCAAGAAAAAATGCCTTGATCTTTTATCAAATTCCCTCAACTCATTCTCTAAGGAAATGTATGGAGATCAGTTTGGAGAAGTTGTGTGTGGATACTGCGGCTTAAAGGGTTGATACTTCCTTGTCAAAACTAGTATATTGTGAGTTGTAGACGTAAACTGAATGTACTTTGTTTGCCTAGATAAAGGAGGGATTAAATTGATTTAATCATTACTTAGGTCAGTTTTGATTTCCCTGGTGTTTGTGTTGTTGAAGAGGTTATTTTTGTGCCTCAAAGAGCAGCATGACAAGAAAGTCACTTCTTTTATTATCTGTCTGTTAGAAGTGGGCATTGTTATAAACAACTCAGTTAAAATTTAGTTCTTATGAATTTGTGGTTGTTATTTCAGATGGATGCGTATATGCTTTAAAGCGATCACTCAAGCCAGTAGCAGGCTCAGTTGATGAGTAAGTCTAACAGGCCAACCTTTTGATTTTTGAAGTGGACAAGAGAGGGGGGGAGGGGGGTGTTGTGTGTCTTCAGGAAAAAATACGGGGCTGGCAGTTTTAAGATTTTAAGTTGCCAGGGTAAATTGAAATACAACAAGAAGGCAGGGAATCATACAGCAAGGGATTTATTTTGGTTCTATTTTTCTCCTGGTTATTTTTTTTAATGTTGCCAGTGGGGGGTGGGGGGAGGGAGGTGGTTACCTTTATAGTACAATGTAGCCATAGGAAATCCCCAGCTCCCAGTGAAAATATCTTGCACTTGGACCCCAGTAATTCTTGGCTATTTAAATGTACACCAAAAATTAGGAGAAATGGTCTGATAAATCTAATCTTGCCCAAACCCACCTTATCCCCTCCCCCTCAAAAGTAAAATCATTGATCCCTTGCATGTTGCAGGTTACATGCAATTTTTAAAAGAAAAAAATCTGCACCTTGTTTTGTTGGATTAATGTAAGAAAACAGAATCTTGTAATAAATGTCCTAGATGGTTATGTAAGATACATTCCAGTAATTTTTTGGTGGACCTTGGTATAGCTTCTCCATCATCCAGCAGTCCCGTTCTTAGATGATTTTTTTTTCCGGCTCCATGGCCACATCAGTGTTATACATAATGCTGATTGCTTTTTTTTTAGGCAAAATGCCATGCGTGAGGTGTATGCCCATGCTGTCCTTGGAAAAAACCCTCACGTCGTACGTTATTACTCTGCATGGGCAGAAGATGGACACATGTTAATACAAAATGAATACTGTGAAGGTGTGTGTACATTTCATTTACATTTGTTAATCTATCATTGTTACAAGTGAATACGTACTGATATTATTGATTGTTGCAAATTTCATTTTCTTCTTTACACTAAAAGACTAGATGTTACAGTAACAAAAAAAATTAAATTAGTGTAAATATTTAAATTTGGGGCTAGCTGGATAAAAATTTTACAAGTGTAATTTACAAGTGTTAATTTTGTTTTAGAGTTTAGAAACAATAGAGACCCTTGTTAAACCTCGGAGATAAATGCAAAGTCATACCCCTACTGTGGTATAAGGGGGTTGGTTGATTGGACCCCCCCCCCCCTTGAGTTTTTGATATGTTGCAGTATTTCGAAACGATTTTGCCTTCAGTGGAAAGCCTTTGCTCTTCTCTACAATGATTTACGAGGTATATTTTATAGGTGGTGGCAGTTAGAATAAATAGTTTTTTGCACTTAGCATGTAAAACAACACATAAATAAATTATTTCCTCCGCAAATTTTACTTTTATTCCTGAAAAACCTTGGCCACCTGCTACTTATGACATCATATCTCATAACCGTAGTAACTGACCATCACTAAACGTGTCTCAACATGTGTGCAAGGGATAAACAAACAGCTACAGAAATCTTCAGGTGCTGATGTTTTATTGTTGAGGAAAAAAATCACAAAAACTGTAGGGGGGTGGCAACCATCCCACCTTGTACTTCCGAGGGTTAATATTGATAACTGTAGTAAAAGCTGAATTGGCCATTGGTTTTTTAATGATATTTTAGTCTTCATATGATTGCTGATGTAAAGTCATATTGTTTTTTTCTCCATTTCAGGGGGAAGTCTCGCTGACTTAATAGAAAAGAATAAATCAGCAGAGGATGTTATGGGAGAGAGTGAACTCAAACAGCTTTTAATACAAGTTGCTCAGGTATCATAATTTTTTTAATGACAATATTTGAATTCTCTACTAGTGATTGGCCAGTAGACTTTGCTGCATAATGAATCTGCTTTTGTCTCGGTTATCAGCCCTTGGTCTGTGAGAATAGTACAAGTAAAGTATGTTTTTGTGAAACTGCCCACCCTCCCCTCCCCTAAGCCAACATTTTGCCCTAAGTGAGAAGCAAGTTTTAATGTTGACTCAGGGGAGGGGTAAATGGGCAGATTCCAAGAAACGCATAATGATCCCTTACTGTGAGGCAATAGACCATCTCGTCACTGTGACCTTACCCTCCTCTCTAGGTTAGGTTTTTTTCGTAGTAATTGCCATGGTCCTAAACTTCTCCTACCCTTTAATTTCAACACAGTTTTCTTTTCATGTAAGGTGCAGGGCTGAAAATAACGGCCGGTCAACGGACAGTGTCCGGCCTGATCGCGAGTTCAGACACCCCCGTACAATGATACTCATGGTAGAAAGGACATTAAACACGCAAAAACTGTAGAAAGGAACTCTAAAATGTGTGAATGCATTTTTCACCAACTTGCTGTCAAGAATGTGAACGTCAATGTAGTAATAACTATCTATTGCCAGTGTAATTCGATATTCCTGAGGGAAAAAAATTATAATATTCATTATTTGACCGGCCAGAATCGGGGTTTGTCCAGGCTAAAAAATATTTGGCCGGTCATCATGACCGGCGACCTGCTGACTGTTATTTTCAGCCCTGAGGTGCCAAAGAAACTTAACTTTAATTCAGTATTTTTTCCTTTTTCAAAATTAAAAACAGGGATTAAAGTACATCCATTCATTGGGTCTGGTTCATATGGATATTAAACCTGGTAAGTTATAGCACAATGCATGGGCATTTTTTTATGTGTTATCTAGCAACGTAAAAACTTAGTTACAGACATTTTGTACATTCTTATACTTTTTTTGGCAGGAAATATCTTTATTAGCTATAATACTAATTTGGAGGAATGCCAGCACAGTGGTGATGAAGGATTTGATGAAAATGATACTCCTGGACCACGAAAAAGAGCGCCAATTTACAAAATAGGTACATTGCACTTAACTCTAACCAAAAAATTAAAAAGGGAATTTACCTTGTGAGACTACCAATCCCACAGCCCGAAAATTTTCATAGACCAAGCACCTTATGAATTCTAACCTCGTGGAAAAAAACAGACAAACAAAGAACAAAAAAGGTTACTCTTCCATTTTTGACAGCATTTCTAGTGTGCAAAGAAAGTAATGTCCTATAGCACGGGGAAAGTGGATTTTGCTATTGGGCTAGAAAATTCTGTTTTTAACTTGCCCAACAGGCAAGTGATGTTTTTTGAGGAATTCGAATTACAGAAGAACTATGAAATCAATTCTGCTAGTCAAAAAGCTTTTGGGGCTAGTTGAAAATAATGACATCTGGGCTAGTAAATGCAGGGCTTCTGATATTTCGCGGAAAAAAAAAAGCAAAATTTCGCGGGATTTTCAGGGGCAAATTCGCGGAAAAATCAGCCGATTTCGCGGAATTTTTGCGGGAAAAAAGTCAAAATTCGCGGAACAATCGGCCGATTTCAGGCGATTTTCGCAGGAAAATCGGCCCATTTCGAGGGATTTTAGCGGAAAAGAGTCAATTTTCGAAGGATTTTCGGGGGCAAATAATTTCCTAAGAATTTCTTCGGAAAATCGGCCGATTTCACGAGAAATTTCGGGGGGAAACTTCGCCAAGAAACAATCAACAAAAAACAGCCGATTTCGCTGGGGTTTTTTTTGGCAAATTTTACTATAATCGATCAATTTTGCGTCGATATGACCAGCGCTGGTGAACGTTTTTTTTAACACGGATAATCATTTGCTCTTTCAACAACAGTTCGCTCGAGAAATAAGCGCATGTTAAAGCTATCAACATTATGGTTAGTGCCCAGTTTTTCGCAACGTTCATCTCAAAACGCCTGGTAGTTTTGGGACGTTGTTTACTCGTTGCAGGGATGAAGTTTCAAGCTAAATTTGGACGTTTGGGGTGAATAAAACCGGTCTAATAGCCAAGGTAAGTATTAAATATGTTTTGCCGACGTGTATTTGGAAATATTTCTGACGGATTTCGCGGTATTTCGCGGAAATACCTGAATTTCGCGGGTCCGCGACCGCGCGAAATATCAGAAGCCCTGTAAATGCTAGCTTCAGCTTGCGCGAATGGCAAGCTGTAAAAATGATTTTCTTTGCACTCTGATTTTATAATGATGTAACCTATTTCTGGCATTTTAGTAAAACATTTTCCTTTGTATTACAATTTCTCACAAGCATTAACTTGACACATGGTCTAATTTCCTTAGGTAACAAGTTTAATAATCTAATGCATTCCACCACTTCTGATAGAATGAGTCTCTTTGATATTGTGCTCGTGCTGTACAGTTATAGTTAAATTGATAATCAATGCTACTGCCCTTTCCATTGTATTCTAACTTTGAAAATGTATTCAGTAAATTCTCTTAAAACAAGAATTATGTCCTGAATAATCTGTCCTTGATAGAGACCCTAAGCGGTCGAAATCTTGTATTAGTAACAATTAATAATGACTCTCTTCATAGCTTGAGAAGGCAGCTGATTTTGCAATGCCACCTCTCCATGAAACATCATGAGTGCAGAAATTCCATACTGGTGACAAGTCACTACCCAGATCTGGGGAGTGCTTTTGATTGGTTGTGGCATGAGGGAAATTTGCCTCAAGCAATCAGAAGCACAACCCAGATCCCAAAACTTGATTAGTATGGAATTTCTGCAGTTGCTCCCCAGATGTCATTCAGAGGAAAACCAGTGATGGCGTCATGAAATGTCAGCTGTTTTTCTGGCTATCATCATTGCACTTTGATTAGTTGCTTACAAGAGGGTAGCTTGCGAACAGCAGACGTTTCTCCTTGCCCATCGCCACTGGGGGACAGTTTGCAAGGAGGAACGTCTGCGACTCAGCGACAGAAATTCCATACTGATGATGTAAATCAATGTTTACATAATAAATCCGGTAGTCATGGGGTTCCAAATGCAAATTTGTTCAATTTTACGTCTCTCCTGGTCAATTTTAATAAAGTGTTGTGTTCATCTGCGAATGAGCTCCAGAAATACTCAAATGCCTCTAAGTTCTGGAGAAGACTATATTCTTCAAATATTGACTGTTTTGTTAGAGATTCATCGCGTTTATATTTGACCTTTGCGGCCTTTTGTCTTTTGTCTTTTGTCTGTCATTCGTAAACAATACCTAAAACAATGAAACTACTCCATCGACCAATTAGACTTACTGCTTCTGACCGGATTCCGGACAGATTTTGCGTCATCAAAATGGAATTTCTGTCCCTGAGTCGCAGACATTTTTCCTCGCAAAACTTATCTTAGCAGGAATGAGTGAGGAGAAACGTCTGCCGTTCGCAGGCTAACAAGAGGGCTGATTGTTTGTTGCATGTAAGTGCATTGTTTCATTATTGCAGTGCCATCTCAAGATTCTCAAGCTCATAATCTCAATTTTCATAGGTGACTTAGGGCATGTGACGTCAGTAACTAGTCCACAAGTAGAAGAAGGAGACTGCAGATTTTTACCCAATGAAATACTGCAAGAGGTAAGAGAACAGCCTGTTATTTTTGCATTACTTTAAGTGAAATTTATATGGCCCTCACTCGGCCTGCAGGCAGTTTTAAAGTGAATCTTTATTAGCAGTCACTCTCAGTTGACTTGAGCGTTAAGATTTGAATTCAAATTTGATGCTTGTCCTATAGGCGAATCTTTGTTTACACTTTTCCCTCATTAACATATGCTTATCATTATCTGATGACGCTAATAAAATAAAAACTCTGAATATTGAAAGAGCATAACAGTTTCAGTTATCCCTGAAAATTTGAGCCCAAAACACCGAATGGTTTCAGAGAAATTCTCTTCTGAAAACTCAAAATTTTAAAGAGAATGTATGGCTCATTAACTTTTTTGCCACACAGAAATTTCGCAGTTTTTGATTGCTGATATTTCCCTCAATATTGCTCGCAAAGAGCTGAAAATTGCACAAATTGGTCCACTTAATCAGCTCTTTCAACTTTTGCATTTAGTTCATATGTGCGGCCACGGTTTCTGTGAGTTAAGTCGTATGCTAATGAGGATAAATGTCAACAGTGACGTCAGCAAAGATTCGCCTATACTAGGTCATCTTTCTCCTGCTTTGAACAACCTTGCCTTGCAAAACAAACCCTCCTGTAAATAAGAGTAGACTGTTTAGCTGGTTGGTACACTCCGCATGCATTTGTGTATGGGATGGTCTGTAACTCTTTTCTTTTGGAGCAAAGAGAGGTGCAGACAGAAAACCGTTGGAGGTGATTGTTGGGATACTTCATCCTGTCTCTTTGTTTTCTAAATTACTCTTCCCTTGGTCAAACCTTATCAACAGTCAGCAGCGTGCAAAGAAATTTGTGTGCGATAGCCCCAGGCTAGTGGATTTTGCTATCAGGCTAGTGATTTGTGTACTTAACTTGACCGATAGGCAAGTGCTGTTTTTTGGGGAAATTCAAATTACAGTCAGGATTGTAATCAATCCTGCTAATCAAAAAGGGTTTTGAGGCTGGTTGAAATGACTTGTGGGCTAGTACATGTTAGCTACAGCTTGCCCACATGGCAGGCTGTAAAACTGACTTTCTTTGCACCCTGAGTCAGCCTCTGTTAAATGACTAGTGTGACCATTTCCTAGTTTGACTCACTATGAATTGTTTAAGCATTAACAAAACCTGGATTTGACCTGACCAGGCCAACCTTTTTATTAAAATAAATTTCCTGAAAAAAGGTCAAGGGACGAGATCACAGGGGTTAATCTGATTCGGTCCCATTCACTCATCCCAGTTTTGTCAACAGCCGTTTTAATTTTATTCTAAAAAAGCGGGCTTTTAGCCAGACATTGAAAATTGGCCTTCCAAGGCCTGTTTTCCCATAAAATTATTAGAGATTAAGTGAATTTTCCTTGTATTTCTTCCAAAAATGGGCATCCATAGGATGGCTGGACACCCTCCTGGCCAAAACCTTGTATAGAACTCACAACTAATTTCTGCTGTTTGAAATGTTTTACTACACTTCAGGACTACTCTTCATTACCAAAAGCTGACATTTTTGCGCTAGCATTGACAGTATATTTGGCTGTAAGTATGAGTCTTTTAATATATAAAAGCAAGGTACTTCTTTTGCTATATTTTTGTAATGTCTTGGCTTATTAATACTGTTTCTACTGACTTAAAAATCTACCATTAGAGGTTTTAAGTAAATCATTAGAGATTTAGCTGTACTCAAGATAGGAAACTCTGCTTCTGGCATGATTGGTTTGATGTTCACTAGATCATGAGGTCTATGCTTCTACTCCAACTCCTTTGTAACAGCCTTCAACTCTCTAATTAATTTAATATTAATAGGGCTTGGAATGAAAAGGAAATTCTGAGTCAAACTACAATCACCGACAAAATGAGTTAAGACACTTCACCCTAAAGGGGCTTTTTGACATTTTCCTGACCTCAAAAGGGGAAAATATAGCTTTTCCTCCCCAATCCCCTCCATGCAATGTTGTGCCGCTGTGCAAGCTACCTTTAGAAAACAACAAACCCCCTAACTTTGAATGGAGGGGACAGGGGAGGGGAGTGGATTCTTATGTTCTCAGAAGTTACTCTATTTGAGTACAATGTCTCAACAATTTGTCGGCAATTGTAGATTGAAGACAGTCCATTAAAACAGTAATTATCACTGGACAGGCAGAAGGGCTCTTTAAAAAATTGAGTGATGTTCTTCACTGCTTCTAAATAGGCCAAATTCCGGAAGAAAAAAAAAGATAATTGTCCACCAGAATACAACCTCGCTATAACTTGTATTGTAGAACAAGTGACTTGATGTTTGTTGGTCTTTTAAGGGAGGAGGACCAGACCTTCCAAAGAATGGTGAAGAATGGCATGAAATCAGGTAAACATTATTGCGTTCACCTCGGTAATCATGCTTCACATACTTACCAACCTTTTATGTCATTTTTGTAATATCTGCAATGTCTATTTTGTCCTATTTGGCTGGCTATTGATTGGGTTTTTTTCCTAAAGTTTTCATTATTTTTACGCCCATCACAGTACACATTACAAAACTGACTTTCTTTTCACCCTGACAACAATGTAGGAGTGTGCACAATGGCTGTATGAAAATACTAGCGATTACATTAACTCTTTCTGTTTAGTGCCATACATGTACTAATTGTTATTCTTTCATTGTTTCACAGGAGAGGTCATCTTAAAACTCTGGACCATATCTCACCTGAAATGAACTCACTTTTGAAGGTTAGTATTATAGTAATTTTTCATTATTTTATATAATGGGTGAAAAACAAGTTTGTGAATAACAAGGCCCAGATTTGTAAGGGGCTTGAAAAACATAAAAGCAACAGCAATGAAATTGCCACCTAGAAAGTGAATTTACTTTCTTTCAATTTTACTGAACTGTTTGAGACTGTGTAAAAGTGCAGAATGTATTCACAGCCTCCCCAGAAATTAAAAAGACAAAAGGAAAGTCATTGCAAACTGACAGCAAAGAAATGTATCAAATGTGCGTTTTGCTTATTGATCTCATTGCTCTTTGAACAATGTTGTTGCTGTTCTCATCATGCTACAGGTTGCCACTTCAGCCTAGGTTTTAACATGTTTTCTACAACTTTTAAGCAACTTTTATCAAGGCTCCTATAATTATGTAGAATCCAACAAAAACCAAGATTTCTAATTTTGCCATTTGAAAGGCACCATTTCATGTCCAGTCCTTTCAAACTGTGTGGCTTCTATGTTTGTTCTTGTCTCTGTAACCTGATAGCTGGTGTAAATAATTTTTCCAGCTTATGATTGACCCTGAAACAAGTAAGCGGCCCTCTGCCACAACCCTCACACAACACCCAGTGCTTTGTCCTCTTTCAGCAAAATCCAAGGTATGCATTAGAACCATTTATACTCAATGTTGAGACAAGTAGTAATTCTTGTAACATTAATTTAAATAACTTCCTTTAATTACAATACGATTATGGTTTTAAAGCTAAACTGCTTGTGGGGTTCTGTCAAAAATGAAATAATTTATGCAAAATGACATTAATTATTGAAGCAGCATTTTGTAAAATTAATGTTATCAGTGTTAGAAGAAAAATAATGTCTACATCAGTATGTGACCAGTCTTCTTTTAAAAAGCAATAAGTTGCTGACTTGTAAAATTCTCTTTCAAACCAGTTAATTTTTGTTTTGCCTTATAATTCTTAGAGCCATTATCAAAACCTGAGAGAAAGGAAAGCAAAAATATAAGCAGTTCTAAAACTTTAAAACCTAAGGAGAAATGTAAACAAGAACATCATGTTAGTCTGAGAAAGCGAAAGTCTGGTATTCATATTTCTGCCTGAAATTATTCAAATTAATAATTGTCATGGCAAAAAAAAAAAACACTATCACTAGCTAGGTTTGTATAATTGTTGTGTCATTAAATTTTTTAGTGTTGGAATTCATTTTACTCTTCTGACATTTTCGTTACAGGCCCAGCTAAGGAAGGAACTGAATGCAGAAAAGTTCAAGAATGAAGTCCTTTCAAGGTAGAGTAATCAAGATTCTGAAAATTATAAGAGTCGCAACTGTAGTCATAAGTTTATTTTCAACAACACATAACCCACTGTATGTGAATTCTCAGGCTGATAATATAAAATAATTGTCTAAAGAAGATGGAAAGTGAAAAGTGACAGTTCAATTCTGCAATGAAATATAATGAAAAATTAACTTTATATATTCATTTTTACATCTTTATCTTTTCTCGGTATATTACAAACCAATTAAATGACCAGTTCCCAGTTGGCTTGCTATGGTTATAGCATTGCACCTGTATCCTAAAGGTCATGGATTGACTCCTGGTTTAAGCCTGAATTTTTTCAGGCTTTCATTTTACAGCTGCATAAAGTTGTATCCTTCACTACATCTTCTTTGCATTTACAACTTTTTCCCTTTCTAACAGGGAACTAGAAGAGGCAAGAGAAAACCAAAACAACCTTCCAAGACCCAAGATTGGACTTGGGACTCAATGCCGCAATTCTAGAATAATAGGACAAAAAGTAAACAGAAGCATGAGCTTAAGCGTGCTCATGTGAATCCTGAAGTTTTATCATTTTATTCTTGTGAATAGCGGATCAACAATTGATGTTTCTGGGCATTTGTACACCTACCCCTCCCCTAAGTCAACATTAACACTAACTTTTCACTTGGGGCAAAATTGTGACTAAGGGGAGGGGTAGGTGGTTAGTTACTCACAAACCTCAATTGATCCTAAATAGCTGCTATCTCCATATTCAGATTGGTTTTAGCAATATCTTTTTAAATATAACCACAACTTTCATTGTCTTGCTTTCCATCCTTTAGCAACATCTTTAAACCTTTGGGAAGATATTCATTTTTTAAGGGCTTTTTAATAAAATGTTAATAATTATTGTAAGTTTTGACAAAAATGTATATATTACAATAAACTGTTAACCAATAGGTGATTTTCAATAAAAACGTTTTTAATGGCAAAGACTATGGTGTTTTGGTCTCTTTGCAATATAATATTATTCTCAATTTTGGTAATCTAGCTGAGGAAACAATGTAGTTTTTGCTTGCCAAAAAAGGAAAGATTTTTTGCAGTGGAATGTTTTGTGTCTAACCTTTTGATTTAAGTTAATTGCAGCTGAGAGGCATTACTGATTGAGACACACACAAGAGAGAACTTGATTCTCCACCAAACCCATTCTTTCACTGACACCATCATTTCAGACTGTTTTTGTGATCTAGTGCCTTTTTACAAGGCTGTGCTCTAAGAAAAGTTGAAGGGAGTGCATTGTTCTGAACCTGTGAAATCCAGGGTTCCCAGCATATGGTTCCTTTGAAAAAAAAAGATTTTCCAGTCACACAAGAGCAAAAGTTAAGTGCCAGGGGAGAATGAGTAAAAATTTGTACCAAATTTAAGCAGTGCTTTGTGTAGTGCTGTGTGCAATAAAGACCAGTATAGTCCACATGTCAGTCCAACAGAAATCTCTATTCTTATGCCAGACATTGGCAGCTAAATTGGAATGTTAGGTTTTACACAGCCTTTCTTTCACTTGCTTGCTCGATTTTGGTGTAAGACAAAAGGAGGCTTGCAGGGTGGGTTTTATGCTACTGGTCCTTTACAACCTTTAGTTTTTCCTTCCAAATTGGCTTATAAAGAAAGGCAGAATTTGACACTGTGGTCTTAGGTACCTAACTCTGTGCATCCCTTCATAATTCACTCTTCCAGTCCCACTTGCAATATTACGTTATTTCTGGCTCAAAGCCAGCATTTGCTGGTTGGAGTGTACATTGGTAGCTTTGCATTATAACACAAACTATCCTAAATTAGCTGCCTGAGACTTGTTATTGTTGTTGTTTTTTCACTTCAGTATGCAAGATGTACAGGAAATCTGTTGAAAGAATTGAATCTGCTTTAATGTTCTAGAGCTTTGTACAGTCCTTTGAGTGCACGTTAAATTTGTTGTTTTTTTACCACTTGTCAACATTACATCAGCTAAATTATTATACTGTAATTTTGAATTCTTAGTCATTCTATATATATATAGAAGTGTCAGAGGGAGGGTATGTTTACTTGCTTTGCACTGTGTAGTTGCAAACAGATAATAAATAAAGTTAAATAAGTGTTAACATTAGTTTTTTGGTACTGTTCCACAACTCTGCAAAAAATATAATTTACTGTCCTGCAGTTTAAAATACTGATATTAAAAATAATACATGAAGACTGATGAAACTGCATTAAATCTTAAACATTTATTGCTACTCGAAGTTTCATGCCTCTTGCCTCATCAGGCAACTGATGATTGATGAGTTGACTGATGAGTTGTATGATGATTGCCTTGCAGGAGGCATGCAACTTCTGAGTACCAATAACTGTTCAAGATTTAATCCAGTTCCACCAGTCTCCTTGTAATCTGCTCTAGTTCAACTATTGAGCCCTCTTATAGTCAATGAGGATGTCACTCTGGTACTTCATTATATTAAAAATAATATTAATTTTTAAAAGCATCCCAGGTCAGCTATTTTGCAGGAGACTTCTGGAGATTATTAATCGCATGATTTCATTGGTTCCTGCAAGAAAAGAGAAGATCATAAAGGCAAGTCAGTTGATTGGAAATTAATAGACCCAGTAGTAGGTAAGTTAAGTGGATGTTGTTATAGATATTACTGTGGCAAAAACTAATGTTAAACAAGGCTGTGCTATTAATAGCAGTTCCTGGTGGCCTGCCTACCTTTTGCTCCAGGTTGAGTAGAAAATCTTAGTTTTTTTCATAGAAATCGTATGCTGTGTACCTTGGATTTCACAGGCTTAGGGCACTGGGTTCCCTTCAATTTTTCTTAGAGTACAGCCTTGTTAAGCTACTTATCACAACAACATAGACAAAATTTCAAAGTTATTTCAGCCAACAGAAAACAAATGACAAGGCATAGGGTGAAAGTTTTTCTGGGAAATGAAGTTTGTAAAAAAAAATTTTATCTGACACGCCAAGTTACTGCTCATAGACATTACAGTAATAATTGACCCAAGAAAAATTGTTGACATAAGATCAGGATTCACCATTATTCCACTTCAATCATTATTTTGCAGCTCTAGAGTGCATGTGGTACACTTCAAACTTGACAGTGCCCAGAAGAGTTGTTTGTTGTGGTACATTGTGCATCATGTAAGCTGTACTTCAAACTGGCCAAAACTTATCAAAAGTAGCACTTGAGGTAAATAATAATAATATTGTATTACTGACAATAGAGCATTTTCACTCACGTGGCCAACATCTATGTAATTCATTGGAACAAAAGAAAGGGTTTGCATAAGAAAAGATTTCAACTCCCACACGATTTATTTGGAACAACAACATGGCCACCATTTCATTGTTTTGGACACCAATATGGCCGCTGTGAGGTCATGTGAAAAATTAATGCTCTATAACGTCTGGTTTTCACTAGCTCATAAGCAAAAGAACATACGCACGCGCAGAATGGCATATTTGACTCAATTCTTGATACCAGCTCTCCTCAACCTGATGTTAAACAAGATGGCATGTGCCATATTGCTTCTGATGTGTTCACATGAGGTCTGGGTCAAAGTGACCTATGATTGGTCCATGGCTTTGTGCTTATGCTTGTGCTTATGTTGACCCAGTTTTCACTTGCTTACACATGTGCTTGTGTTTTTGTTTATACTATGCGCTAGTGGAAATCAGGCTTAAGATGCTATAGAAGTACTACCTTCTAAAATCTGATGCACTCTACAGTCCCTCATGTACTGCTGAACAGCATAGTCCTTTAGGTAGCCATAACCTCCAAAGATTTGGAGAGCATCATTACAAATCTGGAGAAAAGTTCAATAAAGTAGTTTTGTTCACCTTGTTCCCAAGCTAATAATAATAAATAACATTTATGTGTACATGGACAGTGGACTAGAAGCATAGTAAAGAGTAGAATTATGAGTAGAGTAGCTTTAGCAGATGCAGATAGGGTCAAGGCTTTGGGGTAAATGGCTCCCTTTTTCAAGGTGAATGTGGTATTTTTATGTTTTAGTGTCATTGCTGCAAAAAGTATTATTATGTACCGATCAATGATTCAATTTTAACATTGTGATGTGGTTCTCAGCTATATCATTAGACATGTACCATCTGCTCGGATTGAGGATTTCAACTCAAGGATATTTTAAGTGATTTTCTGCTAGTAGTTCAAAAACTAAGGAATTTAAAAAAGGAACACTTTTCCCTCCGAAAACTGGGCATCCATAGCATACCCAGTTGGCCACCTGAGGCTGGCTGAGTAGATTCTAGGGGTTACTGGAACCCCCCTTGTTTTTTTGTTCTGTTATTTTTGTTCTCTCCGAAAACTGGGCATCCATAGCACAACCAGTTGGCCACCTGGGTCCGGCTGGGTAGGTTCTAGCAGTTACTGGAACCCTCCTTGTTTTTTTGTTCATATGGGAGTTAATAATTAGGCAACTACAACTAAGTTTGGTGTGCCTTTTTTTGCTCTCCTATTAAGTTTTCACCATCTAAAACATACACATTGATTGATTTTAACTCAAAAACGTCCATGATGCCTGTTGCTCACTGTTATTCTGTCAACAGAAGGAAAATTCATCAAGGAATTATTCTAATAGCTATAATTATCTGTGACATGTGCATGCCTTCTGAAATGCTTTAAAACTGAACTTTCTTATTTCAAAAGACTTGGAATGCCCATTTTGTAAACAAACCTCAAAACATTGATCGGTTGCAGACAGCTTAGCCATGGAACACAGTGTAGATGCATCAGGAGACTTGGAATCCAGAGCATTAGCAGCTTGACGTACAATCAGGCGAGACGTTATAAGAGCTGTCGCCATCTCAGCTAGTTTAAACTGGATGTGCTGAAATATATGGTTAATGGATTGTTGTGAAATATTTCATGTTACCAAAATATACATGGTATCAAATGTAACTTAAATGAGTTAATACTTGTGCGCCAAAAAGTTAGCTTTTAAAGGCATTACTTTATCTTAAAATGTGAAAGTTTTCTAACACTTATTGAGTCTAGAGAATTTGCATGTGGATATCGGGGCTTAAAGGGTCATGGGTGACAATACCTTTGTACTAGTGTCATGTTCTCTCTACACGTACTTACACTGAAATACCTTGAGTGGTACCAGTGAGAGTTCTCACCTGATTGTCTGCCAGAGGTCTGTTAAACTGTTTCCGCACCTTGGCATGTTCAATTGCTTGTTCAATCGACGCTTGAGCAGCTCCTAACGAGCAGGATGCTGAAGAAACATTGAAATGTCAAAAATAAGTAAAGCAAAGATTGTTCTTTAATTTCTACTCTTACAAAGAAAGAACTGGCCTTAAAAGTTTTTTTAACTTTTTGGTTCTTCATGATGACTCCACCATTAACGTTAGCCTGACTACAGTCAAGCATACCCCCCCTCCAAGATTACATTAATGAATAGATTATTTGAAAGATGAACTCGTTAGTCTTTGCTGCAACCAGTTTCAAATTCAAATCTACATTCCTGCATGCGTAATGAGCAGTGAAATTTTACGATAACCTTTATGTGTTAATTTTGGTCAGATTAAAAAATATTTGAAGAAAATTTTAAAATAAAATTATTTCAAGGCATTTACATCCCTCAAGAAAACTGAGCTTTCACAACTACCTCGTGTGTGTACAGAGATAAAACTGAAAATTATCTACAACTATCCAATGGATTCAACTCTTAAGTAACAAATTCATTAATGGAATCTTGGGGGTACGCTTGACTTGGCCTGACTGTAATATTATTCAGACAGTTAAAAAAATGAGGCCTTGGATGCCAGGTCCGCCTGCATTACTATGAACTAAGAAATTGGAATCTATAAAAAAAACACACAACATCCAAGAACAAAATAGCATAAGTGACTTTCTGTTGCTCACCAATATTTATACGTCCACCATTTAGTCCATACATTGCTATATTGAAACCCTGAAAAAGTTTCCCAAGGTGAATACATTATGAAAAATTTATATGAAGCACTGTTATTTTGCAAATGGAAATTATTTCTATATACACATTGCCTGTCAATGACCTCCACATTCAAATAACTTCTGCACCTAGAAGTTGATATATTTGAAAAGTGCCATGGCCCTTTTTCAGTAAATAAAATGGTATTTGCACAAAATAGAATAGGCTTTACTCTGTAGCAGTGGTAAGCTAGCATATTTCCTCAAATAAGTAGCCATGCTGTAATAAGCACCCTTCCCCAAATAAGTGCTCTCCCCCTAGCCCATTATGTCAAATAAGCACCCCCCTCTAATAAGTGCCCCCTTCCCCCCTCCCCTCTACATCATTTTCTTAAATAGTATAGGGATACAAGAAAAATGCAACCGTATGTATATTATTGCTCAGGATGATGAGATGATCAATTTTTTTAAACGTATAAGAATACCAATAGATTAGCATAAAGTGTAAAATGGGACTACGGTTCTCGATTAGCAACCACTGTTTTAATAAACAAAGGACATTTAGCCCTGCATATTGATTGACCTTACATTTACATCAATACAGTTGTACTTGCTTTTTTTTTTACAAAAATTTAGCTAAAATAAAATAAATTACAGTTTGTTGAATAATAAGGGCCTTCCCCCTCCTCGATTAAATGCCCCTCCTTTCAGCCAAAATTTTAAATAAATTCCAGGGCACTTTTTTGAGGAAATACAATATTTTCAAAGAGTTGGTTTTTTATAACATACCTGTCCTTCAGCTCCAACCCTGTTAGAAACAGGAACTTTACAATCCTCAAATATAACTGCTCTTGTTGGCTGGGAATTCCATCCAACCTAATCAAAATAAAAGCATTCATGCAATGAATATGTGAGCCGCAAACAATAAATTATTATATTATTTTTAATTTATAAAATACTATTAACAGTGATTTTGCAGACTAGCTACATTACCTTCCTCTCTTTCTTGCCAAAACTTAAACCTGGTGTTCCCTTTTCAACAACAAGTGTTGAAATTCCTTTAGGACCTGATAAGATGAATGAGGTAAGGAGAAGGAAATTAATCTTGATTTAAAAAAATGAGATATCAAATGGAGAGAAAAAAATTGCAATAGGAACTTGGCAGGCATACCGTAAAATTCCGAAAATAAGCCCCGCGGCTTATATTTTTCAAAGGCCCTTTTTGAAGGGGCTTATATTTGGAGGGGCTTATCTATGGAGGGAAACTTGCGTTTCAAAATAGATTGGGTTATCCTTATAGTTGGAAGTAAATTTACTGTTTTTGCTTTTTTTACTTTGTATTTGAGGGCAATTTTCTAAGTACAAGTCCCTGGGGGGCTTATATTTGGAGGGGCGATTTAACGGAGTGTTTTTTGCATTACCGGGCTGGGGGGCTTATATTTGGAGGGGCTTATACATGGAGGGGCTTATTTTCGGAATTTTATGGTATATTGGAGAGGATGACCATGGAAAATTGCTGTTGATTTGTAGCCTGTGTAGCAAGAATTTCTGCACCAGTCTTCTCTTCCATTTCTTTTGCCCTTGCTGTAACTTTCATGCATTAACTCGATTGGAAACTCTTGCTACGCAGACCCAATTGATTTGTTAAATACATACCTTGTTCTCCAGTTCTGACCATTACTACATACACATCAGTTTCACCTCCACCACTGATGAATGCCTTATTAGAAAAGACAGTTAGAATTACACATTACATTTTCCATTTACTGTATTAACCTTGCAGCTGGTCTAAACTAAGCAATGCAAGATAACCCTTTTTCTGGACAACAGCCAATAGCCAAATAAGAGAGCTTGAGTGCTGATGGAGAGAACAAGTACAGCATGAAATCTTCTGGTACTCATTTACTCGTACGTAAACAGGGTTTGAGCCAGGATTTGATCACTGGGGGACAATTTGTCCCCTTTGCTAAAATTTTGGGGGACATTTTTATTTTTAGGGGGACAGAAATTTGTACACCCTTCTGCTGATGCAAAGAGGTTTGTCTTCTTAGACTTCTGACAAAAATAGCTGAACATCGCCTGAGACCTTTTCATAGCACAACCACGTGTGATCTCGTGATTTTTTTCGGTTTCCTTCGATCCTCATCCGTTTCTTCCTGATTAATACACTGTTCTTCTTCTGTATCATTTTTCTCTGATTCACTCTGGCTTTGAGTTGGAACGAAACATCTTTCTAATGTTCGAACACATTTTCGATGTGACATGTTAACGAATGCCAGGCGCGTTCACCACGCTTGGTTAGAAGCTGTTAGAGCATGAAACGTATGTGTTCAGTAGAGCATGACTGAAACGTTACTTTAGAATGATAAAATATACTTTCCATGTTCTGTTTTAGCTTGCAATTTCTGTAGTGAACTAAATCTCTTCGTGTGTACTTTCTTTCGAGTTTTTTTCCCTAAATTTTGAAGGGGACAATTTAATTTTATTGTCCCCTTGGCTGCTTTTTTAAGGGACAATTTCAATTGCAGTGCGGGTTTGGTGCAATGGTGCGGCCTGGCTCAAACCCTGGGTAAAACTACCATAATATTGAACGTTTAAAATGTATCAAGAGGGTGCTTTGAAAATATAGTAAAAAAGAACTAGAAATCAAGCTTCACACCATAATCATAATAAAACGATGCCGGTGTAAGTTGCTGGAATTTATCCCTTTGAAATGTTGCCATTGGTAGTAAAATGTTTGTTATTAGTGCAGTGACAACAAGAAATCAGACATTCTTTGGAGTTTCAGCTGCAGACCATGAAAACTTTAGTGGACCTAAAGGTATAAGTAACCTGTTATGCCATATTTTTAACAAACTTCCATTGTTACCTTAGAGCCATTAAGTATGTAACAATCTCCGTCTTTCCTAGCAGTTGTTGACAGTGAAGAAGCATCACTCCCACTACCTTTTGACAAACATTTTTTTATTTGAGATAGAGATTAATATATAATTTACCAGTTATACCTAAAACATCTGCTTATAAGCCCTAGGCTTATACAACTTCCTATGGGGTTTTAGGAGGGTTAATATTGCGTACTAAACCCATGAAATATAAATAGACCAATCCACACTAGTACACTCTAATTTCATTGTTTTCTTTTGGTTACTTATAATATTATTTGGCATTAAAAGAAGCATTTCAAAACAAGCTTCATAGCAACGCAGATCAATAATTCTTATTATTACTCTCTGTTTTAAGCTTCAAAAGGTTGTAATAAATTGAATTTATTTCAATACAAGATAGAGGGGCCCAGCTTATATCCAAATAACTAAATTACTTACCAGGTTCTGTTAGGCAGTATGATGCAAATTTCTGCAAAATTGATGATGCAGACAAAATAAAAATATTATGTAAAATAATTATGTCCTAAATAATAATTATTATTTTACAGAAAACCATAACATAGCTAACTTTCTTGCAGTAAGTGCATTGTGACATCTGACATCAACCTAGGCCCTACGCATTTGGCTGGCATGACCATGAACCGTGACACCAAAGTAAAGCCAGGGTGATTTGATGCTTAACAGGTAACTATTGTGGGCAAACTTTACACAATGTACTTATTTGAGAACTTTCATGTCTACTTGTTGTGGCAGAACATCAGATCCTACAACTGTAATTCTTACAAAATGCAATTTTTCAACAGGACAGGTAAGCCTTCACACCTTGACAAAATTTTTACTATTGGTCACAGCTCGGATTTCCACATTAAGCTGTATATTGTAGCTGGTACAATAGCATATTTTACCAGACATGGACATAGATAAAACAAAATAATATTATTGGAATACCTCCATAGATGCTAATGCAGGAATAAATTTTTGTCTCAGTTCTTCAGAGCCAAACTCATCAATCATCCATGCAGCCATGCTGAAAACACAAAAATAAAACCACTGTTCAAACATAATAAGAGGTAAACATTGACGGCTCAAAAAGATACATAATAAGAATTTCCTGGAAGGGAAGATCATCCTAGCACTTTGTGTTTGCTGTATCCAGTTTACATGCAAAGAGTTGTACTTGTTCCTAGCACTCCTAGCCCAATGTGATGCTATTGCTGAGAGGATCCTAGTATTAGGGACAAACCAGACCAAATGGCAGCGGGACGTTCAGTGGGTAATCACAGCAAATAAAAGCTATGTCATTTGGTGTTACCACGAGCTAATTATTGTGATGATTCTGAACTCGTCCAATATTTAGCACCATTTCTTTTTCCAAGATACAGCATCAAACCGAAAGATAGAGTAGAAAGTGCAGATGAAAGTAACAATCAATGCTTGATTGCTCAAGGTCTTGAATGCACTGTGAGTCAAATTCACGAGGATGAGTTGAAAGACCACAATCACAGTCCAAAACTTCTCCACGTAAACCCAACAAAAAGTTGTTCCGCCTTCTAGGATCTTCCTCCCTTCATGTAAAAAGCCCCTTAGTTTATTAAAAAGCGAGTTAAGATTTATAACGAACAGTGTTATTCATGGTAATGTCTGTTTTATTTTTAGCCCCAAAGAATCATAAGCAGAGGGTCTCACTTGTGAATGCTAAGATATGCAGTTGTGCTGACACATCCTGATGACAGAGCTTCAAAAATTACTGATGCTTCTAATCTGGACAGTCCACTGCCTCCATAATCTTCTTTAGCATACATTGCTGATAGAAAAACCATTGGACTCATTAAAACTTAATGTGCATTTGCAGTTACATGGACCAATCCTTGATTAGCCTGCTGTGCAGGCATTTTCTTCGGGCCCACCAATATTTTTGCTCGCGAAAGCACCATGTTGAAACTCCTGAAGAGAGGACCCCAATCTTCCTCTGTCATAAAATCAAAGATGGAGGCTACAACAATATGAACATGAACAAGCTTTCGCCCACCCAAAATACATCTGCTCAGCAGGCTAATCCTTGATTAAGTACCACCTTGCTTTAGTGGCCTTATGCTGGCAAAATCAAACAGTATGCAAAGAACGTCATGTCTGATAGCTCAGGGCTAGTGGATGTTTCTACTGACCTAGAGAATGCTGTTCTTTACTTGCAAGTGAAAGTTTTAGGGAATTCAAATTACAGAAGAGCCATAATCAATACAATCCTGCTCGTCAAATTAATACTTTGTGGGCTAAAATGACTTTTAGGCTAGTATTTCCTAGCTACAGCTTGCCCAAAGGGAAAGTTGTAAAACTTACTTTCTTTGCACCTTGGCAAAGTTAAAAAAATCATTAAAGTGGGGGAAAGGACGTTTCCTTGGTGCTACATGTTTATGTACCAAAAAAATAAAACCTGTTGAAAACCATTGTAATGCACCTCAAGATTAGTATCTCCTGATGCAAAAGGCAGTTTAGTCTGTGTTTGCAAATTAGCCTGACTTAACTGATTTTCTTATATCTCAGAATTAAACCATTATTGTATTTTATTTTTGTTGATTAACATGTCACACATTTGTACATGCTGCTTTTCCTTCAAGTGAATCTAGTTGTTCTTTAGTAACATAGTTTACTTTACTCACCTCCAAATCCTAGTGCTGCTAGTTTTTTTAATACTTCTACAGGGAATGTTTCCTGGCAAAAGAACATAGACTTGCTAATTCAGATTACTGTGGTTTGTAAATTTGTCCCCATCACAAAAGCTGTTTTAGATCATACAATTCGTAAATTTGCAATAAAAGCAATCCCATGTTCTTTTGTATCAAGTTGAAATATGTTAATATGCCAAATACAGTCAACTCCCTTTACAGCGGACACTGTAGGGACCTTGAGTTAGTGTCCTCATTAGCAAGAATCCGCCCTAATAGCAGAAGTTTATTTCAGTCAAATGTCTGCAATTTATTTTTGCCTGGGATTTAGCTGCTGTCCATATTATCAGGGTGTCTGTTATAGGGGGGTGACAACAAGGCATGAGTTGACTGTACTCTTACCATGTTGAAATAAACAGCATAACAGTAAATGGCAGATGTGTATGTTGTAGTTAATTTTTTGTCTCAGGTAATTTTTGGTTTTCTTTTGTTTTGGGGTATGGTAATGTATGCTAATAAAGTTGAAACAAAAGAAAACCAAAAATTACCTGAGATAAAAAATTAACTACAACATGTACATTAAGACTCAAAATTTGTAAAAGTAATTATCAACAATAACCTCTTGATCCCATTTCATCATTTCAGGTGCCAGCTCGTTTTTTGCAAAATCAGCAGCTAATTTTTGGAAGTCTCTTTGATGATCTGTGAGCCCCATGGATGCTGAAAAAGAAGAATGAAAACTTGCTAATAAAAGAAAAGTATAAGTTTTAAAAATGGATATTTTCCCACCGTAAATTTTTGGTAAAATAATCAGGTAAATAATCTCCGTAAAAAACACTAGGTGGTACTTTTTTACACCGCATACACCTATGTATTGTAAAATTGAAAAATATTTCCAAGGATTATCTTCTAAATATTTCAGTTATAAGATTGGTGTGACTGCAATAAAAAAGTCAGAACTAATTAATTATTGTGTTCTGTACTCACTACACAGAGGGTTTTAGGTTTGAACCCCCCCATTCCTCTCAAATTCCAGTTAGCCTGAAAAGTCTTTCCTTCCTACGGCTTATGTTAGTTTGTGGGAACGCATCTGTCATTTCAGAGTAAGACTCGCCTCTTCCCCATTTTAAAATAAACATTCATTAATGGAATCTTGGGGGTACGCTTGGTCTGGCTGAGCTGGCTTGACTGAGTAAATAGAGGCAGGAAGAAGGAAAATGGGTATCCTGTGGATTGCGTAATTCCACGGAATCTCGATAGCATGCACCCCAATACATATCTACACTATACGAGTCTTATATTATTTATTCAACTGTTTCATAACTTTTGAAAATACGAAACTTTCATTACAGACGTATAGTCAATCTTGCCCCGATAAAAAAGGCTAAAATACGGTAAAAATTTCAGAACAAACTCCCTCTAGCATGTGGTGACTTCATGTTTCAAAAGAACAAAATTTGAGAAAGAATTTAACTATTTTACTAAAAAAACGTACGGTCTAAGACGGATGACATGTGTCTCCATGTGTTTTCTCTTGTTACTGATTTCCATTGCTGAGCATTAAGTCCACGAAGGCGTCGAATTCCTCGTAAAAGTGACGAGCCACAAACCCTCGCGAACTTGCCCGCCATTTTTTTCTAAGCGACCTGGCGATGTCTTGAGAAAATGGGAGGGACTGGAGGAGGACCCAGGGTTTGACCCAGGGTAGGTTAGCTGGAGTAGCAGGACTTTTTACCAGATGTTAAAATATTATTTACCCATAGAGTAGAGCATGGATTAATATTGTTTGACTTTTTATTTAGAAGTGTACTACTCTTTTACTAGTACCTTTTTGTGATGGACCAATTTTGTCTCATAGTTTTCACTTTCTCTATCTTAGGTCCAGCTACAACGCAGGCTAGGGTTTTATTGCTCGACAAGATTTTATACCTGATCAGAAATGGCATTTCAGATGAATAATAAAAAGGAAGCAAATTAAGCAACAAACTGATTGTCATGACAAAAAGCTGAAAATAAAAAGCACTTTTAAAAAAGAAATTTATTTCTTTCCTTATAATACAAAAAAGATAAGCTTATTTTTGTTGACGAGTTCTAAGAGCTATTATACATCAGTGTTGCCTAAAGTTACATCCCAAAGTGGGACTAGAACTATGCACTATGAACAGATAATCAATTTAAATATTAATAAATACCAATTCTAAGCTGCACTTTGCACCAGTTTACTGGAGTTAATGAGTAAATTACAATCACCTAATGATAAAATACTGGGTTGGTATCATTCTCAAATACAGTCGAACCCTGTTGTAACACAGCCATAGAAAGTGTCCATATTGGGAATTTCGAATTATTGAGAGAAAATCTAAGGGCTTTGTTTCCCCAGGGACAAAGCAAACTGTCCGTATTAATAAGCAGGTGTCTGTAAAGCAGGGTTTTACTGTATATAAGTACTCTACATTAATAAAAAACAAGTGTGAGGTTTGTAGTGTAAAGTTACAAACCATTTTACCTTCAGTTCCTCTTTTTTAATATAGGCCACAAATTTGAAGAAAAAATTGAGTAAGGCTGTTCTCTAAGAACAATAAACGTAGGGAGCTCAAAACCTCCAAACGTTTGAAATTCATGATGCTCTGATGCTCTGTTTTGTAAAAACTACCTACTTCTTGGTGACCAAAGGGCTTCTCTGCAGGGGGCATTATAAAACAGATTGAGAAAATACGTTTATTCTTATTGAAGAGCGCCAAAGTTGATTTCATAAATAACATAACATTGTATCTTGATTATTCCATCATTATTACAACCAAATGTAAGAAAATCTAGCACCTTTTAAATAAATCGTGGAGTATATCTTTTACAAATACCTTCATAATTTTACATTAAGATAACATGCACAATATTTATGCACTGCCTATAGTTTCCTGGGTTCCAAGTGGGAAGAAAAAAGTGAGTTTATTTTCAAATTTGGGAACTTCCTAACTAGTACTAGCCTGTACTTATAAGCCTCTCAAGTTAGATACATATCACATGTCATCTAGAAATCACGGCCATACAATATTTTATTATTTGTGAGCTAGCTAATATTTAATATTTTGCTCTGTTCCTAAACAATCAAAATTGTCTACTACAGTATAAACACTCTGAAAATATTGTCTTCTCCTACAATTACCACCAGGATAATGATAAAAATAAATACATAATAATAAATCATTTTAGATACATGAAGAACCATAATTTATTCTACGCATCACAGATTATTAAATAACATCATTATAAAGCAGATATAATTGACTAAATAAATAACTTAGTAAGAAATGAAGGTATTGCCTTTGCCCTGCAAATGGCTAGACCTTTGCATGGCTTGGGTAACCATGCTTCTCTTCTCCACAGAGGCTCCCCTTGGGTATACCAATAAAAATTTCCACCCCCCCCACCCCCCTTCCCTTGCACTCTTCTTTTTCCCTCTTTCCCTACCTCTATGGACAAGAGAGTGACTATGTAAAATGGCAGTCCCGTATCCAGGGGTCAATTTAATAAAACTTTTTACAAGTATAATTTAAAATCCTAGCATAGTCTACTGTCTTTGACTATGAAAACAATAGCCACTTGTAAATTACACTTGCAAAAATGACCCAAGTAGAGGGCATAAAAATAGTGTTTAATTAGTACTTACATCCTAAATACACTGCCACTAAAATAAAAAGTTTTTTTCTTTGTTTACCTAAAACTGTTTATCAAAAGAACCTGGCCAACCCTAACCTGTGGTATTTCATGGACATACAAGTTTTAAAATCATGCACATTTAAAACCACAACTCATCTGGATCAGTGGACTTCTTTCCAAGTATGCTTTGTTCCCAGTCAGAAAGCTGAATCAAAAAGCCACGATTGGGGCGAATACACGTCCTCCTGTCTCTAACATAGTCATGAGCCACCTTAAGAGTGCAATGTCGGGATTTCATTAAGTATGCAATGACAATTGTTGAACTACGGCTCACACCAAGATTGCAGTGAACTAAGATGCATCCACCCGTAGACATTGCATCAGAAATAAACTGGCAAGCTTTGGAAAAATAGACCTTCAAATCACTGGAAGGATTATCGTCCAGTTTGATATTTAGATACTGAATGCGATCAGTGAAGGGAGAGGCATGTTCACTTCCAATGTTGATGACATGTGTGAGTCTCAAATCAGATATTACTTTAGCATTAGTTGCTTGCTCGCCTTTGCCCAAGTAGAGCTGGTTTTCTATAATGAGAGATGGATATACAGTGATTTCTTTATGATCACGTCGAATGGTAAGTTCTTTGGTAGTGCACATAAATGGCAGAACTTGTTGGAAACTATCATATCCTGAATCTAAAAACAGAGGTTCTACCAGCTCAAAATTCATCAACTCCCTCATGAGCTTAATCTCAGGCTGCTCTCCGTTTCGCAGGTCCGAGACTGCGTTTCCATATACAATAACGTGTGTGTACTCGCTAAGCCGATTAGCAACAGCGTCCTCGCCGAAGTTGAACCCATAGCCGAGCAAAGGGGAAGCCAGATCGTTATACAGGGTAGCTCCGCAGCGAGCTAAAATAATATGACCGCGATCAAACTCCGCTTTAGATCTAGCATCCACCAAGAGCAGATAAGAAGGATCGAAGATATTGGAGTGTATTGCTCCGTCCCAGAAATAATTGTACAGTTCATTGACGGTGATCAAATTTGATGCATCAATGCTCCCGCTTGCCTGCCCAGGAAGGAGCCCCGGTGAGTGCGGGACAACGTTGGAATTCGAGTCTTGAATATCTTGATTTTCACTTCCAACGACAGTTGAACCGTTTGCAGTAAATGCTTCTTTCTCACTCCTCCGAAAATTGGACGAAGCACTAGTCTGGCTCGCTAGAGTGTGGTTTTTGGTCGGTCCAGAGACCTTCTCAAGTTGCTTGTTGTCGATGTGTTGTTTCGTCTTGTGGTTAAGCTCCCTTGGAGATTTCGAATGCACCGTTTGTGAGTTAACCGTTTGAGAATGCAAAGAATCTTGAGACTTCTTTCTCATATTCATATGTGATATCCAAAAATTTTTGCTATCTCTTCTTTCCATTCCTTTAGTTTCTTGTACTGTTTCCGCGGCTTGTTCGCGCTTTCCACTCTTCACTCTTTTGCCACTATTCTTCGAATCTCCTTTCACATTGACTGATCCATCATGTTTATCCTTCTTCACAGACTTTTGCCTCGGACTCCGCGAAAGAGTCCCTCCCATTGCAATATATTGCTTAGCAGAACTGTTCCTTCAAACACTGCGGAAAGGAAATAATCAGGCAGCGTAACTTGCGCAAGGATCTCATGTTGGAAAGTAAACATTTATTATTCACTTCTCCCCGTGAGGTACTGGAAACCAAGCCTACTCAAGCTTTAGCGGGGGTGGGAGGGGAGGGGTCGGCTAAGAAACATGGTCGATCATAGTCGTGGAGCTTTTTTGTGGCAGTGTCGCCAAGCCTGAGCAGGCGGAGTATTTTTGACGAACCACGAAATGTTTGTTAATGTGATAAAATACTGTATCAAGTGTTTGATATTACTTCTCAAACGAAACGAATTTATAAGGAAAAATAAAGGGTGCAATAATTATCAGTCTTTTAGACAGCGAGGAGTCTCTTATTTTTCTTTGTCACTGAAAAGGGCATAACATTCTTCAGGCCCGGCCTGGGGTTTTGGGTATACGGTATCCTGGGCTATTTCAATTCAGGTATATGGTATTTTTTGTTCAAAATTCGGGTATAAAGTATTCAGTTTTTCCTGAATTCTAGGTATTCGGTATATGGTACAGAAATCACTGAGAAATGTATAATTCATTTCTTAGTTTTATTATGGCTCTAATGCTCACTAGAAATAGTGCGGATGCTCGAAATTGTTACTGTTTGGCTTCCTATCCCAGTCTCCCACCACCACCCCCACTCACACCACCTCCCGATTCGCAATCTCGTACCCAGGGCACACAAAGCTCGTTGAAAGTTCAGGGTATCAAGGGCTCAACTTCCCAGACCCAAGGACCAGACGGAACACTATCTGCTACTACACTGAACTCCGTGAAGATGATACTGGAAGGCCTCACTAGACTGAGGACAAAGGTGATGGAACTCAGATCAATCCAAACTTCATTTAACACTTAAACATTGTAAGCCTTTTAACTTCCCTTCCAGTATGAGAGGGGGTAATACGGACACCCCCATGATGCTCGACTTTTGCTTGTGCTTTCCCTGATGTATTAACGAATTATTAAAACGTGTCAAAGGTACGAGCTACAGGTACTTTACAAATCCAGTGGCCTCGTACTACCCTCAGCCTACTTTAGGTGATGTTGATATAAACTTCTGTGACCTTGCAAAATTACCGAAGCCTTTGTCTGGTTGCTTATCCAAGAAGCAATTGGATGAGATCTGTCAGTGGGTACAGCAATACGGTAAGAGTGTCGGGCAGAATACCACAAGGAACTTTTCAACAAAAGACAAGCCAGGCACCCTACCATTGAACCTCCACGAGTCTGCACCCCCGGAGCAACATTCAGTTGAGTTTGACATGCTTCTCAATGAAGACATCCCCGTTCAACACCAAGATACCAGCACAGCACGTGACATTGTCATCGCCCAGTCTACATATGTTGCAGTTTCCCGAATATACAAACCGCATTCTGCTCCAAACAGCCCACTGTATATTACAAAACTGTTAGAGGATGTGGTTGATGACTATGACAGTGCTCGTTACGTAACAACTCTCTGCTACACCCAAGATGTTGTCGATTCTCTCCTATTCACTACTTCGGGAGAAGAGCATTTCATCTCAAAAGAGGGCATAAAGGGGGTTGTAAGCAGCATTACAGTCGTTGACAATGAAACTGTTGAAATAGATGAAGGGGAGTATTATCTGCTCCTGGCCTTGGTGAACGGATCCACTGACACCACCTCTCCCAATGAAGCTGATGAAGAACCTTTTGCAGAGAGCGTTGATGGACAAGGTGACAAGGATTCGATCACCATGGACGCTGGCCAACCGCAAAGGGAGCGGAAGAGGACAGTGAACCAGGAGTTTCTCTTTTATTAAGATCTGACTTGTTCATTTTCAGGTATTTAGTATTCTGTTTCAAAATAATTTTAGGTATTTGGTATCACACATTTTACGATTTTGAGGTATATTGGTATCTTGGGGGCGAAATAGCAGGTATATTGGTATCCCACTACCCCCCTGGCTGGGCCTGATTCTTGTTCAAAACTCTGTTGAGTAGCACCTCCCGGGTAGAGTGAAGGGGGAAAAATACCAAGCGCGAGAAGTCCAGGCCCCGATTGTTCAAAAGTTGGATAGCGCTATCCCAGTGTATAAATCACTCTCCGGCGGATAAGCATTACGAAAACCAATTGCCTTATCCAATGGATAGAGATTTATCCACTGGATAGTGCGATCCACCTTTTGAACAATATTCCGCGCGGCCAATTCGTTTCGGATCACGTGGTCCAAGCGAAGCAGTTCCCGCCCGTTCGCCTCGGAAACGTCACCGAAGTAAATAGACCAAGGCCTGGGAAAACGCCGTACGGGGACTGGGCAAGGACCAGTATTGTAACAGCGAAAAAGGCGAAGGAAGTGAGACGACTCACATAGAAAGAAATAATTTATTTCTATAATTTAATTTCTGCATTTGACACTTCCTTCTATTTGACTGAAGAAAGAGGCAAACATTATATACTTTTTACTCCCATCTCAGTTTCTGTTAATTAGTATCCTGCACTTTTTTGAAGATTTTTTCATAGAAGTAACTACATTTATGTCTGTACTGATAGCAACAACAACAACAATAATAATCATAAACGTAATAACGACAACGACGATACTATATACCACCAAGAGATAATATTCTCTCTTGATACCACTTAAGTATTTTCTAAAGCCCAGCCCTACACTATTGTTTTTTTTTAGTTTTGTTTTGTTTTTTTCTTTAAATAATTTTAATTTGGAATAGAACTTTATAGTCCCCTTTTTTCTGTTAGGCTGTATTAAAAACAGTTGGTCTGTTCACGCAACCGTTTTTGTCTCGTCTCGCAAGCCTTGCGTGACGAAAGATAAAAAGAGCTGCGTGGAAGACTAGTAAACAAAAACGAAAACGAAGAAGGGAAGTTTAACCTGACATGAAATTCATGAAAGTAGTATGAGAATAGAAAAAAATAAAGAATTACTCGCTAATAACAGGCAAATAAGTCTCAGTAAAGTTTCGGAATTTGAGGGTCTCTACAAAAATTGAATAAACGTTAAGTTGATTATTGTTCATCTCGAGACTGAATACTCGTAGCTGAGCACGAAACATGAGCCATATGTACACTAACGCTTAGGGGAAAAACTGCTGACCGATCGAGCTGTAGCACCACCTTTTCCTCATCCGGGTCAAGTGTCAAATCCAACAGTCCAGAGCAAGTGTAGTAACTGGTGCAACCCTTTGCGTCAAATGAAGCCGCAGCCACGCGCACGATAATATTCTTCTGTTGATGAAGATATACTGCCCCGCTAACGGGGTGTGTATAAGTATTGCGTCTAAGCAAAAGTTGCCTCATTCTCGGGCTGTACGTAACTATGACGTCAATGCCATAAGAGAACCCTGTCCAACGCCAGCAATACTGTAAAAACAAAATAAAAAACACTTCATTAGAGAAACATGTACGCTTTATGTCCTCCACTGTCGTGCACTAAATTAATTTCAGTCCAGCTTTGTATTCTCCGGTGTTAAAAAAGGTTAAAGGTTAAAGGCATGTTTATAGTGGAAGGTGCACTTAGCTAGTCAGCTAATTTACAGGCACTTTGAATTCAAATACAACATAACAGGATTAAAAACCCCAACTGGCGGTGGCCGAGAATTTGAACTCGGGAACAAATCCAGCAAGTGGCCAGAGCGGGACTCGAACCCGGGACCGCCGGATTGCGAGTCCGACGCGCTGACCACTCGGCCACGCTTAAGGGAAGTTTAACCTGACATGAAATTCATGAAAGTAGTATGAGAATAGAAAAAAATAAAGAATTACTCGCTAATAACAGGCAAATAAGTCTCAGTAAAGTTTCGGAATTGTGTTAACCCACTCTCCACCAGGAATTTTGGAATACTTTAAAGCTAAAACTGGTCATTGACTATAAAAGCTAAAACGTTAAAAAACGTGGACGTGGAGCACTTCATGGCCTTCTGTTTCAATGATTCAAAATATCAGCTCCGAAGTTCGGGCATGCACAGAAAGCAAAATCTCGAGATAGTTTTCGGGTTTAAAATTGACGCAGCAGTCTCGACTTTCACCTTTCGCTTTCTCCCCTCCACTCTCCTTTCTCTCTTCCCCCCCCGTCCCCTGCACAAGTCGTTTCGATACAAGTTTATTCAGTCGACGTGTAAGTAGTTTCACGCACTAGGCTTAAAGAACGAAGAATGTTCACCCCAAATATTTTTCTTGTTCATTGGTTGAGTACGCATCGAAACGACTTGTATCAAAACGACTTTGTATCTTTACGAGCGATAAAAATGGTGACTACATAAGCAGTTCAAGGGACGTGGATCCACACGGGAGGTTCAGGGCGGGAAAATTGGTTAAAATGCTCACTGACTTCTCTAAATCCCTTCCAGGTAATGTCTTAGTAGAATTTAGCAACTCTGCAATTTCCCTTGTTCTACAAGCTGTTGGCAAAAATGTCGTTTAAGTGCAAGCGCTTCACTGCTAAGAAATTACGAAAAAACTCACCGATGAGTTCCTCTCTAGTATCCGTCCACACCTGAGAGCATTGGTTCTAAATTTGTCAATTGATGGACTTGAGTCTCGATTTTGGGATACAGAAAGCATACAAACCCACTGCGATTTGTACACTGGATGTAACCAATCTGAAGGTAAATGAGATTAAACAGTCAACACTCGTTCACACAAGGAAGTAGCATTGTAACACCAGGATTGTCCCCTGTACAAAAGAGGAGCATTAGACACAGAAAAGAATCCACACTCTGGTCTCTTTTTTGACAACTAGTTCGACGTGCGATATTGGCAAAGCAAAGGCTAACTCCAGAGCTACAGTTACACAGACAGAGCGGGTGAGGGCATGGATATTGGGTCGTTTAGCGCGATGGCAGTTCGCCCAGACTAAGTCTATTCGCCCGATGCTGTCGTTCTTTAAGCCTGAGAAAAAGGAAAAAGCATGAAAAGACAGTGACTGCACATGTGGAATCCAAGGTTAACTAAAATTACATCTCGGAGAAGTTAGTTTACCATGTTGTAGAGTGTTGTATGTCATCGGGCGAATCGACTGAAGTCCTAACGAATGCCTTCGGGCGAATGGTTTTTCGGGCGAAACGACCGCAGTTCACTCTTGGTAAACGTTCAAAATTTGCGCTTTGGTAGATACAAACTCTCATGTGTACAACACTTAAAAGCTTCTCTAATAAGATAAAGACTGAGTCGCAAAAACAGGTTGAGTACCTTGAGGAATAATTCTGTCAGTGTCCAAGAGCTGAATTGAACGTATGTCATTTACAACATGATGTAGCCTGATCGCTCTGAAGGCAGGAACAAACTTTCTACCCTCATCAGTCTCTAGAAAACAAAGGCTGCTATCAGTTGCTCGTGATGCAAAGTATGTATTGCTTTGTGCGCGTACATCTTTCCAGCTTCCCTCCCAGTTGGGATGAAGATGTAGATATGCCCAGACCTTCAGTAAGTTATATACATCTACTTCAATCTGCATTACAAATAATTCTTGAGAATTGACCACTTCGCTCATCAGCTCCACACTAGAAGACAAATAGAAACAAGTACTATTCACATGCAAAGTAGAGCCCGGTTTACACGAGCATGCAAGCTCTCCTCGACGTATTTTATACCTTAATGAAAAAATGTTGAATAAGTATGACACAAAGAATCTACCCACCTACCTCTCCCTAGACTCAACATTTTGCCCTAAGTGAGAATTTAGTGATAACGTTTGGTTAGGGGAGGGGTAGGTGGGTAGGTCCTTAGAATCTTGAAGGACATGCTATCGATTAGACTGTTAGTTGAGCTTCAGACGCAACAGTGTCTCATTTCCACAAAAAAAAAAAAACGACAAAAACACTCAGCGAACGTTTAACCTAAGAATTGTTCTTCATATGAGGGAACTACTCTGGCGAATGTTATGTTAAACAAACCAAAGTAGGTCAGAAGCTTCATAACAGTCGCTTACTACATACTTGAACAATGTTCTAACATCAGAAACAAACGAAGAAATAGTAAGTGTTGGAAGATTACTATATTCAGTAATCATTACAATTATTAGCTGAGGTTACACTCGATTTTCCATGGATTATTGTTTCATGATACATTTATTACCGTGTTTTACATTCCGACGTAAAAAACTGAAGGCTGCACTCAAGTTTATTTCTCGAGCGGTACTCGCCGGGTGCAGCTTTTCTTTATGTCGTCACGCAACGCGGACGACACAAAGAAGACAGCAGTGTAGCAGACCAACGTTTCCTATGCTGTTTTTTGACACTTGAAACAGTTAGTACTGTCAACTGCCTATGATTAGACCAGTTATGACTAAATAAAAAAATAAGGAATGCACTTAACATTTTGACTGGACGTCGTAACGCGGAACCTGTATACATGTACTCAGGAGTATCCGATCACCTCGCCACCAAAATAGCTCGCCATCAAGAAATACATATCTTAATATATTTCAATTAACTCAAGCGATGCAAATGAGCCATATTAAAAGTCGCAAGTATTCACAAAAAATAGAACTAAACCATTAGCTAATCATGCCTCAAAAACATTTTTCTGTGAATGACCACATCACAATCCTTGGCACATGCACGAGTCTGGAGTAAACTTTATTATTATTCATTCAATATATTTTTTTGGTTTCTGATTGGCTAAAATCACGTGCGTAATTCATAATTCATCGTACTGTTGAACAAATTTGCAAGAATTTTACCATATTGAACCGATGACGTCAAAAGTGCAGCAAAGTTGCAGATTATTGAACAGTTAACCGAGAAGACCTAGGTACGAGTTGGGGACGAGCTGTCTTTAGAGTTATTATGTAGTGGTGAGTAGACTTCTTGGTGGCGAGATGACCCTACCCAAGGTGATATCCCACCTAATCTCCTTAAGAAGTGAAACCGAAGTCTCAGAAGTCAGTCTTCTTTCAAGCCACTTTACACACTTGGTCTGCACCTCTGTTTCACAGTACTGAGTAGCTGCTACATGATATGCACAAACTGTAGCTCTGTTTATCGTTTCTATCATAGCTTCAGCACACTGCTGAGACAAGCCTTCCTGCAGAAAAAATAAATAAATATCAAGGTCAATGATTTTTAGGCTCTATCCACACTAATGCGTTTTCATTAGAGAATGCATACATTTCGATGCATTTAAGGCCTCCCATCCACACCAATACGCTGAGCGTTTTCATCTAAAACATATCTATTTGAAAATGCTCTTGAAAGTGGATGAAAACGAAAACGCAAACAGATTGTATAAGCGTGGATGGGTCGAAAACGCATAAAAATGAAAACGATGACTGAAAATAACACAGGCGCGTGTGTTTGTAGCATGCGCATAGAATTCAACTTACATCACAACGTACAATTCTATCGTTTTCTAACGTTATAATGTGGACCGTCAAAAACGCATCAAAACGGAAGTGTGCGCGTGAATAGATCGATGCGCTTCAACGACAACGAAAACACAAACGCATTACTGTGGACTGGGCCTCAATCTTTTGACTTTTCACATAATGCAACTTTTTTTTACAAAAAATGATAAAATATTAACAAGAGGTTTACAGTCAATTTTCTGGAGGCAAATGGAGTGGGCCAGTCTTGCTCATTCATCCCTCTGTGGGGAGAATTTCCATTCCAACCAAGAAAAACAGTCATCTTAAAGACAGATATTTTTTCTACCAAAACTTTCCAGTTGGAAACGAAGCCAAGACCTCTGGAAATTTTAGTTGTACGGATCCTACCTCAAAAATTCAGCGCCGGTGGCAAAATTGGACACTAAACCTTTTTAAGCCCCAATACCCACATACAAATTCTCCACACTGATCTCCATACATTCCTTAGAAAAACTAGATGAGAGAATTTGTTTCAAGATCAAGCACTTCCCCTCTGGAGATCATTTTGCAACAGGCCATTTGCACGATAGCATCACTTTACGACTATGATCAGGATCCTTCAGGGTTCTGCTTTCTTGTGCAAATTAGGGCTTTTGTTATTTAAACCTCCCTGGGGCTACCAAATTTAAACATGAAAAAAAAAACCCAAAAGAATTCTGGTCATAGTTGTAAAATGACGCCATCGTGCAAATCAATGGCCTATTCTCATAACCTTTCTACTTGATTATGTACTGATATTGTTGGGGAAAATTTTATTGATGTTGGCCACTCTTGGGACTTCAAGAGTTAATGTGGATTGCATATTGTACTGACCAACTGAAGTAAGTTTGCTGCAGCCAGAAGAGGAACAACTTTAACTGGAGACACCATAACTTCATCACAGTACAGAGAGCCAAATGCTGTGTTCAGTGCTGTTGAGATAAACATCAAAATACTCAGTGCCACCAGTCAGTGTTGGTTGTATCTACATGTACAGAGATTCCAACCACTGGGGATATAAAGCCCGCAGACTGTCATGTCTCTTCAGCAGTAATGCCCAACATGAACCACCCCACCCCCCATCAACACAGATCAACCCAGTCCCCAACTTATAGCGTGGGTTTGGCACAGGAAATTATACGAAGTCTTACATGAGGAACAAATTGTCCAAATTTGCTCTATTTTTCTTAAAATAGTCTTTCAGTGATGAGATGTTTAAAAAAATGCCACAGAAACTAACTATGATCAATTGAATTTCAAACTAAGGCACAGGAACACTCCAAATTCAATTTTATTGAAGAGAATGGGTGACCCATATAGGAGGCGGGGCTATTAGTGCCATATCTGGGAGAGTTGGCATATATGATGAAGGAGGGTAGCTTTAGTTAAATGTCTATTCCTGCAGTTAGGTGTTTGCAGATGCAAAGGCTGCCAGTAAAGAAGGATTCAGTCTAGAGATGTAGAAAAGATAATTCACATAGTTATTTCTTGAGTAATATTACCCTCAACATCAATATTTTCATCTGGAATTTCCATTGTAATATGGTCTGCAGTAGATTCCTTCCATGATCCATTGAACATACTTTGAAAGTATGAAGACTATGACAAAAAAAGACAGCTTCAAGTTCAAAAGGGCCCCATGAGGTAACTCAATAATATATAGTACAGTGGAGCCTTGACATAACAAAGGGCAAAGGGACAGGCAAAATATGTTCACCATAATGAGGTTTCGTTAAATCAAGGTTCTTTTCCATATATTTTACTATTGCTGGGATTAAAAACACAGTTAGCTCTACAGAGGACTTTGTTATGTAGAGGTTTGTTATATTGAGGTTCCACTGTACATACAGGTGTCAGCTCGTACATTTTGTTAAGCCGTAATTTGCCCTACCCAAAAAACCAGGAGGTTGTTTGTGAATTCCAGTGCCATGGACTTCAGGCAAAAATTGAGATGCAAGCAGCAGAAAATCACTAAAAAGAATGTGCTGTTTGCTTCCACGAACTCAACTGAAAAGGCATCAATGTTGTGGAAGGTCTCTCAAACAAAAATCACCACGGAGTGCAGAAAAGAGCTTGTTCACAACGTCTGACACCCAGCAGGCATTGCAGAATTCAGAAACATTCACTTTGTTATGTATTTAAACAAGTAGTAGCAGTAGTACATAATTATCTGCTTTCTTTCATTTAGAAAAAAATGGGATGGTCAGTCAATTGAAATGCTTTAACAGCAGCTTCTGCATTTTGCCTTTTTTTTCTTCAAAATTAAAGTAAATTAATAAAGTATATTACATTACTGATGACATATAAAATGAGATGTTAAAGAAAAAAATACAGGGGAAGGAGATTTTACGGGCATGGCCTCACTTATTATTTCAAACATACCTGGCACATATAGATTCTGTGAAGCTTCCACTCTTTTCCTGTAACATAGAATAAGAATATGCAGGACAGAGTTAACAAAAACAGATGAAACTACCAAAGTTTCCAGTCTAACGAATTTTGTGAACTTTAAGTGTGGCCCTTCAAATAGAAACTTAGTACTTTTGCATAGTCTGTAATTTGCCGCTTATGAGCCCCAGGCTTATACATCTCCGTAAGGGGTTTTAAGAGGGCTTGTAAACAGAGGGGCTTGTAATCAGAATAAAATAGGGCATTGAAACAATCTATAGCTGCAGTGCTGATCAAAACGCATTTTGCATTTACTGGTTTTTCATAAGCTTTCAAATGTCATAAATTGAATTCATTTCAATGTACAAACTAAATGAGAGAGCAGCATTTTAGTGTATTACCAGACAGACTGTATTCAGTAATAATAAATACCGGTATATCAGTTTCTAAAGGCTTCCACTCAAGGATCATTTTTTGTTCACAAATTACTAGCTGGCATCTAAACTTATCACAATCATCATTCTTCGATACTTGCAGTCTACTTTTTAAGGATGTGTGTTTTGAATTAAATTTGATTCAAGTGAGGCCTTATATACTTACCTAGAGCATGTATTGTAACATCGCTTCCTTCTCCATCAAGGAAGAGGGTCTGATAAATATAGTCACAAGTGCCTTTCAATTTTTTTCTGAAAGTTTAATAGTCACATTAGAGAGATAACCACCCATATTCACTCTTAGGAAATGAGAGTAGTCTAATTTTAGAGAAATTAACTAGAAAACTAGCCTGCGAAAACAGCCGTTTCTCCTTGCTCCTTGCCACTGTGTTCTACTCCATTAACCAATCAGTGCTTCTGACCAGATTCTGGACAGATTTTACGTTGTCAGTATGGATTTCTGACACTGAGTCACAGATGTTCCTCCTTGCCAAACATCCTCAACAGCAATGAGCAAGGAGAAACGGCTGTTTTCGCAGGCTACTGGATAACTATGTCAGTTGTACAATTTGGATTTAAACAAATAAAAAAAGCGTTGAGAAAACCGATGAAAATTACTATTTCTCAGCATTTAGACTGGTGATAAATAAGCCAAACCACCGTTCTTTGTCGCTCATTCTTGGCTTTTCCATCACTGTCACAATTTGGCTGAGGGAGGTTGTCCCTTGTCGCGATTTCATTTTACGCTCTGTCGCTACTTTTTGGGTCGTGTCGCTAGTCGGAATTTACCCTGGCAGGGCCTCAAATAAGGTTATGACAAACTACCCACACATAGCCTTTCCCGAGCCCAACATTTTAATTTTATCCCGTGCTCCTTCGAACTTCCTTTATATCTATGACAACGGACGGTCTCTAAATGTATTTCCGGTGTACCAAACATTTTGCTGTATGTGCAAAAATATGTTAGCGTTAGCCTGAGAAAACAGCCAACATTTTGCGATGCTCTAGCTACTTTCCCCGCAAAATGCGTCCGAGGAATTCCCTACTGATGATTTTGAGAGTTGCATGTTACGTAAGTTATTTGAAGACTGCCGAAGCAGCTTCTCAAACTGTGTATAACATGGCGGATGTTCTAAAGTTTAGCAAACTATGCACTTTGTGGAAAAATATTAGCTCTTTCTTTGGCTACAATCTGTAAAGGTAACATACACAGGGGCACCCAACGACAATTTTCGGAAAATATCTGTTCGGGAGACGATTTGAGATCTACAATTTTCGGAACATTTGTTGTAAAATTTCTTGCTTGCCTGCCTCTCCTAGGATTTTCGAACATCAAACAAAAAATGGTCTAATTGCCTATTTTTAACGGATTTTTACCCTACAAAACCAGAAAAAGGTCACCTAGAATTTTCTGGAGTAGCAGTTCAAGGAAAGCGAGTCTCAATATCTGTTTGTCGAGGGTTATCGGAAGTTTTATCGGAAGAAAAGTTGAGCCTTTTTCTGGCTGAAATTTTCGAAAAGGTTTTGTAAGATTTTTTGACTCCTATAATTTTCGGATCACTAGACTTTCAGGTAGGAAATCCGAACAGATGAAAAATTTTTAGGGCATAAAAATATGCCTACATCTACCGTTTAAATACCAAAATACGTTTAACAATGCTATGTTTAAGTGGTTTTGAACTATATTCTCGTTGGGTGCCCCTGCATACAAATATTCACCTCTTCACTACATCGACGACTGCCTCCTCGTCCGTCTGACTTCCATCCTCATCTTCGCATTCAGAGTGTTTTCTTTTCCTACCTGCTGACGTGCCTAATGACGATATTGTTGAGCCCATTACTTAAAGCCGTCAAAAAGGCCCAAAATGGCAGCATTTAGCTCGCTAGGTTCGACAACAGCATCAAACGACCAACAGCCGCCATGACTGTTTACAATCCCAGAATGCCACACGCTTCTCTATGTTTTGCAATGGTTTATGGGAAATAAGTTCAGTGATCCCCATGTGGTTTGTGAGGGTTTGTGAAGGCCTTGTGAAATTGGCGAAAAAAATTGGATTTTTTTCCATCTTGGAAAGTCTTAAATAGCAAGGTGAGGTGTATTTTATTATCTTTAAAAAGAAATGACCACTGTAAATGAAATTAATCTCGAAAATTTGTGTTGAATAGACCGGTTAACATGGTTAAGGCGACTTGTTTTGTGAATGCAAACAAATGACTCGTGAGCTGTCGTCTGAAATATAAATTGTCTGAGAAAATCTAGGCGAATTTGAAATATTGTTTTCCAAAGTAAATGCTCTGCTTTATTTAACAAGAATGTAAGATTTACATTTTAGCATGGCTGAGTATAAAGTTGACCAGTAAAATTATTAAATTGCATGATGGTACGTGTGTAATACTTCAGTAGTACAACTTGGTGGAACTTAGTGGAGCAATTCACATAATTGGACATTGCATCAGTCAGAAACCTGAAAATCTGTTGTGCATGCGTTTTCATTACTGAAATGTCTTCAGTTTACTGGAATTGCGGAAAGCTATGAGAGCATTGCATGCATGAGTAAGAACAAAATTATTAATTGATCTGTCAATGGCCGTTCAGTTTATATGATATCTGCAATCTTTTCTTTTATTTCAATTAATATTTATCAAGGAACATCCAATTTAGCAGAGCTAGTTTAAATGGAGCCCCAAAGGATTGATGGCACCGGAGCCATGTTGTTTTGTCTCTAGTGGGAGGGGAGGGAGAACTTGCCAAGTTCTTCATTGTCTTGCCTATAATGCAGGGATATCTTTGGTTGTCACAGGAGAATCCTCGTTCCTTGTTGCCTCATTAGCATATGCTATTTATTCTCTGACAGAAGCATATAACCATAAAAAATCCCGAAATCAAAAATTTCAAACCTAAAAAAATCCTTTGATCTTCCTGCTAGCAGAGGTCTCATGCCTCATCGTCAGAGACCTCTCTGCGAGCATGGAACCTTCGATCATCCCTGTCACTTGAAATCCAAAGTAACCCCTGGGGTGTCGGTATTAAGCGGGCATCCATAAAGTAGGGTTTGACTGTATTATTGTTATTATTTTTTTTGCTGCAGAGTGAGACCAAAAGTGTATTTAATTTGTAAGTATAAGTACCGTAAAATTCTGAAAATAAGCCTCTCAAACTCATAATGCAAAAAACCCTCCGTTAAATCGTCCCTTCAAATATAGCCCCCTGGGGCCTTGTACTTGGAAATTGCCCTTAAATACAAAGTAAAACAAAGCAAAAACGGTAAATTTACTTCCAACTATAAGGCTAGCCCAATCGATTTTGAAATGCAAATTTCCCTCCATAGATAAACCCCTCCGAATATAAGCCCCTCCAAAAATAAGCCCCTCAAAAAGGGCCTTTGAAAAATATAAGCCCCAGGGCTTATTTTCAGAATTTTACGGCATATGTTCAGGCCATTTCAAAGGATTGTAGAAACAACAGGGTCTGATCAGGACCATCATAGAGCCCTATGAATTTGCTTTGCTTAGTACGTCATTTATTTTTGTCTTCTAGCTGATCAGTGTTTTTATTTTTTTTTTTTTATCCAGAGGTTAAGTAAAGCCAAAAGTGCCAGCAATCATTTTTCTACTGCTATAAAATCTTACAGTTCAAGTATATCAAAATATCTGTCCCTTGCTTAAATTTTATTCTACTATGGCAGCTGTAGGAGACATCATTGCTGATTCTGAAAACACGACCAACTTGATCATCAACTACATTCCACAAAGTTACAGTGATGCAGAATTTAAGGCTCTGTTTCAACAAATTGGCCCGACCAAATCCTGTAAGATTTGCAGACACAAAGCAACTGGGTACAGCTATGGCTTCGGGTTTGTGGAATACTTCACCCCTGAACATGCTCAGTCAGCCATAGACAAACTCAATGGCTTTCAAATAGAAAACAAGTTCATAAAGGTTGCTTTGTCAAGAAAAGGAGGGGAGAAGATCAAAGGCGCAAACCTTTATGTTCGGAATATTCCAAAAACGTGGACTGCTGAAGATCTGAAGGTACTATTCACTCCCTATGGCAATATCGTCAACAGCAAGATCTTGACAGAACCAATGACCGGTGCATCAAAGGGTGTGGGCTTTATTCTTTACGATTTGAAGTCAGAGGCTGAAGCTGCCATTGCAGCTGTAAATAACACTATGCCTTCTGGAGCAACAGAGATAATGTACGTTCGTTTTGCTGATGACAATACTTCTAAACTGAAGCCACCACCTGGAGCTACTCCTAGCATGCCTCAGAGACCAAGTTTCAATCTTGGTCCTCAACAGCAGCAAGGGGCAATTGGACCCATGGGACAGGCTATGATGAATCGTCGTGCCAACCGATTCAATCCCATGTTCGGAGGATCCCAGATTCCTCCCCCATCTGGGTTTGCCCCAATGTCATACTCTGGGGGTGGTGGCAGTGGCGTTACTTTGTTTGTTTACAACATTGGTACCAAGGCAACTGAAGCTGCAGTTTATAGACTCTTTGCACCATATGGTGAAATAAAGAAGATAAATGTGATGTGGGATTGGGAAAGAGGACAGTGCAAAGGATTTTGCTTTGTTACCATGGGTACGATTCAGGAAGCTCAAAATGCTATTCATGCACTAAATGGCTTTACGTATGACCAGCAACCTCTGCAAGTAAAGCTGAAAACACCAAAGATGTGATCAAATTCACCTTCCTTTGTGCTATGTGGCACAGTGCAACACATTAATTTCCTAGTTTAAAAAAACACACTGTATTTATTTTGTAGTGTTTTTCCTTCCGATAATATTTTTTACCTGTATAGTTACTGTTTCAGCAAACGAACAATATTTCTGACATCATCAAAATCTGCATGCCATGTGGTACAAAATTTTTGCAGATAATCAAGTTTTGGTGTTTTGTGGGAAGAGTGGTTTTTCTCACCGGAGATTTAATTTTTGCTATTTTTTAGAAAGCCACATTCACGTGGACTGATAACATTTTAATGTTAATTAAGCAAACACCATTTTTTTGGTATGTACAGTGGAGTTGATTTCTGGGAAAATGTTTGTGGTATTTTTTTTGTGTGGGAAGTTCTTTTGTAGATTATGGGGGGAAAAGAAAAAAATTTGAACCCACAAAAATTTAGTGCCACAGGGTATGTTTGACCATTGTTCAATGAACCCCAAGACAGTTGTTGTGAAATAAGCTACCAACATTGTATTACCAGAAAGAATTTATTATAGAGACATCATATGGAGTTAAGACAGTCAGTAGAGCAAATCTAGTTTAATAAGATATTGCTTCAAACAATCAGAATGGCTCATATAAGATGGAATGGATGGCTAAGCAAAGACAGTGGACAACATAAGCTTATTTTATACCAGTACATGCCATAATTAAGACGACTGAGATTATTTACCTAGTTACCTTGGTTTTTGTTTTTGACCTCTTGCTTGTTTCTACATGTGATCCAATGACACTGTTGTAGTTAAATACATGTATTTCTCTTAGGATTATCATGAGCAGGGCTGTCACACATATTTCAAGTTGCCCAGTATATGCAGTTAGTAGGCAGTGAATTGAATGGAAGTTCTTTTGGTTCCATTTTCTTTTTGTTTCCTACATGAAAGTAGCTAGGGTCATGCTCATAGTAGCCAGGGGAAATCCCTGCCCCCAGCCCGTGGTGACAACCCTGATGAGGCCACATGTTTTTCTCATGTAAATTTGTAACTTCCCACGGTAAAATTGTTTTGAAAAACAAAGTTTGAGTTATATTTTGCATTAACTCTCTCTTTAACATCCTTAATCAAACCACACATCCCAGCCTTTGTCAAATTTACTACTACAGTCAGCTCTCTCCCATGTGACCACTCTTTGCTGCATGACAAAGTGGTAAAGTAACTGGAAGAACTTATCATACTATATACATACTGTTGAAGATCACTGAAACAATCCACTAATTATAACTATCTGTCTAGTTAACTGTTATTACCTGTCAGCACCCCAGATCATTGGTAAACGTTTGTGACACTCAGATTATGATTTTCTTATGATCATACATGATCATGCCAGGTGGTTTCTTACTGGAAACAAATTTGAGAGTTTCTGAAACAGCATTTGCCTGAGAAACAAAAGGGCTATTTACAAAGTGGTTACCTATAATAATCGGTCAATGTGAAAGAGTTCATCGTAGTTTCAATTGAACCCCTGTTAACTGAAACTGTTCTTGAGTTAAACAAGCCCAGGTGCCAGTTGTTTAAAAGGTGGATAGTGCTATTCACTGGATAAATCACTATCCACTGGATAGCACAATTGGTTTCCCCAATACTCATCTGCTGGACAGCGATTTATCTGGGCCCAGTTGTTCGAAGGCCAATTGGCACTTAACCTGGGGTTAAATTTAACCTGGGTTTCTCTTTCTTGTGTTCAAAAGCATTTTCTTGGATAATTTTCTCCCTTATATTTAGAGCTTTCAATCATCAACTTGTAGACCAAAAAAATTAAAACTGAAATGCTTTTTAAGCTTTCAAATCTGAATTCAAATCTTGCACTAACCCTGGGTTATCTTAACCCGGCTGTGAACAACTCGGCCCTGGTGGATAGCGCTATCCATCTTTTGAACAACCGGGGCCAGCATGTGTATTATCTAATATTTTTTGTCATCTAGTGTGTTTGCTTATTTGTTCATATAATGTGCCTTTGATTTTACCTTAGTCCTACTGATACATTTTTGTAAACATCCACTTAACCAAATTTACAAGGTTCTTTAAAATCAGGGGTCAATGTAATAAAACTTTACAAGGGTAAAGTACAAGTGTAGCCGTTGCTTTAGAGTCTGAAAACAATAGCTACACTTGTAACTTACAATTTTGTAAAAGTTTTCTTAAATTGACCCCAGGACAGGTGTTGAGTGCAATTATTACACCGAATCTAAAAGACAAAGTTTTTTTGGCTTCTGAAATCAGTCCTTGCAGTGAAATAAAGCCTGCTAAATTGACCAAAAAGTGTGTGCATTAACTGTATGATGTAGTAAAAGTTTTTCAACCACCAGGTTCTTATGGATGGATGTTTACTGAATAAATCGAAATTTTTTCCCATTACTGCAGTTACATCTGCTTAAGCCAGGATTAACCATTGGTACAATAAATTCACCTGCAAGTACATGTATCATGTTCATTTTAACTTATCGTGTACACCTTGACCTCCTGGGGTCAGGAAGTCAAAATACCATTGATAACCTCCAGTAATATTGGTAAGCATGTAATGTACAGATAATCTGCTGAGCACTGTCCCATCAAAATGTGCACATGAAAAATCTGAAGTTTCTGACAATGTACACTTGGAACCTGAAATTTCATACAGGAATGGTTGTGAACTCAAGATTCCTTTTTGCTCCCTGTCTTCTTAATAAAATATAGTTTTTCTGTTGTTTGATTGTCAAAGTCCCTGTTCTAGGCAGCTACACTTCTAGAAACCATAAGTGAACCTTATCTCCACCACCTGATGCACACACTGGTAAAGATGGATGCCAGGAAAGACCTCCACCTACAGGCATCTGACATGAAACTGGCATCTGTCAAATAAAAGAGTGGCAAGTCAGCTACACATGGGCAGGAAAGGTCCCGGGGGAACATTAGTAATAGAATGGGGATGAGCCACTGGATGGGGTCACATTTTTGCGACAGGATTTACTATAATGAGATTGTATTTTCAATAGTTACTAGAATGGTATCAGGAAGCACATTTTCAAGATTTTGAGGGTAAGAAAACTGTGGTAGATAGGGATTTAAAAATGGGAAGATGCGTGGTTAAAAAAGTGACAGAAAGTGACTAAGTTGGGATTGTGAACATTATATTTGCCTAAAAGTGACTAAGATGCATGGGGTCTAGGCTCTGGTCTAGGACTAGCCACAGAAGAGCCTATAAGGGGGTAGGGGTTCTGAGAGACCAGCTGCACCAATAAACTTGTACTCTTCAAACTATTACGGCCTTTTATTCACAACTGCATCATCACAACTCATCGATTTTGGTGGAAAATAATCATATGTTGTGGTTCAAAAATGTATCCTTGATCATTATATTACATATTGTAATTCCTTATAAAAAACTAACTTTGTGATGTTCCATGTGGTAGACGTTAATGTGGTTACCAGGGCGGCCAGTTGTTGCAAACAGGTTTTCATGTACATTAGACCACCTGTCGTAAGAAACAAACAATACAATGTTCATTTGCCTAGCTGTGTAGTTCATTTTTAATAGGCCATATTTTGCATGATGGCGTCATTTTACTGCTACTACCAGGATCCTTTTCGTTTTGCCTTTCATCCCTTCTCCTTTTTTTCAGCAAGGTTTAAATAACAAAAGCCCTAATTTTGTACAATATTATTATAAAGCAAAACCCTGGTCATAGAGGTAAAAATATGACGTTATCATGTAAACAAACTTTTCTTAACCCCTTAAGTCCCAAGAGTGACCAAGATAAATTTTCTCCTAACAATGTTAACACACAATTAAAAGAAAAGTTTATGAGAATTAATAAAATGATCACCTAAGGGAAAATGCTTTGATCTTTGAACAAATTCTCTCAACTGATGCTGTAAGGAAATGTATAGAGATCAGCTTGGAGAATTTGTATGTGAATATTGGAGCTTAAAAGGGTTAACAGCTTATGACTTTGGTGATTTCAAAGGACTGTAAACCTTCAGGTAGTCAAGGCTGTACTGTAGCAGCACTGCCTGGTGGCCCCTGGCACCTGACTTTGCACTCAGGCAACTAGAAGATCTTAGTTTTTCATAGAAATCATACACTGGGCACCCTGCCGCCCTACAAATTTTTGTTGTTATGTTGTACGGTCCAGTTTGTAAAACACATAAACTGTTAATGATGTGCAGCTGTGCTGGTAACTGGAGAAAGTATTAAACAAGGTGTATTTGTTACCTAAATTTGCACACCCCATCTGGATGAGCCTGTTCAGTAGCCTCAGGTAAACTGAAACAAGAACAGAATGTGCATGATGGACAAATAATGGTGTAAAGGTAAAATAAGTATGCATATCAAGATCTTAGTATTTCCTCTTGCTGTCTTCACAGAAATTGCTTAGTGGGTTTAGTGCCAGCCAAAGGCTTATGTGAATTGTATCATTATTATCTGTCAAATAAGATAATTACAAATAGCTGCACACAAGACAGAAGAAGCACAAGAGAGGGATATGGACATCATCCCTCACATTTCACATTCTATAAGCTAAAATAATATAATTATCTTGTGGATCACTTCAGTTTTTGATATCTTGTAAAAAAGGTTAAAAGTTTGTTTACAGTGGGAAGTACACTTAGCCTAATTTTACACTCAGCTAGTTTACTGGCACTCCACTCAATTATTAGTAATCCAAATAGAACATGATAGGGTTAAAAACCCCAACTGGAAGGAGGCAACCAGTTGGCGATGTACAAGTGTGGCCAAGGTTTTGAACTCCTGACAACACAGAACAAATCCAGCAAGTTGCCAGAGAGGGACTTGAACCCAGGACCCCGGACTGGGATTTCGACATGCTGACCACTCAGCATGCTGAACACTTGACGCGCTAACCACTCAGCTATACTGCCTCGTTACATAATGATAATTATTAACCCATTCACCCCTGAGGCCCGGTAAACGCCCATGTGGATCCATGTCCTTTCTACAGCTTGTGACGTCATCAGTTTTGATTGTCAAGGATAACTTTGTCTGCTAACTTGTGCAGAGTGAAGAGATCTTACAAACCATACCAGAATGAGCACAATTCAGAAAAGGACACCAGAGAAAAAGGCAAAAAACAATGTAACATTGACTTGAAAATTGCCATGGAAATGTTGTTCCACTACCCACCTACCTTTCCTTTCATCTAATCCTAAGATCCTAAAAGCTTTTCCCACCAAAATGAAGCCTACTAAGTGTCCAGCAAGAGAAAAACAAATGAGGCAAGAAGAGCGAGAAAAGAGGGGGAGAGAAAGCGGAAAGTAAAAGTCAAGACTGCTGTGTCACTTTTAAACCCAAAAACTATCTTGAAATTTTGCTTTCTGCACATGCGCGAACTTCGCACAAGCTAATATTTTACATCTGGATCAGGAGGCCACAAAGTGTACGACCTGTAAATGGCCTTGTGGTAAGTTTTAGCTCTTTATCTAGCACAACAGAGACCAGAAAACCACTCAGCTAGATTGGACTCCACCCAGTCCTATTACCATTAATAATAATAATAATTCTCCTATTTTATGCACTGTTATTTATAAAGCCTACACAGAGCAACACACCTTGATTTGGACATGTCCCAAATGAGCCAGTCATCTCTTGCAACAGCCCCAACCTTCAGATCATTTGTTGAGCACCAGTCAGCAGAGATCAATGGCAGCTGTTCTGTGCTCAGTGACATGATGGGTTGTTGGCTGACCAAGTCATAAAATCGAACAAGGCCATTCTTTTGTGCTACCATCAGCTGTTGGATATAGAAAGATCAACTCAATAAAAAATTTGTTCTAGAGCAAAGTGATGGATCAAAGAGGGTGTATTCAATACGCTCCTTTGAAAAATAGCATAATACTCTCAAATTGCCATGGGTAGAGCTTCATGTAAACCAGACGTTCAAATTACCCTTTGATCTTTGCATGAACTGCAAGTGCAATGACCAACTTCCAAAAAGAAACGTACTTTTTATATCTATAATGGTCTATTTTGTTACAACGGCACAACAAAAATTCAGAGTACATTTTGGAGGCTTGAACTAGAACCTGTAGCTGATTAAAAGAGTGCTCCTTCCAACTCACTTCTCTCATTGCCAAACTCTATTAAATTTTAAGAAAACTTGGGCAATGGTCTATGTTGAACGTTAGCAACATTGTATTTGTATGCATATACACTTAGTGAGCAAATTTTTTAAACTGATGCACTGCATGTGCAAATCGTGCACAAAAGATAATGCAAAAGTGAGGTATAGATATGAAGCCTTTCCAAACATATTACATCATTGTATTTTTTAAAGTGGCCTACGCCACAAATGAAAATCAGCAAATACTACTTCACCCTTCACCTAGCCAAATAAAGGAATGCCAAAAATAATGAATCCACAAGTATCATGGTACTAGGAGTTGTATTGTTTGGTTGTTTTGTTTTCACACAAAAATTATCCATACCCTGGTGACGGCATACCCGACATGACAAACCCTTTTGAAGGGGTATGTCCGGACTATCAAGCACTCTTGATCTGATGTCAAGTTCTCCTGTCCCTTGTATTTATTTGAAGGCAATTTGTGAACAGAAACTAATTGTTTATCAGAAGCATTTTTCCAACCATGCCTTCATCCAGGGTTGTCACTAAGATTTCAAGTTGCTGGGTAAATACAACAAGTAGGCGGGGAATCAAATGGCTAGAGATTTCTTTTGGTTCTATTTTTCTTCTATTTTCTAATAAAAGTAGCCGGGGGCCACTCTCTTAGTAGCTGGGGAAAATCCCCGGCCCCCGGCTCTTAATGACAACCCTGCTTCATCTTGTTCAGGGTTGTCACCAAGATTTCAAGTTGCAGGGTAAATACAACAAGTAGGCGGGGAATCAAACGGCTAGGCATTTCTTGTGGTTCTATTTTTCTTCTATTTTCCAATAAAAGTAGCTGGGGGCCACTCTCTTAGTAGCCGGGGAAAATCCCCGGCCCCCGGCTCTTAATGACAACCCTGTTGTTTCAATCTTTTCCCAAGGCTCTAGTACAAGTCACCAAGAAAATTGCTCCAACAAGTTACAACACTGCCAAAGTATAATTAGATTATACCATTTATACTAATAATTAGTATAAAACATAAAATAATTATTATTTTATGTTTTAAGGATCTGACTTTCCTACCTTGTTTGGTTCACGAAGATGCCACTTTACACTCACTCCGGCAGAGCTAAGGGGAATACAAGTTTTTTGTGTTCCAGTCTCTAAATCCCACAGTCGACAAGTGTGATCATCTGCACAATAAAATGCAATAAATATCAGGTTCGATATTCATAAGTGTAGGATAGTTAAAATAACACATTATTTTGACTGCAGCGTGCAAAGATAGTCATGTCTGACAGCCCGGGGCTAGTGGATTTTGCTTTCAGGCTAGTGAATTCTGTTCTTAACTTGCCCAACAGGCAAGTGAATTTTTTGGGGAAATTCAAATTACAGAAGGTTTGTAATCAATCCTGCTAAATAAAAAGGGTTTTGGGGCCAGTTGAAATGACTTGTGGGCTAGTACATGCTAGCTAAAGCTTGCCCAAACGGCAGGCTGTAAAAACTGACTTTCTTTGCACCCTAGACTGCAACTTGGAATAATTTATTAAAACTATACATAGAAACCCTTTTTTTCCAGCAGAAAAAAAGCAAGCCTTTGCTTAAATAAATACACATTGAACTCCCAGATGAGGTCAGAAAAACAGATCTTTGCTATTACTTACCACTGACACTAGCAACTTCAAGACCAGAAACTGGCTCAACAACACAGTCATTGATGTAACTTAGATGTCCTTCCAGAAGTGTTACTGTTGATGAGTTTCTACCATCAGACACATAGTACCGTAGCTTTTTGTCATCCCCTGCTGTACAAAACCTAAGTGGAAGCAAACTTTCTTTCAGACAATTTAACAAGGTAGAACTTTCATTAAAATAATCTATGGTTAACTTTATTTATAATGGAAAAATAATGATCCCTTATCCATCAAAGATGCTCTTTCAGCAGGGATTTCCCTTGGCTAACATAAGCATTGCCCCCAGCTACTTTCAGGAGAAACAAAAGGAAGATAGAGTCATAGAACCAAAAGTACTTCCAAGCTGTTCAATTCCCTGCGTACTAGTAATGCATATACTGTAGATCCTTTATTAAGCTTCCCCTTTCAACTTCTAATAAGCCCCCACCTTTTCAGTGGAAGAAAATATAAAATAAGCCCTCTCTCTCCATTAAGCCCCCATCCCCTCCCCTAGTTATTCTTCACTAATAAATGATAGTATATTAATAATCAATCACGACTGTAAAACTTTGTGTGGACTGACCCGGGATGGTTTATTTACCAACTGGAAGTTCGGATTTGATTCTAATCCTCAGTTGCATGACCTCCAACCTTCTTGCACTTGAGCTTTTCCACAATTTGTATTCTAGTTGTTTATGGAGAACTGAAACCATCATCTTAAAATGGGCTTGAAATAAAAAAGGCCTCTGGGGGGCTTAGAAGAGGATTTACAGTACTTGGCAACTTGAATACAATAGTGTTAAGCCCTGCATAAAACAAGAAGAGGCCAAGTCTTAAAAGGGCTCACCCGCCCATCAAATGCCATTTCTCATCTGTTATAAGTTTAAGCTACATCCCCCTTTTACTAAACTTGCAAAAAGTTTAGTAAATTAACACCATGTAAACTTGAAATAACTTTGACCGGTGAAAGTAACAAACTTAGCTCAATGCAACCAGCTTTTACTCAGTAATTCCCTACCACCACCCAAACATTTGACAGTAAATTCCTCACCATCACCAGCATGGGAACAAACAACTTGCAAAATTCCCAACAATTATTGCTCACTGGGGATGACGAGATGGGATGCTTGTTATTGTTTATTAAACCATTACTTTCTGTACTTACTGAAAGGAATATGGCAAGTGTTGGACATTTGTTTTTGGAGACCAAGCGAGTGCATGAACGCTTGTTCCATGGTGGAAGTCTGTAATGTGCTGAAACTGTAACAAAGGAAGGTGACTATCTTGAGAATCCTCTTGAAAAAGACACATTCCCACAGATACTCTGTTTTCTCCACAGTAAGCAATCACGCCTGCTGCACTGTCAAATGGGCAAAATTCCACAACTTTTACATCTTCCACACTTTCAAATGAAAATGTACTGGGCACTTCTTTTTACCAGCTATTGATGGCATGATGTTGCATCTCTAGATCAAGATCTGTTGAAATGAATTTCTGTTAGTGCACTCGGCTGGCAAAAATCTGAAGCCGATCGCGAGAAGGATGAGTTTGTTATCTCATCGACATCTGAACGTTACACATTTTAAAACAGATCCGTGTTGGGCCAGTTCGAAGCTTTCACTGATATTTCTCGTAAACCTGGTTAAAAATCATATATAAGACTTTTGTCTAACGGACGTAACCTAAACAGTTTAGGTTACATTAAAAAAACTTAGGCCCGGTTCAAACGTCGAATTTCACATGTGCCAAACTTAATTATGCCTATTTTAGTCGACTAAAGTAGTTTAATATGGCATTTGATTCAAACATCAAATTTAACTCTGTTTGCGGTCAATATTCCCAGTAATATAATAATAATTTCCTAAAATTCATGCATTAAGTTCGGCACATGTGAAATGCGACGTTTGAATCAAATGTCGAACCTAATTAATTAAAGTCGAATCTTCGACTGTTTCAGTCGCAGATACGGCAAACGTCGCATTTAATTTAAACAGTCAAATTTAATTGATTCAAACGTCGCAGTTCACATGTAGTTCACTCTCCCGTTAAGTTCGGCACATGTGAAATCCGAGGTTTGAACCGAGCCGAACTGTAGCTTACGTGAAATAACTGCGCGTTTATGCGCTTGGATTGCTGGTGTTTTTATCAAATATACGGCTTTTTATATCACAACAGTGCACTAACTCTATTTTTGGAAGGAAAAAAAGAAGGTTTAAGGACTACTCACCTCAAAACAAGCTGGACTAAATCATACCTCGCTCGACGACGGCAAAATCCGACAGGCCTTCCATTGAAAAAGAGCGGGAAGTATGAGCGGGAACTGAGAACAATAAGCGAGCTCGCACAGGATTACCAAGGACTAAACCAAGGACACCAGGCAAGAGGAAGGGCCCATTCTTCTCGTGTTTTTTAATACATACAGTCAACTGTTTCTAAGACGGACACCTTCGGGATCAGCTCTTACTGTCCGTCTTAGAGAAGTGTCCGGCTTATGGAGTCGAGAGTCGAGGTAACGTGACACCAGTAAAAACTTCTGCTGAACCTATGCTTTTCGCAATGAATTCACGTCTGTTTAACTTGTACAAAACGGCTAAAACTGCGACATTGTAACAGAAAAGTGTAATTATTTTCTCATTGTGCAATCGAACGTTCATTACAAGAAAACGTTCACGGCTTCGTGGTCTAAAAGTGTAACAGTATGCACCAAGAACAAGAAGTCCAAAGACTACTGCAAAGCTGATTTAAAACAACGTATATTGTTTTTTATAACAATATTTCGGCTGGCCATACCAGCCTTCTTCAGGTTTACAGATGTTAGGGAGCGGTCATTAACTATTGGGGGGGGGGAGGGCTGGTAAATTTTGGGGGAGGGCTGTGTTTTTTTGGGCGCCCATTTGGGGTGGGCCATAATTTTATGGGCCCACGTTTTATAGGGGAGGGTTACAATTTCTGGGCGCCTTTTATTAAAACTTTGGGCGATGTGCACAAATGGGTTTTGTGCTATTGACTTTAGCATGGCAAGAGAATCTTCATAGAATCGTATACTCAAAGCTTAATTGCACAGTGAAAAAGCTCACACCCAGAACAATTTTATAAACATCACTTGATTTATTGTTATTTTAAAAATCAACAAATTCTGGTATGCTATAAAACTCAATCAGTCTTAAACAGTAACGGTATCAAACATATTGCCAATGTCCAGTGAAGATGTATAAACGACTACTCAATGGGCTCATAGTAAGGAGTGCATTCCATTGTGTTCCAGTAGGGGCCAATGTCTTCTGCACTGCTGCTGTCGTATGCTTCCACTGCAGTAAAGACACTTCCCGAATCCTCCTCCTGACATTGTTCAGTTACATCACTATCATCGGCCCCGTCATCGCTATTTCTTTCACTGTCTTTGCTGTCATTGATGCTACTTAGGTTGTCTTGGTCGCTACTTTCATCGCCGTCACTTGCATTAGAGCTACTCTCACTTTCAGAAAACCCTAACATTGTTCTAAGCTCTGATTTCGCGCTGTCATTCAAAAGTTCGCACTGATCAAACATCAAAGCTACCGCCCATTTCTGCTCTCTTTTTCCAAGTTCTTTTACGATGTCTCCGCACAAATCCTCCTTCTCACAAATCTTACCCTCCGACCAATCAGGCGCAATCTTCTTGAGGACCTCAGTCGTCCTGGCCACATGCCTCGCCTTTTTCCGCTTCACACTCTTTTTGGGTATTTTGTTTCCTTTTTCTTGATTTTCTTTTCATTGCAGAAAAGGGGTGCTTAAATGCTGCTTTGCAGGTTTCTTGGAGCTGACTTAGACTAGTTATTAAAGTGTGTAATTCATTTCTAAAACCCTGCAATTCGGTTAGCTTTTGCTCATCAAAGTCATGTGCAGTTTTATGTCCTGTTAAAACTCTACCTGATGAATGGATTGTTCTTTCTAAGTGTTCCTTTAGGTTTTTTTGTAAAGTTTCGATTGAAGTTTCGACCCTCTTTATGTGTAACATGTTCTGCGTTATGGTCGTTGAATCATGCGGCTTGAGAATGTGGTTTTCTCTTAGAAGAAATCCAGCCTTAGAAGGATCCTTTACAGATTTCAGTTGCGCTAATTGCTCTCTAATTTTTTTTACCGCCTTCTCATTGTCGTATTCCCTTCTCGCTTCTTCATGGAATGCTTTCTTAAAGGCCTTCTTGTTTCCACCAAAATAGCCAACCCGTTCCAAATAAAATGATTCGTACACTTCGTTATAAAATCTGCTCATGTCATTCCGGGGATTTGGGATCCAGCCAAGGTTTTTATCCTTGTTCACGCTTGCTTGATTTTGTCTATTCGCCGCATTTTTGTGACTTGTCATTTCCGCTGTGGATTCCTGAGACTCTTTGTACAGTGAGGATTCTGATGAGGACCAGGAGGAAGACGAATCGGTCCAGCAGGAAAATAACTTTGAAAATCTTTTGCACACCACACGATATGGCCGAACTTGCAGGACCTGGAGGGGTCGAGCAAGAGCTGCGGACTTCTCTTGAATAGAGACAGCTCTCGCTGATCCGTTATTAAATACGCACAATTTGTTCACTCTTGAAATTGACTACAAAACAGGAATTCAATGAGTAACAACGGGGCTGTTTAATGTACGGGTTCCCTTTACTTGGTGAACCATTGGGTTTTGTAAATAGTGTATTAAAATAGTAACACTTTTTTCTTATTCCAGTGAAATAATTGTCTCAAAATAACGTTCGTAAAAAAATCAAAAGTTTTTCACAGGGGAGGGGTACAATTTTTTGGGCTCACATTTTAAAGGGGGCCAAGATTTTTGGGCTGTTAACCTGAGAGGGGCTAACATTTTTGGGCTCTAACCTTTGAAATAATACCGACCCTCCCCCCCCAATAGTTAATGACCGCTCCCTTACTGAACTTATGTAGCAATCACAATATTATATAAATGGAGAATGTCGCAATAAAAGGGAGAGGCGGAAATGACGTACAACACAAAAACTGGGAAGGAAAAATACTAAGGATATGGATTACAATAATTCGTCACGGCGGTTTAGGCCATGAGGTTCAAGAGTCATGGCCTTATCTATCAAATGCGACTCCCTGGCCTTACGAACTGAGTCACGTGAAGAATGAATTTTTTCTAGTGGGATTAAATAGTCTTTGGACTTCTTGTTCTTGTTTCGTTATATTTTGGCTGATTTGATCTCGGCCAACGTTTACAACTAGCAGGATCTTCGTCCACGGTTTTTGCAGCTACTTTAAAAGTATGCACTCTGCCAACAGGAGCAAGACTTCAAAATATCAAACATTCTGAAATTTACTTTCATGTAGAACACCAACATTTCCATTGTGAGGTATTAATTACTCAGTACATAAGGCACTTGACAATTGTTCGTTGACAGTTTCAAAAGTGTGCGTTGTCCGTCTTAGAGAAGCTTAGAGAGGTGTCCGTCTCATAGAGAGTATAATTACAGTAAAATGATTGAAAAACGGCGGAGACCAAGACCAGGTGTCCGTCTTAGAGAGATGTCCGTCTTATAGAGAGTCTAATTACAGTAAAATGACGAAAAAACGGCGGGGACCAACACCAGGTGTCCATCTTACAAAAATTATTAGAAGTGTCCGTCTTAAAGAGATGTCCGTTAAGAGAGTTGACTGTAATCGCGCTGCCCAAGCCGAGACATTCTCTCTTACACATAGGCGTACGGGTCGGGGAGGCGAGGGGGGCTGCAGCCCCCCCAAATTTTGGGCAACTCAGATTTTTTGGGCAGCGAGAGAAATTTTGGGCAAAGCCAGTTTTTTAAGATGTTTCCGTGTTTTTTAAATCATTATTTTGAAGAGATAAATATTTTCTATTTTAACCTGAAGTTGGCGTAATAATCCAGTTCTGTTACATTTAAAGGAGACAGTGGTTGCCTAGCACGTAATGACTTTCTGGTTATAAGGGAAGGGTATCATGTGCTGTTTTTTTTTTTTTTTTATTGTTGGGCACTGTACTGCAGTGGGCAATTTCCAGTCGTGAATTGATTAGAATAAATCTAGAATCATCTCCACTCGTAGAACAGTGTATGGCAGATAGCATCAGCAATGGGTCTGAAAGTGAAGAAGTGGCTGACTAATTCTCAGTTTGAATTACGCGAAGAATCGTATTTTTTAAACAAAAAAATCTATCGAGTGGTTTAAAGATTGTTCACTAATTTGTTAAAGTATATAGACCGAAATGTTTACAAAACCGCTAACAAGAGCGCCATGATACATACTAAACACTCAAATCCTTTTTTGACCAGAGCTATCTCCATGATCTTTTACCCACGTTTTTAAAAAGATTGAAACTACTATGAGGTGAAATTGCATGTCAAAAGCGCTTCGTTTTCTACAGATAACGGCCAAACAGCAAGATTTTCCTTTTTTACCGTATTTCTAACGATAAAAACTTTATACCAAAATATCTCCGCAACGCTCTTACAGATTCCGTTTTAATTTCACGAACATCGAGGCGACTATTGGAGGAAAATGCTTCCGTGAACGATTTTGGAAGAACAGTTCCCAGTGAGAAATATGGTCAGGGTTGCTTACAAGAGGTGGTCGTTTACAGGAGTTGGCAATTGCAGTAATTTTACTGGGAAATTTTTGTTGTTTTACGTAGGTGGCGGCAAATTTGGTTTTATCAACTGACAGTTCATAAGGCTGATTGGTCACCGTGGGAGAAGCTGAGCGGAAGCCCTTCGTCAGATCTACAAAGCAAATTGACAAAACGCTAACGTTATCTCCATCCCGCAGTGGCCATCTTACAGACTCAGTTGATAAAAACCGAAATCTTTAAATTTCTCATGGAAAATAAGCCAATCAAAATAGATGAAGTTTTTTTCCACGTTCCCAGACGACCACCCGCTCATCAAGTAGCTGGCTCAAAGCTCTTCAAGAAGCTTCTTCTTGTATTTGGTACCCGTTTCTATCAATAAAAGGAGCGCGGCATGTACCAACGTCACCTTTGTACGCATATCTTTTTCTCTTCTTGTTTTCTCTTCTTGCATCCAGAACCCGTCGCCTTTTGGGGAGCAATAAATATTTGATAGAAAAGCAGTAACTGACACTAGATCAAAGCTCACCTTTTTTTTACTTATCCAGGCTTGTACAATATTCGGCACTTCACACTTCACTGGTTTGTCGATTTAAGGTGTCTTTGCCTTTATTAGTGTCTTTTGGTCCTCTGATCGTGTATAACGGAAAAATCCTTGAATAAGAATGACCGAGACCAGGTTTTTAACCCGCGAGACTGAGCACCCCACCCAGACCCCTGTTTTGGAATGGTAGGTACTTCATATATGATTCCTATAGTGTACCGAGATATAGATTCTTATAAGTAAGTGAAGGAGGCTAAGACAGTCAAGCAACCCAAGACACACAAGTAAGACAAGTACCTCGGTACACTATAGGAATCATATATGAAGTACCTACTTGTTTTCATTAAAACCGCTGGACGCCACAACCTGGTGCAGGTCATTGTTATCTAATGTCTTCCATGTGACGGGGCCTTAACGGCCTTCTCGATAGAATCGAATAGAACCAAGTCGTCGATGTAGACTTCGTGTATAGCCATTAGCCTCTTAAATGTCATCCATCTCTTCGCTTAACCCACCCCCTCTCCCCTCCCTCCAAGGCGCCCTTTTTCCCTTTACATTCAGGACATCTGATAAATATCTAGCCACTCTACACTCAATTCTTGCTCTATCTGGCAAACAAAAAGGCGTACGTACGCACGCACGTATGCATCATTAAAACGCCACTGTGCAATTCAATAGAAGAGTTATGCGTTCATAAACACCTGCTCGCTTTCATAAAAGCACGAGTTAATTGAATAATTCTTAAAGAGATATCTATAAAAGTAAACAATCTGTTTTTTTCCTTAATAAATCAAACTGTGGCAAAACTATCTACTCTGAAATCGGAACAGAACATTTAGCAGGAAGAATTATAATTGGATCGTCGCTAATTGTGCGACTTTATATCGAGAAATGAATTTTGATAGTGCGTCAAGATAAAACGTTATTTAATTGGTAAGCTTGTCGTTATCTTTTACTAAAAAAAATATATAAAATCAATGTTTAATTTAGGAATGTTAAATTAAACATTTAGCACTTGCGCCTGGAAATGAGCAGCTTGTTTGGCTGCCTCATCATCAATTCTGAGAAGAAAAACTTAAGGCATGTGAATTTTGCTAGGTTCTCATTTCTTTTGTTCTTGGAGAGTTTCTGTCGCGCGGCGAATAAGACATACTAAAGGACTGTTTGCATCCGGTACTTTCCTCAATTCGCATAAAGATAGGATTTACACAACAAAGAAATAAATTATACATGACAACTGGTAAATAGCCTCTGAGTTTTGTTATTAGTTAGTGATACCGGATTGGCTTTTCACTTCTGAGTCAGATTTTAAATGGTACATACATGCCAGAGAGTGAAATGGATTCGAAATCAGGCGGAGACATTCTAGTTTTGGCCGAAAATGTGAACGGCTTGTTTGATACGTCGAGTGAATCCTCGCGGCGCGATATTAAAACCACAGACGTCTTGCTTCTGAACAGGAAAAGGTCTCTGCCAGCGGACGAACGCACAGACGACGAACTTGTAAAAAAGCGCTCCAAGAAAAAGGCCTGCATGCCCGCGAGTTTGGCCTTTCAGGTGGACCCTTCCGCCGTTGCGCGCCGAAATGAACGCGAGAGGAACAGAGTTCGGATGGTTAACGACGGATTCTCGTGTCTTCGCCAACATATTCCATATTTTCCGGAAAAAAAGAAACTGTCCAAGGTCGAGACTCTGCGCTGTGCAGTAGCTTATATTAAACATTTACAAGATCTCATAACCGAACACGATTCAATTACCAGCAATTCTGGGGAAAATTCGGAAAATGAGTGTAAGAACATAACAACCTGGGTCGCTGGTCAGTCATAAATACGTCGGAGCTTTAAGGTGAGTACAGTGTGTAGTCGTAAATTTTTAAACAAGAAAATTTTAATTTTTCTTAGCTAGTAGTACCTGAAATAATGCACGTGCTTTTTAACTGGTGGTAAAATCTACCTGCTCTCTGCGTAGTAAATGTTACGAAACGACTAAAGGATTTGGCGTCCGCCGCAGTATCTCAGTCTAAGAATGGGAAGCGAATCGATTCAAACGGCCGGAATTGAATGAATAGTAAAGATGTTGCATTTAAAATGCAAAACCCTCAGACAAAAATGACAGCCTTGTATTAGAATTTTACTCTTGGGTGTTACTTTTATTTATTTTATAATGTCGCTGAAAGTTGGTTATCCTTGGGCGTGTGTAAAATAAAAGCAACCGAAAAATTGCAAACTCCACTCTTAGAAACACAAAGTCATGAAAATAATAATAACATAATCGCGAAAGGCAGAAATTCTTTTGGACAAAAACTGGTTATTCCTGAGGCAATTCAGAAAAACATTCGATCATTGCAGGTAAAATTGAATTGAAAATGATCATGTATAAGATAAACCATGTCATACGTGTTTCATTTTAAATATACTGTTTTATCGGAGTATTTCTCTCAAAATTAACCATACGATGTTCTTGCTATTTTCCCACAGGAACTAGAAAAATATTACACTGTGTTCCAAAGGACTGACATATGACTGCACTTCTAGGTCTCTCAGAGCGGTCTCTTAACGCCAGAATATTGAAATCAGCATCGCTTCACTGTTAAATTCTGAGACAAGCGGTTGAGTCTTCAGTGGTCATCGTATCCGTTAACTGGTATACTAAAGCAACGAGAGAGGACCACGACTTTGCTGGTACTACGGCGGTTTTGTCTTTCCGTGAATGGATTAAATAAATTGTCTTTTGAGGCGAGAACAAAAGGTCTGGGAAAACAAAAGCTATGGAATTCTGTTCAGATGTTTCAACAAAATGCATTGTTAAATCAGCGAAACTTAAAGTTCTTTTTGTACTCTCGGTTGTCTGTTTCCTAGTAATAGTGGCTTTTAAAGCGATCCTTAATTTTTTCACTTTTCAATGAGTTGCCAAAAAGATTTATTCTTTTCAAATATCTCAAACATTAATGGACCGTAATTATCTGGCCTGGAAACGATATGGATAAAGGCAGGCGTCCAAATCAGGAAATTTCTCACTGTAAAACAATACGCTACACGCGGTTATCAAGACAATTTCCTTCAGAACAAAATTTTAACCGTCAGTATACGTAACAGCTTATGAGAGGATTCAGTCCTCGATTTCTTGAAATTTGCATTCATTAAAAAAGCTTAATGTTACCGATAAATCAAAAATTTGAATTAAGAATAGTAAAAGAGTTAGCGACGAAAGGTTCGGGCGAATGCCGTGAAAGAATACTGATCAGTGGGGAAACTGTACGCGAAGTACAAATTTCATTTACGTTAAAGTGGAATCCATTTATTAGCTGTTGTTGTACTACATAATCCGTCTGCGAAGAAATAGGCAAGAGTTTGCTCACTAATGGCGGCCGTCTTGTCTTAGTTCGTCTACACAATGCATTATGCGTGTTAACTATATTCTTTGCGATTCGTCTAAAACTTAGTAATATCAGTTTTGAAAAGTTCTAAGTGACCGGTAAAAATTAAACTTGAGCGCAATGACTTTGAGTAAATGTGGTAAGAATAATTGAGGGAAAATGTTTTCTACTCTTTCTCATAAGATTATACTGTTTACACAGAAAGAAAATAGTAGGAAACGTATATAAAACACATATATAAATCACATTTAAAACCAAGAAGCTACAGTGGCTGGAAAAAAAGGATTTCAAATATTTTCCAGTTTCTCGTTTATTAGTTAGAGACGTTTGTTCTCCGATAAGTGATACGCCGTGTATATATGTGAGTTTTTAGTTTACAACTGGTGTCCTTTGCTCTTTATTTTATAACTCGGTTTTCGTTTTTTTTTTACGTAACTAACAAACCATACAGTAATCTGAGAAAAAAAAGTTCATCCTTTGTAAAAAAAACCCAAGAAGAATTACTTAGTTTTAACAAAGTTGTTTGCCGTGAAGAAAACTATCAGATCACTTAGATTTTATTAGTAGCCGACTATGAACACCAAAGCGAATTTCTAACATTACCTTCATTTCATTTTGTCATTAATTATAATCATATCGACCTTAGGACCCGAATCCTTGAACGAACTGCAAGAACTGTCACTCATATGTCATATCACCCGAGAAGCATTCCGTATATTCAGAAACGAATCTTACCCAAATTAATTTTGAATTTATTAGAGAGTGACCAATTTTGATTTGATTTGTTTTACAAACATCCATTTCCTTTTAATTTGTCATTCTTTGTTAATAAGTTAGCATCCTCTGGGACCCCGGCGGGGAGTTCCTAACAGAGAAACAAAGGACAGAGAGAAGGAAGAGGACACTTTCAAAGAAACCAAGAAATTCAGAAAATTTCGGTTGGGATATAAATGAAACACACGTTTCTCGGGCGTTCAATTGGAAGATTCACCGGAATAAGTGAAACTTTGAAAAACTACTCCGTTTTTTCCACTGGAAATTTTTTTAGATGGCTAGAAATCAGGAGCCCATTAGCCTGAGAAAACAGCCGACATTTGGCGACGCTACCACTGGTTTCCCCGCCAAATGACATCTGAGAAACGAGCGCAGAAATTCCCCACAGCTGACCCGTCACTACGTAAATCTGGGTAATGCTTCTGATTGGTCGTACCTCTCGGGAAATTTGATTCAACCAATTAGAAGCACTACCCAGATCTGGGTAGTGAGGCGTCATCAGTATGGAATTTCTGCGCTCTTTTCTTAGACGTCATTTGGCGGGGAAACCAATGGTAGCGTCGCCAAATATCGGTGTTTTCGCAGGCTGCCCCATTCTCGAGTTTTCACAAGGATTCACCAGTTCCAGGCTCTGGGCTGCCATAAATCTTGGCGAAAGAAGGGAACGAACGGAACTTGTGTCAAATGAGGGTCTTAATGGAGTTTACCGTCAGCCGTCAAAGGGCCTAAAAATTAACCGTCAACCGGCAAAAATGGAGGTTAAAATTAACCTTCCAAAAGTTTCAAAGTATTTTAATCTCACTATATTTCAGCTGTTCTCCACGGAATTCCGCTTCCTAGAGAACTTCTAAACAGGAAAAACCACTTCCCATGTTCTCATAAACACTTTTTCTAGACGTTACAATACCTTACAACCTGAATATTTCGAAACTTCTCAAGAGAAAGGCAAAGGCCACCTTCAAAACTCATCAGTTGATATTAATTCATACAGAAGTTAATATTTGCGTCAACTAATGAGGCCTTTTCAGTCGGGGGATAATGAAATAACGTTTTCCTTTGTCAGAAATCAGAAGCTTTTTTCCCGAAAGGAATATATAGCCATTGTTTTTGACTGGAATAATGGGATAACGTAATTTTCGAGCGGGAATAATTGAATTTTAAACATCTCATTATTCCCCTTAAGCTCCTACAAGTCAGTTTGCTATTTACCCTATTTCTCGACAAAAACGCAGCATTAAAACCGGTGAATGTGACACTTCACATTGGCTTGCATGCCCAGGCTGGACGATCGGGCATGCAGTCACGTTACAATCATATAGAACAAGATCCCGATATAACGTAACGTATATCTGGATTTTACGGTTTAACGAATGACACTACAATGGGCGCTTTCCATTTATCAGAACTGGCTGGCCGGACCATAGCCCGACAAGTCAGTTTGAAAATGAAATAGACTTTTTCCAAGTTTTTTTGCTGAAAAATCATCCCTTTGGTGCATACAATTTAGGATTTGACTGATCTGGCTGGAGAGTTTTGATTAAAAGGGAAATTCCCATTGCGACGGGAGTGCTGGTCTTGCCGGTCAGTTCTGACAAATGGAAAGCGCCCTAACTCAGGCCTAGCCTGCGTCGTCGCAGACACTCTAAATCGCCTGTATAGAGCGTATAGACACTACCAATGGTATAGACGTTACGTGGGTCGGCTGCAACACAGGCTACCCAGGCTCCGTCCACACGAATCAGGACATTTTTAAAACCGCATACAGGGGCAGATCTGGGGGTAGGGTGCAGGGGGTGCGCACCCCATCCCCCCTCCCCCACCCGAGATGACCTGTGGCTTCCTAATACAGTTATACAAAATCTGCTGCATCCGGTTGTTTGATATGTATTTTCAGCAGTTCACATTATTTTATTGCCTGGTCAAAGTCTGGCCATTCCTTTGTGGTGCCCTTCCTCCGAAGAAAAATCCTGGACCCGCCCCTGGCATATCTTTTTACCCGGATTCGACTCTTTGGTGGAGGGGGGAGGGCGGATTAACTTGAAAAAGATGTGGTTTCGGTGTGCGGATTCACTGGTTTCGTGTAGGCGGAAGTCCGCGGTTTGTGTAAAATAAAAAAAGAAATATGCGATTTCAAAAATATCCAAATTGTTGTGGTATTGGCCTCATTTATGACAATTAAAACCTATGGAAGAGGACTTTGACATAACACACCTCATTGCAAATCCAATCCCTTCGTAATTCGTTATTTACTGGGGTCCACTCAGACTGTGAAACAGAAGGTTTTGTATTTTTTTAATCGCTTTTGCAAGGCGCGAACGAGAGCGCCGGCGTGAGGGACTCTAGGGCGCTAAAATGTTCTAAATTTTTTTAAAAAGATGCTTAAAATTTCTCAAAAAGTTGCTAAAAAGTACGTTGCCCCCAAAATAAAAATGTTGCTCAAAAGTTACCCCCAAGATGCTAAAATCTTCGCTTTGCTTTTCATATTTTCCCCAAGAGTTGTTAATTAACCTGCCAAAAAACCCTTTTTCGTCATTCCTTCAGCATTCAACAAACACAATAAGATCGGCTGTTTCACGGACGTTCTTTACAACCAGCGGGGTTGGTTTCTATTTTTCTTGTCGGGGTATGTCAATCCTTATCTGGTACGGGGGGAGTAGTGCACCGCCATTTTGAATTTATCAACCCACCGCTGACCACTTGAATTGCCGTTTCAAATCAAAGGCATACCAATGCGCATAGCGCTCCACAATGTTTTTCTCAATGTGTGAAGAAATGTTTAGAAAACTGACCTTATGTGACTGTTTTGACCAAATCAAAAAACAAAAAAGTGGTTCAAAGGTGTTTCAATTCCATTTTGCCGGTTTGGTCTGTTATAATTTTTAAACACTATTGTCGTCTAAGAACATAAGAAGTTGCCCAGAATTCGAAAAGCAAAGCCTTTTTTTTTACTCTCCCCGCGTAACGCGCGAGCCTTTATTGAGGGAGAGAAAAAAAGCCTGCCTCATTTTTGACGTACAGAAAAGTACAGACTGTTATTTATGCAGTCTAACCAAGTGACGAATGACATTTTCGGCATCGGTTATAACGTAGCCTGCGTTGCAGGCGTTAGAAAGGGAAGGGGAAGGGAATTAGGGCGCGAGACTACGCGCGAGGGACCACGCGCGCCCCTCGCGTTTCTCTCGCGCCTAAAACTCCCTTTCCCAAAGCTCCCTCTCCCTTCTCTTTCAAACGCCTGTCACGCAGGCTAGTTATAACGTACCTTTATCATTAACACCCCTCTGATTTAAATAATCACAATTTTTTCGGTCCCTTGGCACTTCTTTGATTCAGGTAAACCACTTCCTTTTATTCACAAATGAAATTCTTCCACTAAAACGTACCTGTTTTGTAGCAAAATGATGGAAATGAATCTGCGTTCTTTCAATTTGTTTAATTCAGCGAGTTGTAATTGTTAGCGGCCGCATCTGAGTTCATGAATGAAAGAAGGAAAAAATTGTGTGATCTTGTTTCCCAGTCCCATATAAAATCTTGCGAAGACGGCCAAAATTAGAACGAAAGAGTCTAATGCAAGTTCACAGCTAGTGCTTTGCTACCTCAACTTAGCCACGTTCGCCCGGCACTGGGCGAATCAGTTTGACCGGCCGAATAATTTGACCGGACACCTCCTTCACACGAAACCGTTCACACGGAACTTTAAATTACTAAGCGTCTATATTTCAGTACGGTTAAGGTGTTACAGTATGAACCGAACACCTCAAAGCGCATATTTTCAACCGATCGAAAATTCGTCTGCTGCCGTGTAATGGAAACCTTAAAATTTTCTCCTTATGGTTTTTGGACGCTTTTAATCTCTGAAATCTACAACACGTCAAACACTCATTTTTGTATGGATCTTTCCTTTCTATTACATTCAACTACTGGAACTCCAAACTGACGGTCCCGGAGGGGACCCCAGAAAGTGTCCGTATAGTAACGAGGTGTCCGTATTATGCGGGTAGAATATTTAGCAATTAATAAATTCGGCTTTCGTAGGATATGAAGAATTAAGCCGATCGAGGAGGGTGTTATGGCCGAGGTGGATAACACCCTCCGAGATCTGCTTAATTCTTCATATCCTACGAAAGCCGAATTCATTAATCGCTTTATTATTCATTCAAAATAATTCCTAGTTTAAAAACATAGCCAAAACATGCTTACCTGCATCGATGTTAAGTTCATCTTCGACAGCGTACGGTAAGGTTTTTCCAGCTCCGCAAATATTCTCCAAATAGCAGGTGTCGCCCTCCGAGTTGTCTTCTTGCTGTTTTTGCTATGTTTTTATCTATTATTTCGCCTATTTCCAGCTGTAGTTCTTACTCTTGAAACGGGTGAAGTGTGCGCCATTTTTGTTTTCACAACCAAAACAACTCAACCTTTTCCCCAGGTCTTCTCGGTAACGGTACCTTAACCTGTAGGTCATTTCCTCGTTAAACATACCCTGGTCCCAGAGGTTTTTCTTGATTCTTCTTCGCGAGAGCAAGCCGCGAAGCGACTCCGCTTGGTGGCTTGCGCTCTGTTTCGCGAAGAAAAATCAAGAAAAACCTCTGGGACCAGGGTATGTTAAACACAAAATTCTTCCAAATTTGGTCATCAGTATCTGGTTATGGTGAATTATGCGTGTTCTTTTAGCCAGTCAGAATTGGGGAAATATTTTGAATATTTTGAATGAATAATAATATTATTCATACATTACTAAAATTAAAATAGTACTCGTTTTAACTCATTTGTTTCCAAAAAAGTCAAAGTTCAATTTGTAGAAGAGGGGTCGACCCCGTGCATGGGTGGCAATCCCTATAATGGCTTATACGGGAGAATTTCACTTGCTGAAGTATATGACAGGGTGGGGAAACCTGTAGAGGGGCTAACAGGTGCATTTATGGCTGTGAAAAAGTCGAGGAAAAGATTTGGTTTTGTGATTAATCTATATTTAAACGGTACATTTACAAGTTCTCAACGAAGGTAATAAAAGGGTCAAGGGTTGGACCTCGGGGCGGCGGAACCTCCCCTTATAAAACTTTGTTAAATTCCCTCTTGGTCGGAGGAGGGGGGGTCAACGGAGTTCATTGTTATTATGTTAGTTTTCTATTTTGTCCCTGAACAATGATAAGAATCAGAAAACGGAACAGAACACCAATAGGCCGGTAGAATACTCACGTCAGAACTCTAGGGAGGATTGGTACAAGCTTTGAGCACAGTGATTTCTGGGATCATTTGGGTGGACAAGCATTAGTTATGACTGGTCGATGGTATTCAAGGCAACCATTAACCAATCATAAGTATTAAACGCTTGTTCACCCAATGGAAATGATCCTAGGCATCATTGCGTCGAAAGCTTCTACCAATTCCCCCTATAGTTTCTGAAATGGAGAAATCTGTGCTTGGCGCTCGGTGCTCGGCACTTCCCTCTCTACAATTGTTTGTTTCTTTTTGTTTGTTTCTTTTTCTCTTCCTTCCCTTTTTTTATCTCTCTCGTTCAGTCTTTCTTTCTTTCTTCTTTCATTCGTCACACAATGCCTTAAGCGATGCCCACATGAGTAAAAATATTTGGGTGCCATCTGGAACAGCCTCATTGATATCAAAATCTGTAATTTGCATTCCTTACAGAGATGACAATCATCTTCGCCTCTCTTCAGATGGGAGAACCCCCGAATTCACTCACAGCGCACTAGCATCCCACACCCGGGGAGAGAAACTAACATACTAAGCCTCTTTGCGTCGTTATTTTCACGGACGGGTTTATTTTTAGATGCATTTAATAGATTAGTCTATGGCTACGCTATCTACTCTACAAAACCGGCGACTACAGGACATAGCTATTCTCATGTATAAAGTTAAAAGCAACGTATGTTAAAAATAACGTATGTCTTAGGTACATTAGCACTTCATTCGAGCAGCCTGCAATTGCGCAATCATGACTTCACTATACCAAGATTTAACAGTCTCCTTTGGAAAGCACTCGTTCAGGTACATGGACCCAAAGGTATGGAGCTCTGTTCCTAGTAACGTGAAGGAAGCTTCCCCGTTGTCCTCTTTCAAATATAACATCAGAAAAGTGGATCTTAGTATGCTATTAGGAGATTATAATTGCTCAAACTGCTCTATTTGCAGTTCTTAATTTAATATGATACTATGGATACATATTGTACATATTGTATGTAGTTCTCCTGAATTTCTTATTTGCACATAATGTATAACGTTTTTCTTGATTTCTTATTTCTTAACATTCTGGTTTTTCATCTTAAGTTAATTCGTTAATTTATTTATTCTTTCAAATTTATTTTAGTGTCCCTACTTAGTGATTCTACACCACTATTAAAGTTGACACTTAGAAAATCATCATCAAAGTACTTTTCCCGCGAAAATGGGACCTTTGCTCCTTCTATGAGACTAGCGCATTCAAAGTATAAGATTTGAAAAAGGAAAACTAAAGGGTCAAAAATGCCATTTTCAGGTCTTTAGGTTTTGCTGACTGTTGTGGGACTTTATTGATACTCCAAATTAGCACCAAAATCGTTCTAAAAATAAACAGGTTGGTAAAAGCGCCTTGACACGAGGACCTGGAAGTTGCTCTCTCCGGGTTATTGGCTCCTGGCGCACCCAATTTTATCGCTTTTCCTCTCATCTGTCCTTAGCTCATTCAAACTCTGTTTAAGTAATTAACAATAAGCCATGCTAGCCTTACGGGACATATATTCTGTCATTATTGTTTTTTCAAAGTATGCTCTGTGACTATCTGTCTTGTCAAATTAGCAAATAGCTTCACGAATTATCACTTTCGCGACACGTATTTCGTATGATTTCGTATTGTCTGCCTCCACTGATTTCTGTAGTTGTCTCTTAACTGTAAGGGCCTCGTGGTTAAGTTTCACTGATTACAAATAGCAACCGCGAAGACACCAGTTGTATTTTGATTTGCCAGACCACAATAAAGACCGAATTCATTTTTTAATTTTCTTTTCCGGACCTTTAAACACCATTTGAAGGCCCCATGTTTGTTTAAAGTCAAAAACGCTAAGGATTCTATACACACGTAAAAAAAAAGACAAGCGCACAGCGAGATATAGCACTTATTTTGCTGCAGTCTAGTTCTTTCTCAACATTGTGTTGACTTCTTTTGTTGAATACTAGTCAGGAACGCCATTTAACCTCGCTTTTTCGCGTGACAAATTGTCCTTTTAACAAAACCACGTGGACAAGGTCATGGCTGCCGAAAAAGCGAGAAGTTTAGTTTAGAATACATGTACATAATATAGAATCTACGGGTGAAGTGCTGTTTTTCACTTAGACGCTGCTTAAGACATTCTGTGTTAAACAACGAGCTTCTTCAATCATGTATTCTCTGCCACAGTATTATAAGCACTTGCTCTTTTAAACAGGGAACAGTGATGCTCTGTTTGTCGAGTTTATTCAAATCTTTTGTCTGCCAATGAAGCTCTTCGATGACAAAGAGAAAGAAAAAGAAAGCATGATTTCTGAATTCAGCGAATCTCACCCACGCTTTCCTGCTATAGTACTGATTAATAATAACGTTTATGAAATAGTTGATTGCACAGTTATAAAGCATACTCTTTTGCGATGTAGAAACTATATATTCCAGCCACAATAGGTCAAATGTGCGCTACATCATTAAGGACGGCAGCGTTTTCGCCTTGAATTATCGGTGATTAGAAGAACTATTCTCTGGCAATTTACATCGTGTTTGTTTTTAATACTGTTTGCGAAAAGTTCAAGCTGTCGGTCGGCAAAGGACAAGTTTGTGTTGCTAGGCACTGAATATGCACCTTTGCAATTTCCCAAAAATGGAATTCCGCAAGAAAAACAACATAGTTAAACTGTCAAGTGAGTTTGCACAATGAGGTCTTTTGTTTCATTTTCACACAAAAGAAAAGCTAGCTCATAAGACACGTTTTGATGTTCGCTTCACTCAAGTATCAAAAAGAAATATATAAAAAATTTTTTTTTTTTTAATAAAAAAAGAAAACCATCGCAAAGCATACTTTGTGAAGCCTTTTGGATAAATATTTAGCAGCTTAGAAATACTTGCACAATTTGCCTCTTTGCGGTTGTTAATGAAGCATTTAAATGCTATTATCCAAAAATATATATTTAGTGTTTGTTCTTGGTTTCGCGAACCGTTCTGGAAATCCCACGTGTCTCTGTTCTCAGGACCGTTTTTACTTATATTTAGTCCTAAGACAACTTCTCCAGCCAAACTTTAGTACGTTTTATATTTAGAAGGCAGTAAACGGGAAATGTAAGACTCATTTCTGTTGTTTTTAAATTAAAAGAAAACTTAATGACAAAGATATTTGTAATCTATTATGTTGTTTGAAACAAACAGGAAAATTGCGAATAAAGTCATCAGTTTAAGTTTCGTGACGAAGAAAATACTATTGACTAGTGCTTCCAAATGCCTCTCTAAGCTGTGGATTTTAGGCCGATAATCCTGTGTTTTGTTAAAAGGCAAACCGAGAAAATTGTGTGTCTTAGTTTTTATCCCGAGCAGCCTTGTGGTGAATATTCTCTAAACCTAATTCCGTTTTTATCTTCGCGTTTTGATAATTGATTCATTTGCATGACAACTCAGCGCGGAAATTAAAGAGAGCGTTTCTTAAAGCAATTACAGTGAAACACTTACCGAATTTTTAAACATAAGGATTTCTTAGCGGAAAATCTACTACGGGAGGTAATATAACTTTGTTATCTTTGGCATTAAGAACCGAAACAAAAAATAAAATTTAACCTGAAAACATGAACGATTTCATTCAAAACTTACCCAAATCTCAGGCCTACGTAACAGTGAATTTTCGTCGGGGAGCATAAAGAATTAACACTAGAGTTTGCACATCTTCTGAATTTAGTGGGGAGCTGTTTCAGAATCCTTTAACGGTGCTTTGTGGCTTTGAAGCTTTACCGAACAGTCCAAGCTGCTCGCTTCGAGCAAATATGATTGTCTGAGATCTTTTGGTTACATCCTGGTTGCATTCGTTCTTGACTATCAACTTTAAACAAGGAACGTAACATGTACAAATAAACAAAGCCCTACAAAATACTGAGAGAAAATAAGCCAAAACCATAGCTAACACTAAGACTAATTCTTCTCGATAGACCCTTTGCTTTATGTTAGTACTAAGTGATGTAAGCGAAGCGAAAGAACGCACTTTGTTGGCGCTTAATTAAGAGGAACACACTGGCAATACCATTGTATATCTTTATTCTTTGTCACCTAGGATGCCAAATACTTCCTTAAGTATTGTAATGGGAAAGCGAATTTAAGTTTAAAACCTCTGAACCATTCAGCAAAAAATGCAAGTGAGAGTAAAGAGGAATCTTCCAGGAGAGTGCGTCAAAGTTGAACAACCTATATGCGATTTGTTAGTACAGCTGGATTAAGCAACAAAGGCCGAGATCTGTGACATGCGCAGTACAGCTGGACAACCTCGCTAATTATTGTTCTACGCAATGACCTTTTCACGAATCGTTTATCTCAAGAAAACGTATTTCAAAGTCGCACGGCCCTTGGTCTAAAAACATCACTTTATTCTCTTTCTGAATAAAACGGCAATATATATTTTTTGTTTTAAAAGATATTTTTTATTCATTTGGCTTGTACTCGCGTAATTATTTGCCACCATTATCTGTTAAATTGAGCGGCTTCCTGATTTTCCATTAACATTTTATGAACAATTATTGTTTCTCTTTGCGCTGCGTCAACTTTCGAATGTTACAAAAGTTTAACATTTAAATTATAAACCATTGAAAACTGATGAGCGCGCCAGTGGTTAAAGCCAACAAGGCGTCAAAATGACAAAGTGTTTTCATCGTAACACAGTCCACAAATTAAGCTTCAAGTTAACCGTTTCGAAGGCGAACTTAAACTAACTGAAGAATGCATTTAAGAGAGAGATTTTGCCCGCTAAATACACTCTTCCAACTACATTATGCAAATTCACAAAGTTAAACTTAGATACAATTTAGTTATTAAAAATTTTCTCTATAAACTGCAAATGTTTGTAGTCGGAAAATTGCATGGACAATTTTGTCTCTACTTTCTAAGATGAGTTCAGCTAATATCGAGAACAAAAGTCCAATCGTTCTTTTACCTGCCTGTAAAAGGTGTAAATGTTCTGCTTAAATTACAGTCATTTGTTCTGATGTCCATATTGCATGTGACTGAGCATATATTTACTTACACAAAATAGAAAGACCTTACTGGGCATTTGAAATCTTCTTCTAAAAAAATTCAATGTTCTTTTTTGCAGTAGGCTCGATCGGTCGCTCGAAAAGACATCAATCAACTGTTCTTTTTTACCTCTCTTCCTCTAAAGATTCTTGTCTTTTCTCTACCTGCTTGGTCTTATCTTGTTTTTCATCTTTTCCGACATCAAGCAAACTCTCCAAGTGTTTAATATACCTGATAGCAGCCCGGAGGGTCTCTACTTTTGACATTCGCTTATCCGTGGGCTCGTCTGGGAGATGTTCCCGAAGTCGTGCGTAGCCTTCGTTCACATGGCGCACTCGAATTCTTTCGCGCTCGTTCCTCTTCCTTATGAAAGCAGGCTCCAGATTGTAATCGTACAGGGGATGTGGTATCGGCATAGTCATTGGAGGTCCGTAATAGGGGGGCAGTTGAGAAAGCGGTGCGTTTTCACTCGGGATACCAAGTTGATAACACGTCGGCATTGAAAAGGCAAAATCTGGGTACTCCATTCTGACTGAATTAATTTAAGCAGTTTCTAATTTGACGATATCGGTGAGAAATCTCCAAACGACGGCAGGAATTCGAATGTAGATAGTTGGAATCGAAGCTTGTGCTACCACCGTTCCCAAAGAAACACAAGTCCGAGATAGAAATGCTGTTGACGAAATGTATCAATGTTGGCCACAAGAGCAAAAGTTAAACTGAAATGAGGTTTTGAGCGCAGTTTAATAAGTCTCCACCTGCTGCGATAGCCAATCAGATAACGCGTTTGTTTTGACAAACGATTAATTGGATTATCACAACTTTCGATCTCGGGAAATAAAGAGAGAAAAACCGCGTGTGCCTCTGCGCTAGAAAGGAGCTCGTTAAATGGGAACAGGAGTGGAGAACAAGGAAAGTTGACGTTGGAGATAAAAACTGGAGAATTTATGGCTGCCCTCTGTTATGCTAATTCATTGCACAGAATTTAACACCTTTAAATTATGCTGCAGTACGCAGACACATAAAGGCCTCAAATCTCTTTAGGAAGAGGAACCTAGTTATAAGGAAGGTATTGAGCGTAGGAATGCTATAAATAAGTTCGAGACGGTGAGAGGGAGGTTATAACGTGAGTTTCATCTCTTCAGTGTACCCGTGGAGTTTGACAAGGTGAGCTGAACATATAAAACCGATGATCTTTCATAAATGACAGGGTGGGGGTCTTTGAAAGAAACTTCAACACGCGGATTAAATCTTCCCAGCTATTCAGTCTTTGACCCCTGAGGTGATTCTCAAAAGAGGATTGTGAATTATACGGAGCCCAAGTCACTGCCAAACACAGGATAAAGGTACGTTTGACTTAGATGCCCACAGTCTGCGGACACTGATCGCAATCCAAAAAGCGAACCCAAAAGGTTACTTTTAATAGGAAAAAAGAGTCTTTATCAGTTATTGTTAAGAGCGATCGATTTGTGCAGGCAATAAAGATTACGAGCTTTTGTGAGTTGATAAGTTAAGCGGAACAATGAGCCATGGTCATGTTGTAGCACACTATAAACTTGTAATGGCAACAATCTGTATTTGGTAAACACCTCTTTGAAATGGTCAACTTGATACCACAAAACGTCGTGCTACAGTGGTGCGTTTCACAAGAGAACACATTCCCCTTGGCCTTACTGCCATCAAACAATTCTCATTGGCCCATAGATCACAGGAAGGTGGGTGTGTTTTCAAAGTGGTCATGCTCAACACATGCTTGGCCCATCTGCACACGTCGCACATTAAGTTTGGGCTTAGCCGGCAGTCTGTTGCTGAGGCTCACACGTCCTAAAACGTTTTTTAATCGTCTTATTTTAAACACATAGCATTGAGGTTGACTGAAATTAATTGTTAGCACCTGCTTATTGTGTCCGACTTTTGTTCCACTTGGAAATACAGCTCAGTCTCGCGGCGATGAATACAACACAAGACAATGCATCTTATCTTGCAAACAACCACAGAAAATCCTCAAAATACCCGCCATATTGTTGCAACTTAGCTGGTTAGCTACACTCTGTTAGAGAAATCCATAAAAGAAGCAGCAAACGAACACGGGAACAGTTTATTCCTAAAGCAGAAAGGGGTACAGCACACCCTCCTTCGTCCCCCTTTTGGTGAAGAGGGTGCAGAGCCACCGTTCACTTGGATAAGAATCACTTTCATGAATATACAAAGATCTGCCTTGATTACTTAAAAACAATACTTCGCACAAAAGAAATTTGCTCTTATTTCCATTCGACACCTTTGGTTATGTTGTTTTTGTGCCAAGCACTTCACACCGTACGTAGTCTAGAACGACACAATGTCCCTGGTAGGCTTCGCCCTTAGCCTATATTTGGACAAGTCTGAAACGTGATTGAGTCTTGACCTGACAGTGTTGCGACATCATTTGTTAAAGCACATGGAGAGATGTATTGCTTAAGCAACTCGTGTGTAACAAAAGTAGTACACAAACCGTACTAATCAGTGGCCAAATCTGTAGCTAATTATCATAAAGCTTTATGACAGCGTAAGGTAGCTATTATCCCCAAAACAAAATCGATACTGCGAGTTTTATTTCGTAACCACTTAGCACGAGGAGAAAAACCGGCATGGAATTGGAAGGATTTTAAACAATTACCTTTACCAAAACACTTTTGACGCACTGAGGACCTCATTAAGTAGATCACACTACTCAAGGCGATCTCTCTACTTGGGGCAATTTAAAAATTCAGGACAACACCCTGGTTCCTCGGAAAACCCATATCATAGGAGTTATTCTTCAAGTAAGAGCAGATAACTCGCAAGATAACGAGAGAAAATCATGACTAACCAACTTCTCGTTATAAAGTTTGTATCCTTAAGCACTTTTTAATAGCTTCTCATTCACAAAGTATTCTTTTGTTATCTTTTGCATACTAATGAGGTATTTGAGAAAAAGCGAAATTTCTGACGGTTTTCTTCTGCGGAGAGGAGTTTTCTAAAAGAAACTTTCAGATCGCTGATTATAAAATTATAATTTACACCTTCTTATCTTCCACGATGGTGAAAATTTGACTTCCTGAACTTAAACCAAAGCCAGGCAGTTTATCTCAATTAGCGTAAAATTTGGTGAATATTCTGGAATATTCATGAGCTAAATTGAAGAAAATGAAAAAATAAAAAACATGAATGCAGTAGCAAGGACAGAATAAAAACTCGCTAAATATGATCGTGCCACTAACCGTGTGTAAACAAAAAGCAGAAAATCAATCTTCACTCATGATGAATAAAAATAGCGCACACAAGTGTGATTTTCGTATTTTATGAGAAATAACAAGAAACGCAATAAAAACAAAACAAGGAAGCAGCTGAAACGTTCCCAACGCCTGGATGTAGACAAAATGTTGTATCCTTTCTTTTATTTGGTGACATGCCCAAGGTTACCAGGAGACTATAAAGTTTTTATTATCATTTATCGGCAGGATCGCATCTTCATGGTATAGTTTCAGTAGCTCCTTTATGTATTTTTAGCGTCTAGTCTCTCATCCACTATAAAGTGGCTTTAGTTAGCAATTTAGTTAGTCAAAATTTTCCTCTATCAACTGCAAATGCTTGTAGTAGAAAAATTGCATGGACAATTTTGACCTGCTCTACTCTCCAAGATGAGTTCAACTAATATCGAGAACAAAAGCCCAATCGATCTTTTTAGTTGCTGTCTGAAAAAGGTGTAAATCGTCCGTTTAAATTACCGTCATCTGTTGTGATGTCCCTATTGCATGTACACCTGAAAGTCATGATATTGTCGGATCATCTAGCAGAGTCTCACTAATAATAACTGTATTTTTATACAGTTGCACAACTGTCTAGCAGATAGTTTGACGTAGGTTAAGTTACCTGGCAACATTTCCTATTATTTTACTTAATTTGACCATCAAGATGAAACAACAATTCTAAAAGATTTTATTTAAGGTAACATTTTTTCATAACTCCTCACTGAAACATGTGAATGCTGTATTTCATAGAGCGCCACGACCCAAATCTTTTAAGCTCCACCACGAACATTTATTGCCCTTGTGCTTAAATGGCTCTTGACTTAAACCATTATATGCTTAGACCAACTATTCTATTCTTCATTTTTCTGCTCTCTTGCTGCTGGCGATTGTCTACTTCCTCCATTAGAGACTAGCAGAAAAGGAAAATAATATGACATATTTCTTGATACCCAGTTAAAACGCAATGCAACATAAAACAAACCGGCCCAAATAAAGCGAACAATTATCAAATTTACTCCGAGTTTAAAAAACATAAAAATCATGTTTGGTGAACTTTTTCGGCTTACTAAATAGAAACAATTGCTTCTGATATTAGCGAAAACTCTCCACAAACGTCGATATCTTTTCGGCCTTAAATCGAGTGAAAACGGATTTCAGTAATTTTCTTTTACTGTGGCAAGATGACCACTAGGGCCTTTACTCAAAAGGGGATTACTCAGCGCTGAGAAAAAAATAACAAAAATTAAATGCTCTAATCTTTAATTTGTAAACGTGATACATAGGTACTTTTGTAGAAAAAAAAAATGAAGCGTATAACATTATAGCTTGTAACTCTTTGAGCAGTACAAAATGGTAAAAAAAAAAATATGTTCACACCTCTTCAGGCAATTACTCTAGCTAACGAAGTCAGTTGAGATGATTGTGCCTCCTTAGTCTGTGGAATTTAATTTATGCACCCTAATTTTGATTCTTAGCCAATGCCGAGAGGTTTACATCGCGAGCTTTTCTCTGTCGTTAAAGTTTCCAAGGCATTAAACATGCTAAAAGGTCTGCAAAATTAAGTTTGTTCTTTTTTTAAAGGCGCTTGGCGAACGGAAAGGAGAGCTGAAAAAACTTTCAACAAAAAGGGAAAAAGGTATTTCACACATTAAAAAATCATTTAGTCTCATAGACAGCCCTTAACACGAAGGGCTTCCGAATTTGAATATTTCACAATTGATCAGGTTAATGAAAACTCATTGAGAAATCTAAATTACAGTTGACTGAAGTTTTGCCTGAAACAGGTGAATCAACTAACAAGGCGATGAGCGCGTGCTGTCCACACGTACATGAAAGAGAGCTCGCGAAAAGGAACACATTGTTCAGTTTGATGAGATCAAAGCCATGGGAGACTCACACGACTATCCCTCGGTAAATATATGCTTTTAAGAGGGTGACAAGCGACAGACTAATGATTTTGAGCTCAAAGCTTTCATCCACGCTTGATACACGGAAGTTAAGCCTTTGGAACACAAAGACGCGTGTGCCTTATTGCGTGACGACAACATGTTAAGATTTTTTATGGTAACAAACTGCCCAGTGTAACAAACTCATCCTGAATGGAAACAAAAGAGGCACGTTCTGTAATCAACTGTAGTATATCGCCGAAGCTATTAACAACTGCAAACAATGCCTAGCACACGATTACTCACAAAAAAGGTATTTGTTTAAGGAAGTTTATATGTGGACTGTCCGCGTAGCGAGGTAAATGTGTTAAC